TTCCTTGTGATCATCATCGGCCTTGTTCTTAAATTCACGAAACCTTGGGCAGGTACTTAACAAAAATTGCATGTTTGATTTACAGATTATTGTTTTTATACATTCTGCAATAATGTGTGTCAGCGTGATGAAAAACTACAAAACTGCTTTTGGCCAAAATGTAATGACATCAAACTTTAAAGAAAATGAACTGATGAGATGCATTCTTTCTTAAATTCAGCTGTCATTGAGGAACCACAGCGACGTAAGGTAAAACAAGAGTTATCATTTATTGTTATGATTTAATACATTAAAGGAGCTATTTGTAAGTTTTGCTTTTTCTACATAACCAGCGTTAGCATTAACAGTTGTTTACTTATCAGTCTAGAAGAAACGTTGTGAGTTCAGCATCAAACTTCAGTACTTTACTCACCAAGAGCTGTCTCCAGCGGTGGAAAGCAACACCAATGTTAACTCTATCACATCTTTTCTTCTACTGAAGTTAGCACGCTAACCAGCTAGCCCCGGCCCGTTTTGTCACTTCCCAGTAGCAACTCACTGTATCTGCTCTGAAGACGAGGCGCTGTTCAGAGGGCTTATCATAGCCTCTTGTATTATAAAGACAACAATCACCACCACCCGCTCCTGGCAGGAAACCACATTTGGCAGCAGAGAAAACTTAAGAATAGCCCCTTTAAAAGTGGGAGAATGTCGACGTGATTATGAATTTTTTGGCCTGTGTAACTGTGTGGACTCTTATTGACAGAGTCTGGACTCGAAAGTGAACGATGCAGCACTGAGTGTGTATTCACGAACGATGAGAAACGGGAGGCCTGCATCAGAGAGAGAAGTGGAGACTCGTGTTTTTTACTGTGCCAGCAGATAGACTCAGAGTGGATCTGATTCTTTTATCATGTTTCTGTGCTTTTCTTCTCATGTCTCTCTCTCACACTGTCTTCCTAAATTACTGAGACAGCACAGTGTAGGCTGAGCTACAGTTGTTCCGATAGCGTTGTCGGTTAGCCAAAGTAACCTGTGTTATGGGTGATAACATGGTTAGTTCCCTACTTGCCTATACATATGGGACAGATGTGTAATGATAACGCTTATTCAATATTCTGATAAGAGTCAAACTGTCTCAGTAAGAGGGCAACATGTGCAGTATACAAAGCTTTAATTTCTTTTAATAGGGGCAGCACTAGTGTTAGGACAACTATTGTAGGAATTGTTATCTATGCCTACATTTATTAGTTTATTTAGTCAAATTAGACATTACAAAAAATAATTATATGGCATTCAACAATGACAGCAATCAGTGCCATACAGCCGTTATGGTAAATTCAGGTTTCGATATTGGGAAGGAAAAAACGGTATTGGAACATCTCTAGTCTGAGCTCGACCAAAATGAAAATCAGGAGCCCTGTGGAGTCAGAGTTCTGTATGAATGAAGTCAGAAATGAAGCAGTGAATCCTGGGTGACTTTCCCCTGTCAAATAGACGCAGTGATCAAGTTCCACATTTCTATAAACACTGTGGCAAAACATCAATGTAAAAACTGGATATTTTAACTGTGATATTAATGTTCTACATGTCTGAATTAAAAACTAAAATTTACCCAAAGAAGAATGATTGTTGTATTGATGGTTGCACACTCACATACCCAGAGTTCCACGGTGCACTGTGGTTACAAGAAGCACTGTGTGCATTAGTGAGATATCTATGTGCGTCTTCACACTTCTGACAAACTCACACCAATAGTTTATCTTCACAATGTGTATTAACGTGTATGAACTTGTGAAAACACGCCTGAAGCAACTTGACACTTGTACAGCCTCATATGAAACTGTTCACTCTGCTCCAAACTGTAGAGATTTAACACATGACACACCACAGCAAAACTACAACAGGTGCAGGTCCCATCCATCTCCACTGTGACGGTTCACTGTCTTCTCAATGCTACTGCAGGTTACTTAACAAGGACTACTTAACCGCTTCATAGACTATATGCATTCTCCGTAGGTTTCAGTGCGGTGGCCCCAAGAGCTCAACGAACTGCAACTTAAGAAAACACATGCAAATGGACAAAACAAGCAAATTCAGAAAACATCATCAATACCACAACACATGTTCTGCAAATACACACAACACATGCAAGTGTAGAAACGGGCTGCAAGTAGCACAGACGACAATAAACCTGGCTGGGATGCACAAGTTGTTTAATGCTTTGTGACTTTTAAAGTTAAAAGCATTTTATAAAAAGTGCATCCCAGCTGGGTTCATCACTTTTTTACATCCCTTGGAAACAACAACCGTGTCCCAGCCAGGTTCATCACTTTTTTTTATGTTCCCTGTTAACACTTCCGTGGTCATTTGTGCTACTTGCAGCATTTTTAACTCATTGGTTGTGTTGTGAGTATTTGCAACAGATGTGTTGTCAAATTGATGATGTTTTCTGAATTTGCACATGTTTTTCTTAAGTTTCAGTGCGCTGATTTCTTAGGGCCACCGTCCTTCAGACCTTTATGTTTGCTCCCCTTCTACTGTCGGTGCCCACATACACAGTATTTTAATGCAGCCAAATTCCCAATAAAGCTGTTCTCATTTACATTTTTTTCCTTTCTATTGTCAGACAGTGAAACAAGTACAAAATAGTGACTGAATGTAGCCCATTTTAACCAGCTGCTGCTCTACTGCTTATGCCCTGATTTTATAACCAGGACTTTGTCTGACAAGATCACCAAACACATGAAACACATGAAACACACCTGCTATGGTGTGATTCCACCTGTGTTTACATGTAAATTGATCACTCAGAGAGAAAGTCAGAAGCTCAGTCACGTCAGCTGCCGTGCTGTCAGCATAAAGAGGTGTGTCTACAGAGGGAAAGCCCAACCTCATGTTCATGCGGCGGTACTGGCAACTTTGTTCCACGGAAAGTTTTGTCCAAAATTCACGAGATTCGTCAGAAGGTGCTTTGTTGAAAAAAGGTCAGTAAAGGCGTCTGAAATGTTGGTGAATCTAGCAACAAAGGCACTAAGTTGGCAACACTGCTTGTTCCAGCTAAATCATTTTGAAAGAGCAATGACCAATGAGGAAGCTCCAGTTCTCAATGGTGTAACCTTGAGTCAAGTGGCATTCAGCTGTCCAGTGGTGTCACTCCATCACTCATTCAACTCTATCACTGAGACTGTCCTCCTGTCAAAAATAAGCCCAAAGGTCGTTTGTGCAGCAGGTTATTATGGTCCATAGTTACATTTTGTTGCTAGGCGACACCTAGTTGTCGCAGTAATTATGGCAGGAGCAAAGGGAAGAGTGTGGTGACGTAGCATAAAGCAACAGTCCAAGTCAGGAGGAGGTTGTGGTGGATGGATGGGAACACAGGAATATGACACAGGAAAGCAGTGTCTGATTCCCATGTGAAAGTAGCAGTTTATATTGTGTATTTTATCCATGACGGTTTGACAAATTTATCCACGTTCTTATTATTGTTACCATGACAACAAAGATAGTGTAATGTTGAGGAAGTACTTATTTCAACCCAAATCTTTTCCTAAACCTAACCAGGTAGTTTTTGTGCCTAAGCCTAAAGAAGCAACGACCGTTATTATAGTAACCATGGGGACAAAAGTAGATACGCCGCTCTTGGCACAGTCTGCGTGTTTATTACAGTAACCATGACAACTGAGGTCTGGTACGCCTGTTGCCGACACTCCTGAGAAACTCCTGTGGGTCATATCACAGGGCTGAGAAAAATGACTTACCTGGTTTTTCAAGTTGGAGGTTTTGTTGCTGTTAGTCAGTCAGTCAGTCACAATCAGTCGTGTTTTTAGGGCTGATGTGGTCCAGCCAAAAATGTCAGTTACTCATTACTTAAAAAAAACATATTACTATAACAACACTTTCCAACAGCTCAACAGTTTCACACTTAAACGTCATATTTGTTGTATTTAATGAGTAGGAACAGAAATGAGACACTTTGGTTTAAGAAGACACACAGAGTGTAGCAGTTCACAAAACATAGGCCAGTCAACACACACACAACTATACTCATAAAAAACTAAAGTCCCGCCTTCACACACACACACACATACACACACACACAAAAACCCAGTCGGTTTCCAAATATAGCAGCTAGCAAGCGAAGAAGACAAAACAGGTTTGGACTTACCCTGGAGTACCCCTGGTATCCCAGTACCAGAGCTGACACATCCTGGACCAGTGTCTCTCTCCACTGACTGCAGGGACAAGCATCATGTTGAACTCTAATCCCACTAAGACAGCAAGCCCACCTATTTCTACCTGAGCCAGTTTGTTTTCCAGTGTATTTGATGTGAAAATCAACATAAAGCACTTTAAACATATAGACTATTATCTCTAATCCTGAGACTGACACACACGTACACACACACACACACCCTGTTATGGAAGCATTATATCAGCTGTCTGGTACAGTGATCTTTATGATGACGATCATGGTTATTTGAATGTTTTCAGTCTGACCGTCTCACATAAAAGCCCCGATACATCTTATGAACATTCTTTGCATGGAAACTTAATATGAAATGACTTCAAGCTATCATCTGGTGTTGTCACTCGTTTAACTGAAAGCATGTATGAGGTCAGTTTAACCAACTGGATAAGCAGGAAAAAAAGACCCCACCTCTTCAGTTGACTGCCCTCGCCTCCAGGAGCACTGTTTAATTACAGGCATTACAAAGACACAGTCATACACACTATGATAAATTATCCGCAGCTTCAGAAAGTACTGCCAATACATTTCTCGCAACTTCAACGGCAGAATTAAAACATAATTGTTTATTTTTCTAATTATTCAATTATGTGGTTTACTTTCTCATAACAACTAAATCTCTTGTTGTGTCTGTTGTTTGAACTTTGTGGCTTTCACATTTCACATTGTTCGAGGTATTTACGTTGTTAGTGTGAGCGAGGAGGCGGTCAAAAGAAAAACCCGCCTTTTAACCCTGAGACCGCTCTTACTGGAGAACAGTTCAGTGCTGCAGTCTTACTCTACACATTATGATGGACCTCGCCATGTTAACAGCTTTATTCTGTAAGTTTGTCGGACCCATTGTTTTTAATAGAACTCATTTTTTAACGTCTCTTCAAAACAGCAACGGCACTGAAACATACACATTCCTTCTTAATGATTTAATTAATGTATATAGTTTAGTTCCTGTTAAATTACGAGTGTTTCTGTTTCAGGCTGGATCTCTGTCTCCGTCTCTGAGTTTCACACTGTGGAGGTCCAGTCTGGTGAAGAAGTCACACTGATGTGTACCAACTTCACCAGTTCTATCAGTCACATAGTCTGGTTCAGACTGGACAACGGACCCAACGCCACCTGCATCTGCTCCATGCTCAGCTCTAATGCCAATGTTCCGCTCTCTGATGGATTTCAAAATGGAAAGTTTAACATGACGTCCAACATGACTACCCTCTTTCTCCAGATCAAACAAGTGGATTCATCCGACTCTGGACTCTATTTCTGTGGATCTAACTGGAACTATAGGTCAATAATTGTCAGTGCAACGTACTTAAAGGTTCAAGGTAAGACTTCTGTAAAGTCATTTCTGCCATTGGCAAAGTAAGGACTATGGTAACAACAGATTATAACAGATTGTAGATTATATTTATCATTAGTCTATATATCCCTACCCTCATTCAAATTTCATTGTCACCGTTGTATTTAAGGAAGAGCCGTCTCCAACAAATAAGATTTCCAAATGTCTATTTATATATGAGTCAGATCTTAAGCCACTGGAGATAAAGCTCTGTAGAGAAAATCTAATTTAAAAATATTTCTTTTAGAAAATCCTCATGCAACAACAAGTGTGATCCTGGGCGCTGTGACTGTTTCCCTCATCATAGCTGCCACCGGTATAGCTGTCACAGTCAGCAAATTTCAGACAGGTACTTGCTGAAAACAGTTGAAGTTGTTCAATATGAAAAACAAATCTAAAGCTTCCTGTCTATTAATGGAAATGTTTTTAAAAAAGTCACAATTATTAAATTGAGATTTATTGTTTTTATCTTGTAGCTGAAAATCAAGAACAGAATCTACAACGGAGTGAGGTGAATCTAATTTTAAAATGGAGTTAAGATTAAAGGTCCCATATTTTACACAGTTCTGATGTTTCGTTTGAAGTGTTGATATTCATCAGAAGATATATCTGTGGTTTTGAGAACTAAAAGGTTTTACATCTCCTCTCAGACTTCTCTCTAGAGCTCTAGCTACAAAAGGTCGGTGAGCCTCTCTTCTGAGGCTCAGTGTCTGAATACAGGCTGTGTGCATTTCTCTGTGGCCTGAGCGCTTTTATCCTTCCACAGTATTAATATAGAACCTACACCTGCTTTATAATCAAAAAAGACATGGACATCTACCTTTATACAATATGGGACCTTTAAGGTTAAAGTCAATTTGAAGGTTTTGTGTTGGAATTACTTTGGGTAATTTATCAGTGAACGACTTTATTTCACCTCAACACCTCAGCTGTGGAAGATGTGTGACTGTAAATATTTTTCTTGACAGAATCTGGACTCTGGTGACCTGAAAGATGCTGCACTGAGTTTGTGTTCAACAACAATAAGAAGCAGGAGGCCCGCATCAGTGAGAGAAGTGGAGACTCATGTTACGTATGCCACCAGCAAATAGACACAAGGACCTAATGTAGCTACACCTCATGCTGGAGCAGGAGTTGCATCATTTTGTCAAAAAAAAACAAAAAGAAAAACTAAAAAACTTATTTTTGTGATAGATTCTTCATTCATAAAAGAAGTGTGATCATTTTTGCATTATCCTCCTCTCTTTCTCAGCTTCACTCTGTTTTTATTGATGTTATCTAAAGAGTACAACAAGTGTTTGATGGAGGAAGAGCCAGACAGAGCAGTGTCTGCAGCGCTGAAGGAGGGAGCGAGACACATGACATGTGTGACAGGAAGAGACAGCTCAGTGTGGTCTGAGAACAGCTAAGGTGAAAATCGCGAGGCCTGTTAACGCCATGTTTTGCAAGAATAAAGTGTGAAATTAGCTTGTGAAAACTGGCTGACTTTCATTTTGTTTTCCTCAGAAAAGAATTAACTTCTGTCCATCTGAAAAAAAAAACCACATAGCACATCAAACTAGTATCTGCATATTTTAATGGTGATGTCAAAGTAAGTGTGTGTCAGGATCTGGTAAATCTATGAGGAAAAGTACATCTGTAGTTGAGTATTTAGTCCCATCTACCGACCTAGTATTCCACTGTGGTGACAAACAGCACTGTCTGTATCACTATCTGTATCATTAAAGGGGCTATTTGTAAGTTTTCTCTGGTTACTTGACAAGAGCTTTGGCCATCGTTGCATTTACAAGACAAGAGGTTATAATACATCCTCCTCCTACATCACTTTGTTGACTTTGCTTGTATGTCCTACATCTCCCACCTTTAACACACATCTCAAACATCGGCTTAAATCAAACCAGATCAGTGATCACTTTAAACTCAGTATGCAGCAAGTTGTATGTGTCTTTTTATTTGTATAGTTTGCTTGTAGTTGTGTTTTTTGCTTTATGTTACCTGCCTAGGGACCACAGATGTATGTTTACATTGTGTATTTTGTCCTGATGTTCATTAACATGCACTGTCTCTATCAAATAAAGAAATGAATAAAATACTTACATTTCAAAAGATTCCCTCAGAGTGTGAGGTTCACTTTTCGACCTAAGTGGTCACAGCAACGTTCAAATGCACTTCAGTACATAGTTCAGTAAGTAAATACATCATCATTTATGCAGCCTGATGCTCAGCACTGATTCACACTCAGTTGAGTGGTAAGTCCTCGTTAAGTCGGTTGTTAATCCAACCAGTGATGAATAAAACTTGCCCATACTAACATAATGCTTTAGTCAGTTTGAACATCTTCTAAACACCTGTAGATCAATGAGCATCCTGTCAGTGGTACAGCACTCTCAACCCTGTCACTGCTCCCCTCATCACAATTCACACTTTACAAGCTCCGCACACAAACTTGCATCACTACATTGTTGTAGCATTGTGACACTTGCCTAGCCTCAAACCAACAAATTTACTCCACTTAAAGGCTGCACATTTTTCAAGGTATGTCAGAAACCTTGAAAGCCGCAGCAGGTGGAGGTCCCGTCCAGCTCCACTGTGAAATTTGCATTTGAACCTACTGACGCTTCAAACATTAATCCAGTATTTATCATTGTCCAGGTAAGATTTAAAATGTTATTACTGCTACTGTAGCAGCTTATTGTAAAGTTTACCATTAACATTAGCATCACTGCACAAGCTAATTTTGTTGATCATTATTTGGATCAACTGCAGCAGTTTATAAAGTACCAAACACAATTCAGATTTTCAATGTCTGACTTAGGGAAACTGTGAGAATGTATTCAGTTCTAATACAGTTGTGTATACATCTAATACATTATACAGTACTATGAAATCGAATAACCTGGAGCTGAATTGTAAACTCTGCCTGTGTTGCGTGAGCGTGGCGGCTGCCGTCGGTGAGCTGCTGCAGAGAAACACGTGTGTGTTCACACCAGCAGTGTCTTTGCTGCTGCAGCTCTTTCTCTCTACATAGAGTTTGCAGGATACTATTTTCCCTGTGGTATGTGGAGGTGGTGTCAACGAGCATGAAGAGATACTCTGAGGTGTCCTGAGGAAGAAAAACATCGAAGTCAGCAGAGAACATCATTATTGCTGTGAATTATACTCCACACAGCAGGGTTAAACCCCTGTGCAGTGATGTTTCAGCAACCAGTCCAACGAATATAAAAGCTTTCAGCTAAAACATCTGTTGGATATGTCATTAACAGGACAGCTGTATAAGGTATCCTTGTACTTTATAGACTTATACAAACTGATTCCCTAAATTACATTTTGTAAAATATTGCCACATTATCAAATAAGATAATAACTTTCTCATTGCAGATATTTTTTCGCAGCCATTTTCCAGAAAGCATTTCTATTGTCCTTCTGAGCGACCAGATCAACAGAAGAACCTCCCGCCTCTTTACGCTGACACCACTCTCACTGGAGAATAGTTCAGTCACCAACATTAGAGTAGTGCAGTCTTACTGTACACACAACAATGAACTTGGTAACAGCTTTACTCTTTACCTGCAGTAAGTACTACTTTACTTTTCCTCAATACAACCATTGCTAACCGTTACTTCAGTAATCTGATGGAACACAAACGTAGAAACTGTTTATTAATAACATGATTAACTTGGTTCCTGTTGAATTACAGCTTTGTGAATAAAATACTTTGTTTGTTTCAGGCTGGATCTCTGTCTCCGTCTCTGAGTTTCACACTGTGGAGGTCCAGTCTGGTGAAGAAGTCACACTGATGTGTACCAACTTCACCAGTTCTATCAGTCACATAGTCTGGTTCAGACTGGACAACGGACCCAACGCCACCTGCATCTGCTCCATGTCCAGCTATAATGCCAATGTTACGCTCTATGATGGATTTCAAAATGGAAAGTTTAACATGACGTCCAACATGACTACCCTCTTTCTCCAGATCAAACAAGTGGATTCATCCGACTCTGGACTCTATTTCTGTGGATCTAACTGGAACTATAGGTCAATAATTGTCAGTGCAACGTACTTAAAGGTTCAAGGTAAGATTGTTGATGCTTTGTCTGTGTTTTGGTTGGAAAGAAACAGATATGTGCCTTCTGTAGTTGCTGTCAAAAGAAGAGCTGATCTCAGGCAGCGTATGATACAAAAAGTTAAATGTATTCTTGTATCTTTCTTGTAGAAGAGTCTGTTGAACTAGCAACTCTGACGAGTGCGATCCTGAGTGCTCTGGTTATTTTCCTCATTATCGTCGTCATTGTTCTGGGTCTCAAAATCAGGAAACTTCACACAGGTACTTGTATGTGTTTTTTATGGTGCAAGTGCACGACTTTACAAATACAAAACTTCCTGTTTACCAAGAAAGTATGAAGAGCGATATTTTCAATCAATGCACTGACCAGATGTGTCGTTTCTGTCATTTAGATTTAAAGGAAGAGGGACACAATCCACAACACAGTGAGGTAATCACAATGTAACCTTAGATTAAGATCAAAGTCTAGTTTACATGTTGTCTGGTCTTATATTTTCTCACATACTCAGCTGTGTGACATTAGTGACTATATATTGTCATTTACAGAATCCAAGCTCTGCTGACGTGACCTATGCAGCAGTGAAGTTCAATTCAAAACTCAGAGAGAGCAGTCAGCCTGCATCAAAGAGAGGGCTGGAGCTAAACGTTGAGTAAGCTGTCACCAGATAGACTCAGGAAACCTCTGGAACAGCTGCTCAGAGTGGAACTGGTGCTTTATCATATCAATCTGCTTTTGGGGTTTTTTGTGCAGTTAGTGGATGGGAGGAGTTGCCATCACTATAAAAAAAAAAATGTTTTTAAAAACTGTCAAAAAATGTTGTAATAAAGATTCTATGTTCATGCAAACTGTGAAATCGCATACATCTGTATTTGAGGGCAAAATAATACGATTGTTCCAAGCCAGTAATGACGCTGGTGACTGTTCAGACTCTCTTACACTGAGAGTTAGATGGAGGTCTGCAGCAGTGACAGAATGAGCCAGCCACAGATCACTAGTTTGACAGGAAGAGACAGCGCAGTGTGGTCTGACCACGGCTGAGGTGAAAATCATGAGCTAGGGTTTGGGTTAGGGCCTGTTAGGTCAAAAGTCTGAAAACAATCTGCAAGAGCACTTTCTGATACAACGTGAAGAGGCATAAAAGTAAAGTAACTGTTGATTGAAGCGAGGGTTGAATGTGTACCACAGGAACACCAGGAAGCATGCAGGGGGCAATGAGCAACGAGCAAGGTGAGAGGCACAAACTATTAAGTGGGCTCTCTGCCAGCAGGTTGTAGAGACGCCAGACTGCTTCCATACAGACTTTAGTTCTGTGTACTCTGTGGCTGAGACCTTTCGTACATTCGCGGCTCTCGTGGTGTGGTTTCATAAACTGTTTTATATTCATTTCAGTGTTTTATGGTTTGTGTCCTGCAAGTGCCCAAATTGTAATTTTTTAATCATTGCTAGTGGTTCTGACATCACTTGTTAGGTAGAAAAACACATTGTAGGTAGAAAAGGTGAAAAGAGATGGATGAAATGCATCATTATCACTGGATATCATCAATGTTACCATCCCAGCTAATTCGTGCTCCGTTGGTTCACAGGCAGAGCACTGACTGTCGATTATTTTAGTATTAGGCATTTTATTCATTATCTATCTTGCCATTTATTGTAGAGTTGATTACATATATGTGGCGGGAGCAAGCAGTGATATCCAGTAATGAACAACCAAAAACCCAACAACACCACCTTGGGAATTTCACCCAAGGAAATATATTAACCAACACTAGAGAAGCCATTCAGGTCCGTTCTACAAATGCAGCAGGAGATGTGGTTCCAGTAAAAAGAAACAAAATGTTTTCTGTTATGTTTTCTTTATTACAATATTAAACAATTGCTAAAAGCGATTAAAGCAACACCCACACATCAATTCTATAAAAAAATAGAATAGAATTTATTTTTTATAATAAGTAAAAAAAAAAGAAAGGGGAGCTTTATCAGAGCTGCTACCAGTGGGGAGATGGGCCAGTGAGGGATGAGAGGGATCCCAGGGAAAGTCAGACCATTTACATGTGAAGCACACATACACTCAATGGTGGAAAAACAAAAAGAACCTTAGGGTGCACTGCACAGTACACAGGAAGGAGACACCGCCACCGGAGGTCACCAGCCCCACCACCTTAGGCTCTGAGCTTCTGAAAGGGACAGGGAGAAACAATTAGTGGGGTTACGCTCCAACCAAAAATACTAAAGCTACTCAACAAAAATGATCTACAAACAGTGAACCACTCAGGCGGTTGACAGCCACGCATTTGTAAAAACAAAATAACCAAATAAACACAACAACATAACTAAGGTGGGCAACAAGAAATGTTCAACAGTGTAAATACAGCAAATGAACGAAGGAAAATTACTGTAATGGGAAACATTATCCACGAAGAAAGAGGTGGTAACTTAATCAAAAACAATAAATGGGCAAAGCAAAACATAGGCCTACATTAATTAATCAATTATTGCATCTAAACAGCAGAACTGATTTCAAATACACAGGAAATTAAACAATCACTAAAGGGGTTAGAAAATACAACAACAACAACAACAAAAAAAAAAAAAACAGAAAACAAAAACAAATTAGAAACAACAACTACTAATAAGTACGAGCAGCAATTTTTTTTCATAAATGAGGAGATGAATCCCACTGTCCACACACACAGTTAAAACAGCAGTTCCAAAAAGAGGAACTGACAGCCACGTCAGCCAATCGCCCAGGGGTTTACGTTTTTAGAATGAAAGCAGCAGCGTTTCCTGTATGTGAGCCGCCGCAGCTTCACACTGAGTCAACTGGCCCCAGACCCCATCATAAATAAAAAGGTTATGTATTTTAATAACCACAGTGCAAAACCAAAGAGTGGGAGCTAGGGCCTTGAGGTCCACACACCAGCTAGAACTGATCAATGGGCTCTGCGAGGGAGAGCAGAATATATCGGGCTCATACCGCAGACAATGTCAACATAAAACAGCTGTTACTCCACGTGCAGCAAGAGATAAGATAAGGAGCACCTACCGACAGCGATCCGCGAGCGGCTCACCTCGCAAACGAGGGGACCGGGGGGCTCCACAATAAGGGAATCTACAAGAGGGTGAAACGCCTGTTGTAATACGCATAGACTAGCAATTTGGAGCAGAACTTTGTAGCCACTGCTACCCTATCTGCCACACGCCGTGCTGAGAGACCTGCGGCGAGCAAACCCGGAAGTCAGGTGTATGCCTTAAGCATCAGAAAGCGTTGAGATGGCAACCACCCACCTTTAAACATGTGCCCCAAGGCAGCGATTGGCTAATAAGGGCTGAGTGGTTAGAGCAACGCCCACTTATCCCAGACAGAGATGAGTTAAGGGTTCTTTCTGTGGCTGGTGGTGGCCTCCAGTCCAGGGTCTGGGTGCTGGGAGGTCACTCCCTTTTCGAGGGTGATTTGGTTTGTGATTTCTCAGTTTTATCGGTGTGGTGTTTAGTTTGACGTGTTTTCTGGGTTATGGTTTTTCTCGCAGGAAGAACACTCCCTCTAGTGACCACCTCCACCGACCCTAGCCAACCAACTGTCTCTTCTTCCTTCTTTTTTTTTAACAGATAGCCACAATACCCGCAGTGACTGATGTAGAAATTGGAGTCCTCAAATGCACGTACTCTGGTGTAAACAGACTTTTCACTTTTAAACCTTTTAAAGTAGGAATGAAAAACAGTACAGGAACTGAAACCGCAGCTCAAAGGGAGACCAAATGTACTTAAAAATATTGATGGATGATTATAACTGATGCATTAACTTGTAATTTCATATTTTATGAACTGGTTATAGGTTTTCAGCTGCATGCTATTTTTTCCACTGTGTTACTGTCACAATTTAAGCAGCAGCCACAGCGCACATCAAATAATAATTCAATTAGCAATACTTTGTCAATACCTCAGACATTTTGCAGAACTTGAAGACACCATGCTGCAGCAAAGATGGAGATTAGTCAGACAAAGTCACTGCACCTCATTTGATCATTTCATGTCTCTAGTTCTACAAATGTCTACATTAACTTGAATTAACATCACGTGGTTGTACGCCTCCATCAAGCAGCGAGGTTGCAGGAAAAAACGGTCACACTCTCCCCTTCCTGAGTTACAGCATTGAATAATAGCCAGAAGTGTTTTGGCAGAACATTATGATGTCACAGTGAAGTTGACCTTTGAACTTTTGGATATGAAATGTCATCACTTCATCATTTTGTCCTATTAGACATTTGTGTTAAATTGTGTCGTAATTAGTGTGTGAATTTGTTGAGTTATGGTCAAAAACATGTTGTATGAGGTCACAGTGACCTTGAACTTTGACCTTTGACCAAAATCTGATCAGTTCATCCTGGAGTCCAAGTGAATGTTTGTGCCGAAGAAATGATCTTGTGGTGTCACTTGAGATATCACATTCACAAGGCTCAAATGAATGATTCACAATGAATCAAATTATTTGTTACTTGCAATGAAGAGTACAAATGTATATTACCCGCAGCTGATGATCTGATGATCTGACGCACTGTTGTGACAAACAGCTCCGTCTGTGTCAGTGAGCTGTCTGTATCATGAGCGAGATCTCAACCAGAGGAAGCTCGGCCTTCAGCTCTCTGCATCACAACCGCACACAACAAAAGCCTACATGTTCCAAACCAGAGCACAATAATACGCAAGATATTTTTGTGCTTGATTTCTTTTTCTTTTTTTTTTGAACTTCCTGTTGTGTCCAAACCATGTGTTGTAGCAGTGTGAGAAAATGTAGTCTGTAGTTCAGTTTCATCATGTAAATACAATGTAAAAGTATGATACTTTTTTTTTAACTGAGCATGCCAACAGTAAATATTCTCTTTTCTTACAGTTTTAATATGTTGATATATTAAAACATATTTCCAAGTAATATTTGTTGGGTTCAGGTGGATAACACCCTCAGAAAGAAAGCCTAGGCGCTTCCAACACGTGGACCCACTACGTTGATTAGACTTTGGCTGGTAATTTGTAGTGCCTCAGCATCTGTTGGGTAACTAGCTTTCATGCTAAAAACAAATGACTGAAATTGGCTTCCCTGATTAAAATGTATAAGAAAGACAACAAGGATCTTGAAGTGTGGCGTAAAAAGTGACTTAGAATTTATGAAAGAACTTGACAAGGCATGACAAGTATCATCCTGGTCCCTCCACTAAAGAGGTTTCAAACAACATGAGTTAAAAGTTAAAGCTAAAGTTAAAGATAAACCTTCATAAAGGCTTTTTTTGAGGATGGGGTGGGGGGCTGGGGTCCGTAATGAGCAAGATTTATTAACAAAAAAAAAAAAACAACCCCGCCTTCAGACTTCCTTGTTGGAGCTTAGTGTTATAAAGATCAAGTGCAACAATGGCAGGCTCATATGCATGATGATGAACTTTACTTTGACTTTAAGTGTTTTACTCCTGTGCAGCCTCAGTAAGTACTGGCATAAAGAAAAACATCAACTGTAATTATAGCTGTGTTCATGAAGGTTATTGTTTTGGTTCTTGTAACTTTATCAGCTGTGTGTCTCTTTCAGGCTGGTTCTCTCTCTCAGTGTCAGAGTTTTACACCGTGGAGGTTCAGCCTGGTGAGGAAGTCACTCTACTGTGCACCAACTACACCAGTTCTCCCACTCAGATGAGCTGGTTCAGAGCGGTCAAGCGACTGAAGCCCCACTGTGTTGTATCTATATTCAAGCCCTCTGAGTCTGCTTCATACTGTGGTGGATTTCAAAATGACAGATTCAATGTGACGTCCAACATCTCCACCATCTTTCTCAAAATCAAACAAGTGGATTTATCTGACTCTGGACTGTATTTCTGTGGATATAGCATAAACAAAAACCCGGTTATTGTCAGTGCAACATATTTAGAGGTTCAAGGTAAGAAACGTTCCATATGCAAATGTTACATACTGAATTTCCATATGTTAAATATGCACATATAAGATAAAAACACATGTAAAAATTATATATGAAACCTATTGATAATGTATGTCTAGCACACACAAATATGTATGTTTATGTATCTATATGCATCCCAAAGCCTGTCAGTATATGTTGATATTATACAGTAGGGTCCAAAAGTCTTAGACCACTTTCCCAGAATCAGAAGACAGACATTTGAAATGAATTAGAAATTAATAAGAAAAAGATATATAAGCATATAGAGTTTTTATATGTATTTTGTTTTAATGAACTTATACATATAAAAATTAAATAGATATGGTTCCATATATAGTTATTACACGACATCAAAATTCATCATATAGACATAACACATTTTACTCTAAGTGTTTCATATATGATGTAAACTTTAATATATCTAGAGGATGTATGTATGTGATAATAATATATCCCCTTATTCTTAGCATATATAGCAATATCACTCTTGATATAGGGACATATATGTCATCAATATGTTACAGTAACTCTTGTTTGACTGACGTGGCCTATATGTGCTTGTCGAAATAGGGATTTTGACAAAACATTATCAACATAATGTAAAATTTTAGAATACAGACTCTTCAGATCATCATCATTTTTGAAATTCTTCCTGTCTCACATGAACATTTCTGTTGTACATTGTGTCTGTCAATGTTAATATTAATCAAATCTCTCTTGTAGAAGTGTTTGATGGAATTGCAAAGACAACGAGCGTGATCATGGGTGCTCTGACCATTTTCCTCGCTATGGCCATCATTGGTTTGGTTGTCAAAATAATACAAAAGCTTCAGAAAGGTATTTTCACATCCTGTTTTTAAGTTTTAAAATCAGCGAGATTTTTGAACAGCGTTTACTCAATTGACAAGACATATTGTTTCTGTCACGTAGCTCATACTGAAGAAGAGAATCCACAACAGACAAAGGTGATGCTTATTAAGTTTTTAAAATTTCTGACAGTACAATCACTTCAAGTCATTTGTAAGTTAATGATATTGTAGTTTTCTCACACACACAGACACACACACACACACACACACCTATATGAGATGAGTGACTGAAAATCCTTATATACACAGAGTCAGGGTTCAGATGACCTGGACTATGCAGCAGTGACCTTTTATCCAAAAAACAGAATCCAAAGAGAAACAATGTGAGTCTGTCCTTTCAGTTTACTCTTGTTTAGTCTACAGTTTAAACGACGCCAGTAGCACTTTATTTCAGGACTATTTCTTTGTTGGATGTTTAAGATTTCTTTATCATTTCTGACATCATCTGATGTTGTTAATGAAGTCCTATAATTAAGAATGGTCTGACTCTTATTGACAGAATCTGGACTGGTGACCTGAACAGTGCAGCACTGAGCGTGCATTCCCCACAGTAAGAAACAGGAGATCTGCGTCAGAGACAGAAGTGGAGACTCATGTTATTCACAGTGGAACTGATGTTTTGTCATGTTAATCTGCTGATGTGATTCTGTGCGGCTGCTCGATGGTAAAAGTTAATATCTACTTCATCAAAAGTTCGGATTTTGCAATAAAGAGTTTTGCATGCAAATTCTTGGTAGTGCTGTATTTTTAATTCTGTCCTGCTCCTTTATTTTGCTCTCTCTTTCTCTCTCTCTCTCTCTCTCTCTCTCTCTGTCTCTCTCTATCGCTCTCTTTCTCTCTTTGTCGCTCCTCCAAACGCTGTTACCTTGTATACAGAATCTGATTTATGTTAGATGAAGGAGGAGCCAGAGAGGACGATCATGACTGTACATGTTACTCAGATGTTACAGTTAGATGTAGGTCTGCAGCAGTGGTGGAGTGAGGGAGCTGCACGTCACCTATTTGACAGGAGGACAGGAGACAGCACAGTGTGGTCTGAGCACAGCTGAGATGAAAATCATGAGGCCCAGTTGTATCAGCTTAGTCTCAGCCACAGGAAGACTGGCCTTCAGCTACGATGTGCTACTTCCTCGTGTCACTTTCACAGACAACAAATTATCTTGATAGACTGTATTGATGAGAGAGAGACCACATGTCCAAGCCGAGGAGACCTTTCACTACAACAACAGTTTTTTCTTCACTAACTTCTCAAATATACAGTATATCTGTCTTTTTAGCTGCTAAACCGCTAACTTTCCCTATCTGCTTTGGTTGCCCTGTCTACCACTGTTGTTCCAGTAACTGCAAGTCAAACAGATTTCAGTGTTAAATGTCCTTTCAGTTGTAGTGTGAATACATTGTTTATAAAATTTTACAAATCTTCAAAGCTTCTTCATTAAATGAGACGAAAACAGTTGATTTTTGTAATGTACAGCAATTGCAATATATTTCTGAAGATTAATAGTCTTTCGGAGAAACATTTGCGCTTCTGATTTTGTTCTAACAACTTTTGGTTCAGAAGTCATTTATGTCTACTTTGAACGACAAGCCCCGCCTCTTTCCAACAAAACCCCCTGTACAAGAGCTCAGAGATATCAAGTGTCGCTGGAGTGAGACGATCATACTCCCAATGAAGAGCTTCATCTTGATATCAGCTTTACTTCTCTGCAGTAAGTACTGTCATTGGATTATTCAATATCCTCTGCGATGCTGATTATCATTACATCATTCAAGATGTTCTGCTGTTGCGTTACCGGCTCTCTTGTTGTCTCTCTGCTGTTTGTTTCAGGCTGGATCTCTGTCTCCGTGTCTCAGTCTCAGACTGTGGAGGTCCAGCCTGGTGGAGACGTCACACTGCTGTGCTCCAACATTTCCAGTTTTCCAGCTTTCACATTCTGGTCCAGACTTTATAACAAAACCAATATCGGCTGTATCTCCTCTATGTATGATTCTGATGGCAACGTTTTATTCTGTGATGGATTTTAAAATTGGCAAATATGAAATGAGATCCAACATGTCCACAATCTTCCTTATCATTAAACAAGTGGGTTTATCTGACTCTGGACTGTATCTCTGTGGAGTTCACGTGGATGGACATGCAATACTGACTGTAATAGATTTAATTGTTCAAGGTAGGTTTTGGCTGTCTTTTGGTGATTAAACTTCTGATTTATCTATTTCAATACACTGAATTTTCAACCTCATAATTGATTCATGAAAATAAATTCAATTATTCTCATATTTAATCAAAAGCAATGATGCATTTCTTTTTGACTCTGAAGTCAGATATATAGGTAAGATTCTCCTAAATATTTCTTTCATTGACTGTTGATGTAAAACATCTGGATGGTTTCTCTTCAGTTCTCTAATGTTACTCAATGAGGGAGTTAAACTGTTGGCTCTTTCTTGCAGAAGAGCCTGATGGAATAACAAAGCTGAGACAGTATTCCTCATGGTCATCATTGGCCTGGTTGTTAAATACAGGAAACTTCAGACAGGTACTTTTGAGAGCTGCTGGTACTATCTTTGGTTTTGTTCACTTAAATTTGTGTCAATATGATGGAATAATCCCAAACTTCCTTTGTGCCAACTTGCAATTAACAGTGACATTAAAGGACAATGATGCTGAATTAGTTAATGAGTTAACCAGGTATTTGTCTTGTCATATAGCTCATAATGAAGAACACAATCCACAAAAAGAAAATCCAGCCTCTGATGACCTAAATTACACAGCTCTAAGTTTCCATTCAGAAGCCAAAGGGAGCAGAGGGCGTCCTTCAGAGAGAGAGCTGGGGCCAGATGTTTTACAGGCTGCCACCAGATGGAGTCAGGAAATATCCGGAACTGCAGCTCAGAGAGGAAGTGATGCTTTGTCATTTTGTGCAGCTTGTGCGTTGGAAGAGTTACTGTCACTTGTTACCACATTTGTTGCCATCCCCTTTGTCCAAAAATCTACTTTTGTAATAAAGATCTTGCTTGCTTGTGTCTCTATTGTCTTCTGTCTGACAGACTTAGTCCAGCTTGTGATTGGTGTGTGATGGAGGCGGAGCCAGTAAAGACGACTGACGGTCATTCAGAGTCTTCTATACTGAGAGTTAAATTAAGATGTGCAGCAGTGGAGGTGTGAGTAAGCGGGTCACACGACTTGTGTGACAGGAAGAGATAGCACAGTGTGGTCTGAGCACAGCTGATATGCATACTCGCATGCAGTAGTGGGGATGCATAAGCATTGATGCCCTGCTTGTTATTTTCCATTGTGGTGATAAATGGTGCTAAAAGTGAAGTATCAACCACAGGAAGACAGGCCTTCAGCTCTCTGCATCACAACCACACACAAAAAGGGTATGTTTTTTGGGGTTTTTTTTTAAGAATTCTATTCCATCAAAAATGTCTTTAAACAAGTAAGATTTTGTCACTTTTAAAATTAGATCCAATCTCCTTATGTATCTTCTCATCGTCTGTCTACTTGCGTTTACGACCATGACTGTGCATTAACAGATACACTGTGATGTCACACAACTGACAACACCCATGGAAACTGAACTGCAATATGAAAGTAATTAGAGCTGTTAAAACAGAAATTGATCTTTGTATTTTGTTCAACGCTGTAGTGTGAACACTTGAGAGACTTAGTTGTCAAGTTTAGAGAGTTTTTGAGCAGAGACATATCAGGGGAAATCTTCACCAACATTATATATATAGAGTTGAAGCACTATATAGTAATGATCAGCAATAAGTAGATGACTACTCAATTTAGATCCATTGTGATCACCTTTCAATTTTAGTGATAAACTCAGTCATTGATTTTTATATCTGCAGACGCAATTTTAATTTACTGTGTGAAAATCATGTTTGATACTCACTGTGTCTGAGTCAGGTGATTATATTCTGCATACAATTATGGTTCTGAAGGGTAACCACACTGCTACTACTTAAATAAACTAATGTATTTTATGGGACATCATAACATCTGGACCACACTGCACAACCACACAGCTGGCAGGGTGTTGGATATGTCAAACCAGTAGGACCTTTTGAATTATGAGCATGTTTCCCCCTGTTGGCCTTCAGTGGTATGTACAGGTTCAGAAAAAATGAAACTGAAACAAAACTACACCCACTGATGATGTACTCAAAAAAAAAAAGCACTGAAATCCTAATCAATGCACCAATATGAGGGCATTCATCATCTTAAGAATGCATTATTGCATTTTCATAGAAAGTATGCATTTAATTTCTACAATGGAAAATCTAACTTCCCACCTAAAAAAACTAAATCATTTATATTTTTGTCTATTAGAATTTAAATATTTACAAATGTGATAAAAAAAAGTTCACCTTTTAAAACAAGACTAGGGGAGCTCAGCGTCATGAAAACCACAGCTAGGTGTCAAACCTCAGTCTTTTTGATACCGACCAAAACGTGTTCCTTTGTTGTGGAATCCTGGATTGTACAGTGACAACAAACCGAAGCCTCGACCTCATGAGGAAACTGCTGTGGTAAGCTGGTATTTATGAGAGCTATTTATGAGAAATGCACAAATTCTAATTATAAATTATAGGGAGTGTAATAGTTAAATAATTTTGCCAATTTATGAGTTTTTTTTCAGGCAAGTTCTTTAACAGATGCTTATTCCATACAATTATTTTGCTGAGTCAACATAAAGGTTATACATTATTTATACATAACTCAAAAGTACTAAAAAATAAAGTTTCTATCATATCAGTACTACAGTATAATCATACTGAATCCCAATTATCACCAGTTACTTTTCAAAATAGTTATACAGACCCTCTGATAAAAAATATTTTACATCCTACTAAGTTGGAATGTGCAGTTAAGACTAGAGAAACCTTAAATTGTAGACAATGTAATTCATTATAATCAGGAATGATGCAATTTGGGAAACAGCTACATCTACACAGCTTTAGTATCAGTATATTAGTTAACAGTGAGTCCACGTTATTGTTTTAAATATTTTATTCATGCAGGTCAGAATCCAAAATGGCAATACAAAGCACAGCACTGTAAACTTCTCACCTCCATCAAAATTCTGTGTGTAAAATCAGTGAATATGGCAACTTCATTGTATTGACTTATTTCCCTGCTTTACAAGGGTTTAATCAAGCTCATCATGTCTGTAAAACAAAGTGTAGAATTTCTGATTCTGTCCCCAAGTCAAAATCTTGTCATCTAACCAAACCTAGCTATCCTAAATGTCTCTGAAATTTCCAGTTCCAAAACCATTTGCCGCAAAGCCAAACATGCTCTACAATTTGCTGGCAGTGCTGGAAAAAAAAGACAACTATATATATGTAGCTCAGAATTAATTCCCAGCAAACACTGACAATAAAGAACAGCAGATTTACAGCTGAATGGATAATTGTGTACAGCATGGAAAACAAACTTTAACTAGGTAACACTCAGGGTCCTGTAAATAATCAAAATCAAAGTAAACCTCTGTAGCAGATAACTAGTAATATTTACCTATAAAACAGTTAAATGTGAGCATGTGCTGTCTGTAGTAGTTGCAGTAGTCCTTAAAGCCCTGGACTTACCTGTTGACTCTGAAGATCTCCAGTCGCCTTTGATGTCATCTCCCCCCAGATTCAAAGGTAACTAGTCTCATCTATGAAATCTCACCTGTTGGGTGTGGCCCTTATTCACTTCAGCTATAATGGGAGCAAGTTTCAGTTTTGGCATTAATAGGGAGGGGGGGGGCAAGGTAAAAGGTACGCTGATGAATGATAAAAGCTGTATTTAGTATTTCAGAGAAGGCCAGATAAGAGATGTTTCTTTAATCAGCGTGACGATTTTAAAGTTTGTTATTTCATCATAAATAAAACGCATGATCAATGATTTTGTATTTACGAAAGTATTCAAATCTATTCAAGCGGTTGGTTACACTGTTGAGGTGTTTTAGCGCAGGGCATGATTTGAGCACATCTGTGAACAACATTACTGCACAAATCCGTTTTATTTAAAAAAAAAAAAAAAAAAAAGAAAGATCCAACAGTGGACAGGTACATGTGAACGCCTTTTGGTAACTGTGCTACTAACAGTTACTTTCTAAATGTGTAAAAACTCCTATGTCTTAGCAGTTTAAATTTTCACAGCAACGCCACATGGAGGTTTAGTTTTCGATGTAAAGTTTAACATGATGGAAGCAACGTGCAGACTAGATTTAATACCAAACATAATTCAGTTCAGTTAAATCTACAGTCACAAGTATCGCCTAGAAACTTCTGCTGAAATGATTCAGCTTTCTAAGGTTACACACCACATCAGAACACTAATTATCCAAACGTAAAGGTACAATAAAAAAAAAAAAAAAAAAAAAAAAAAAAAAAACACGCCTAACTCAGACGTCAAGCATTAAAAATACTACAGCACAATGACAAACTAAAACAATCTGGGGAAAAAAATACGAGATTAAAAGTTGTCCCAAAATAATAAAAACAAAAACAGACGTGGACGTCGGCAATTCAGTTCCTCCTGTGAGCATCTCAGGGGAACGTAACGCGCTCTGCCGCAGACAGGAAGTGGATAGTGTCACGTGCATCAGGAGGCGGCGAGTGGCGACGCAGTCGGACGACGATCCTGAAAAAAGAGCAAATGACACAAATGAACTGTCTGCAACTGTTGATACAAAGCACGTTGTTCCATCGTAATTACCTACATGTTTAGTTTTTTACGAGTTCTGTATCTCGAGAACCGTTCTTCAGTCAGAGATCCCAGACTGGACAGTCTGCCTTTGTCGGATTATGCCACATATTTAAAACTGGTATTAGCTGAAATCCAAGTAAGAGCACAGCCGTGCATTGTCAACGAATTTACAAATTGTTGAGTACCACTGTACGCATGCTTTTTCAAATCTTGTTTTCCCCACAAGATCTAGAGCGTTCGGAGCAGGTCACAAGCTGTCTCTGCCTTTATGGGACGAAGGGCAATTTAAGAAAAGATATTAACACCAATCTACCTCAGACCTATTCTCACCTTCACATGCCGGGCCTTGCTTAATAAGCGTAGCGTGCAGGCGGTGGCGGGGGCAGCCGGTCTGCGTAGGGGTCCCTGGCACGTGGAACTCCGTATGCCGGGACCCGGGAGACCGGAGAGAGTCGGGAGCGCTCATAGGAGTAACCATTACTGGCGGGGGGCATTGGCGTGCTAGGCGCTCTCCTGAGGGGGCTGCGATCTCGGGCGTAGTACGAGGACGGGGGAGGTGGGAGGGGGCGACGCTCATACGGGTCAAGCGGCGAGGTCATAAGACGGTCTCGGACGACGGCTGAGGGGGGAGGGGGAGGAGGAGGGGCGCCAGCACGTTGATCCTCATAGGAGGCGATGCCATACGGACGAGCTCTGTACTTCTCATAGTAATCTACCACGCCATATCTGTCCCTCTCACCCTCATAGGGACGGTCGGGATAAACAGCTCGTCTAGGGGGAGGGGGTGGCAGAGGGGGGGCTGGGTAACCTGGGGGTATATGGCTGAGACGGCCTCTCAGGTAGCTGGGTGGGGGAGGCTCGTGCCTCTCTCCTGGATAGCGTGGAGGCCAGTAGCCACCTCTGTCTGGGGGAGGAGGGGGGTAGTCATCCCGTTCGTCATGTCTGGGACGGCTCTTGGAAATCTGGACATGGATGCGTTTTCCTAAATACAAACGAAATTACAGATAAGAAAAAAAAGACATATTACATAACCAGGTTTAAAACAACCATACACACTTCACAACTACTTATTTTACATGATGGCACTTTCTTACCTTGGAATTCTGTGTTGTCCAGTCCTTTGATGGCATCCATGGCCTCATCAGAGTTGGACATATGTACAAAAGCAAAATTCTTGACAACAGCACACTCTGTGACTGTGCCATACTCTTCAAAGAGAGCACGGAGCTCCTCATCAGATCCCTTCTCTACATTCGCTACATGCAGTTTGACTGAGCCCTGGTTCTTCCCGTGGCTGGCCTCAACGTTGATCGGTGTGCCATGAAGCTTGTAGAGGTGCAGATTTTTGATGGCTTTGGTGGCGGCCTTTCGGTCATCCATGTGGACGAAGGCGTAGTTCTTGATGATGGCACATTCTGTGACTGTGCCGTACTGTGTAAAGAGTGCCTTGATTTCATCCTGGTCTGCCTCCCGGGGCAGATTTCCCACAAAAATTTTCACCATTTTTTTAAAGACCTGTTCCAAGGCAATTTAGAGAAAACGGGATAAGCAGGGGTGGAGAAAGAAAACAAAACGTTCAATTAAAATGAATAGTGTTTACCTTTTTTTAATAACGTTTAATAGTAGGCCTAAAGCCTTTGCTCTCTCATAGCTGCGAATTTAACGGGCCCGTTCACTGCAAAATGGCTGACGACAGTTTAACTAACGCAGCAAGTCAACTTTTTTAAAATAAATTATCGAACGCATTTTAACATTAGAACATATACACCCTGTTTTGTATCATTTAAACGCCTCAACGGGGAAAATTAGGTCTTATTTTTTACGAATTAGCTTGTGCTAGCTGTTAGCTACGGTTAGCTCGCTAGCCAAGCCACGCTAATAGGCCTACACAAAGCACCGCAGTCCAAGCGCAAAGCAGCGAAACGGCGAACAATCAAAGCTAAGTAGATATTTCAAGATTTTAAAATGCGTTGAATAGTAAATACCAAGACACCAGCGTGTAAATAGGTTACCTTTTTTTTACCAAGCGGCCACTACAAAGAATTCAAACCCCTTTCGAGGGAGATTTCCTCTGACCAGCTTCCGTTTCGTTTTTGCCTAGCCGGTTTTTGCCCTCTGCCTTCTTCTTCTTCTTCTTCGCGTGTGCTGTTCAGGGTCACCACCACACCGCCACCTACTAGTCAGGGGGAGCAGTGCTCACCGTAGTGCAATGGATAATAACAAACGTTTATCTACCGTGTTCACTTTGTTTTATGTCTACAAAAAGAATTCGTTGACATACTTTCCACCCTGTGGTGACTGTATATTATATATTCATGTAATGACCCTGTATATATGATAAAGTTTAAAAAAGGGTGATATGTCATTTTTTGTCCTGGCCTTCCCGAAATCCTCTTCCAGTTCATCCCTGTCCAAGTTTGGTAAAAAAAAAAACAAAAAAAACATCTTTAATTACATCCCTCGATTCCCGTGTGCCTGGTATCACTGGGCAGGGAACTAAAGAGATTGATTAACGTGTAACAGATCAGTTTTGCGGCCAAGCCTCTTGCTACTGGTTGTAGATAATGCAGGGTAGGTTATTAACTTGACACCATGTAGCGACTTCGTTTCTTTTTCAAGTTTCACATTCTTTACGCTCTCGTTGCATCATTAGGAATTTCCAGGGCTGCTTCGTTCAGGTGCTCATCATAAAATTGTATATAAGAGAACAGCGATCCACCCATGAAAGATTTCATTAGAAAAGTTGAAAAAATGAACATTGAATCAAAGCACTGAATAACTTGCGTTTTTTTATTATCATTATTATTGTAGGACTACTGGCACAAACTGAGAAATGTGCCTATTGAACCTCCCAAATCTTAGGAAAGGCAGGATCTCCAGTCTGCTTTTATCGTCTAAAAGTATAAAAACACAACTATAATAAGTTTACAATGGTATAAAAAAGAAAGAAGCAACTCAAATGATCTGCAAAGCCAGACTTTTCCGATCTCTTCTGAAATTGACAAAAGTCTGAATTTGCACTTGAAGGCAGCATTGTTACTACTGGGTCTTAGGACGGTGACGAAACTCTGGAAAGAAGAAAACAGCTTGCAGTCTTCCTGTTTTCATCGTCAGCAGCAACACCGTTAGTTTGAGAACTTACAATTGGTATCATTTGATTCTGTTGATGGATTAAAAGCATCTGTATCTGCAAATTATAAACATCAACATACAGGTAAGGCACAAACATTTCACAGCAGTAATTTATATGGTGTTGTATTACTTTACTTTTTGTTTGACTGACTGGTAATTTCATCCACCTCATTTCACTGAATTCCAAATGTGTTTTTCTGTTCCTAGAGCCTTTCTTCACAGAGGGTGTACCCGTTACTGATATCATCAGGAATATTTTTTCACAATGAGTGTGTCTCAAACAATGGAGACAGAGGAGGATCTCCTGACTTGTCTCCAGATCAAGCTTTACCACCCTCAGCAGAATAGCAAGGGTCTTTATGGATTGCTTCCCCTGGGGAAGAGGAGCAGACACTCAGCAGATGACCCTCTGAGGCTGGGCCGTGACAGCCAGACCTGCACCTACGCCCTGCTCGACCCTCGGGTGTCCCGAAAACAGCTGGCCCTCCACGCCTACCGCACACCCCAGGGCCCAGACATGCTGTTCACCGTCCAGAACCTGAGCCAGAGGGGACGACTGTCTGTGAACAGCTCAGCTCTGGGCTACCTGGAGAGGATGGATCTCCCTAACAAGGCCCTGATCCGGTTCGGAGAGTATGAAATCCTGATCATCCGTGAGTCCGGCGAGGCCAAGGGGAGCTTTGAGGTGGAGTTTGAGATGCTAGCTGTGCCTCCGTCAAGGGAGACAGGCATGTGTGTGCCTACTATGACACCTGTCACGGACACAGGCGCATGTGTGATGAATGGTCTCCCATCTGAGCTCATAGCACTTGGTCCCCTGGAGACTGACGAGACCCTCATGTGTCAGTCATAACCAACTAGCGCCTCTCTGTGAAATGTTGTGACCTACTTTTATACTTTTTTTTTATTGACTTGCAATTGAAGGCAACGCAAAATGCCCCATAGTTGTTACATTAAAGTTCATACAGGCTTAGATAAAATCCCTGTTTATAATGTGAAATCATCATTGTTTTGTATCCTATATCTATTACTTTCATGTCTATATTATTAAAAAAAAAGCTGTGACCTTAATAACCCTTACTTTGTAAGTGCAAATGCTATGAGGTCTTAAATGTATTGCTTTCTACATTTTCATCTCACACATTAAATTGTTTTCAATAACATGTTTTTGTGAATGTTGTTGTTAAATACTCAGCCATAGGTCTCATCAAGATGCTTATGGTATTCATTCATACAGCACATTCCCATATACAAAACAAACTGGTGTAACATCTGGTCTTTTAGAAACAGGTTGTTCCAGATTTGCTTGAGATAAAACAGCTCTGCTTTTCATTTTGAGCTCAGGTTACAGTGATTAGCTGGGGTAGACAACAAAAAAAATCACTTCTCTACTTGGCATCAGTTTCTGGGTTGGGTGCACTTTTTTTGCAGTTTCATTCAGTGGTAAAAGTATCAATACAATAATGTAAAATGACTCCATTACAAGTAAAATTTATAGGTATATATATTATTATACAATTTTTAGTATTATCAATAAAATATACTTAATGCTTCAAAAGTAGAAGTACTCCTTTTGCATTGTGGTCTCTTTCTGAGTAATGTATTATTATGTAATATGTAAGTGTTATTGGTACTGATACAGTAATCTGTAAGGAGTATTTTAATATTATTTCTAGTTCAGGTGGAGCTAATTGTAACCACTTTATATAAGCTGATAATACACTCCGGATGAATGTTTTCATAATAATGTAACAATATAATGTATATTATATAATAATAACAAAATAATGTAGAATAAAAAGTATATTTCCATCTATAATGTATTGGTTTATAAGTATAAAGTAAGACCGAAATACCTACATATAAATACCTCAAAATTGTTCTGAGGTACTTGAGTAAAGATTCATTTCATTTCTTTTTAGAGCAGGCATGTTTATTATGTCGTCTACACAGACATAAACAGCAAACACAGATACAAAGGTGAGACAGTGCATGACCATAAAACAAGATCTGTGTTGACTCACTGAGCAGGTATTCTGTTTGAGAAACCCATGCCGTTTTCTAAAAGTCCGAGAACAAAGTCCAGAACTGAACTGAACTTACAAGAAAGAACTGCAAAATGAGATCTTTATCTACAGAATAAAGATTACAGTGTCACATAGCAGCAGCCATAAAAGTTTGGAATGTGATCACTCTCATGCAGCAGACCTGATAACCACCGCTGGTCAAGACAGTACGACCAACTCTGGTTTCCTGAAACTCCATCCCAGCAGGAAGGGAGTGTGCTTACACAGAACTTTATTTAAACTGAAATAACCTGTGACCAAACAAAACTAAAACAGGAATAGAGAAAATTACATCTATTCTTTGGTATTTGTGGGGGGATTTACTTTCAGTTTTATATTGTGTAATTCAGATTACATTGTGTTGTCGCCTTCTGACAAGTAGAGCCACTATAATTTCTGTCCATCTGTGGCTGGATACCTGTCCTACCTCTCACCTGGTATTTGCTGCGATATGTGATCTTCTCTTAATCGTTTTTTCTCACTTATCAAGAGACAAAAGCAGCATGTTCATCATTGCTGAAAAAGCTCATCTGCAAATTTTATAAGGAAAAAGTCATTGCAAAATCAAGTGACACTAGCTAATAGTGAGAAAAAATAGTAACAAAACACAGACTACTTAGAACTACTGCAGGGTCTGACATCACAGCTGAATTCAGTAAAACTTGTTTTTGTAATTTTGTACAAAAACTGTTTGTCTGCCTTTATATCCCACACCTTTTGTTATTCATATATATATATATATCAAAATCAGACTCAACTTTTACAGTGTAGATTGTGAGCTACAGCAAAGTTTGTGTGAAACTGGGAGAACTTTCTTAACTTAACGGCTAGAGGTAAAAGTTAGGAAGCCCAGTCCATAAATGCTTGGAGCTGCAGGATAGATCAAAGCAATATCTTTACAACCACAATAAACTACCTGGGATTAACAGCAAAGACAAAGACAAACAACCTTCTTATCAAAAAATCTTATATTTACTAAGGCTTCTCATGTTTAAACATTTTATTCTGACAGGGCATACAGAAAGTCTATATCCATGTTAAAAAAAAAACCTGTAATATACAGTGTATGAAATAGTTGTAGGTACACAAAAATAAAGATAATAGTAAATTATATTTAACAGTTGTAAATACAAAGTCATGCATAGCTTTCAAGGAAATATTCCAGGCCTTAAGGTCTGTATCAAGAGGTCAGAGGGCCTTTGTCGGGTGAGATGTGTGGCTCAGGAGGTAGAGCGGGTCATCCGCTTGTCGGAAGGTTGGTGGCTCGATTCCCAGCTCTTCCAGTCTGCATTTCAAAGTGTCCTTGAGCAAGATACTGAAGCCCAAGTTGCCCCTGACGTGTCATCATTGTGCAAGTGTGTGTATGGTAGAAAAGTGCTATATGTAGGAAAAAGCGCTGCATGAACACCTGTGTGAATGGGTGAATGTGGCTTTCCTCGTAAAGTACTTTGTGGTGTCCCATTTACGGATGCGATCAAGCTTTTTTCAAGTTTGAGAGTCCTATAGGACTGAGTCCAACCCCATTGTTTTGGTGTCATCAGCTGCAAGGCACGAAGATGCATCATGCAGGTTTTCTGCGCTGGGACATTTACTCCAGCTCTCCAAACAACGGACCAAAACCGGACAACATCCACTTCCTGTAAAGCAACAGACACTTCAATCAGGGTTTGCAAAATAGACAAGTCTCTCATGGACTTCAAAATAAACTCGCACTGCCTTACCTTTAACCGCAGCACCGTCGGATCCCATGATGCTCAGAGTCCTGTCAATACACGTCAAGACCCCTTTATCGTCGCCAGAGCAGAGACAAGCCTGTGAACACAGACACAGGGTCAGAGATCCCGCTCATCACTGATGAAATAAAACATTTCTATCAGTTCTCCATTATCTCATACCTAGTTTACATTATCATTACTACAACTTTTCAATAATTTCCTGAATGAAATTGAAATGTTTAAGTCCAAATTTAATGCAACTGATTTAAAAATGAAGTACAAGCTCAAGTATTTGCTTTACTAAATTAAAAAAGAAGAAAAGGTGAAAAGGATTAAGTGTTAAGAATGTGATAAGAATTCCCTTTTTCCCATGAGGACTTAGGTAGGTGTGTATGCAGTATGGTTTAAACAATATCTACCTCTTTTCTTCGGGAAGCTGGATATCTTCTGAGGATGACTTACCATGAGCTGACATCTCTTGCATAGAGTCTAACAACCTACAAAGAGCAAAAATACTAAGAATACCAAGCCTGCATGCAATTTGTGATACATATACGCAGGTTATAAATGTTGAGAGTTAAAGCAGTAATGCAAAGTGTGACCAATACATAATGTGATAGAGAAATGAAGAATGCAAATCAAGACTTCAGAACAATCGTCGCAAGACGACAGAAACATGGGCCAGCGCAGTGAGTGTTCTACTTCTAGGAAACCACTCCGATTGGCTCGACACAAGGTAGGAAATGCAGACGCTGAGGGACAGGAACAGGGGACTACGCACAGCAGCCGATGGACGCAGTTTAAATACGTCTGTGTAGCCACAGGAGAATATAGGAAATAGAAGTAAACTTGACGGTTTGGTTACTCCTGGGTTTCCTGTATTAACTTTTAGGGTCTTCCAAGGGGAAGGCAGGAGCAAAGTTAACTTTTTGTTCATATTTGAGTTTGCATACATGCATTTTACACTGACAATGCCTTAAACAGTGATCAATTTAACCTCCATCAAGTCGTGGAGATTACGAGAGCTCAGATGAACACGCATCAACACAAGATTTCAGCGTTGTTTCGCAAACAAGAATTTTAAAAACACACATTTTCAATCATTTTCACTTGCAATGAACAGGACAGAGAGCATCACCTACCATGTGTCAAGCTGATAACTCAAGGGTGTGGAGAATTAAACTGAAAGCGTGTTATGAGTCAAACGCCTGGGTATTACTAGATATAACTGATCTGGAGAATAAAGTGTTTGGGCTAAAAAGGCCTACCCAGGGTGGAATAATTTGACAGTTAAAACGCCATTTTTGGTTTCAGTCGTTTATTTAAAAAGCTTTCAAATAAAAAGCAACTTGTGAAGTGAATAAAAATCATACATAACGGTGCTATAGATTCTGTTTTCGCAAGAAAAGATAAACACAAAGTGTAAAAAGAACAAAACCACACTGAAACTTTTGATTTGTCATGCTAACATATGTCGCAAATCTTAAGAGATTATTGTACAACCTGCCACACCAAGGATTATATTAAAGCACTTCTACACTGATTTTTTAAACTGATTTTGATGAACATTTTGTGATCACCCACCAACCTTAGTCTGAACACAATGATCTTCCCTTGTTATAATATTATATCAGTTTCCCAGAGGCCTTATTCATTTAGAAAGACTAAGTTTTGCAGCACTGCATCACACTGGAGTAGATTAAGGCACCTAAACCAGCATCCTATTCTGAAAAACACTTTAAACAGTAAATCAAGCAGAGGAACAGAAAAGGCATAAACAGCTCAGATGAATACGTGAACTGTAGACATGGAATCCTATGTTTTAAAGTACGGGGCTCTCCGCAATACAGAATCTTCCAGTAAGTCTCAGGCGAACGCGACGCAATCCGCCATAGACAAGGAGGGTGTATAGCACCACATGCATCAGCAGACGACGACGATCTTGTCATATTCTAAACCTGAAAAGAGAGCACACCACACATGTCAAAGAGCGCGTTTTACTCAGGAATCGCGCAAGACTGATTTTTGACGTTAAAGCAGCAATGTTTTAGGAGTCAACCAGCAAAGTTTGTTTGTATATTGATTTATTAGCTGAGCTAGATCTGCAGGAATTAAAGCTCAACATAATGGTGATAATTTAAAGCGTGATTCTACCTCAATTTACGGATTCAGTTCTCATTCATTTCAGTACACATTCATTTGAATTTTTTTTCAATCATGTCTATCTATGTAGCTTATGGTGTCATGAAACATCTTCTCTCTGTTCTCACCTTCTATTACACTCGGGTGCCTAATAGCCTGCATAGCGAGGTGGTGGTGGCGGCGGCGGCACTCTGTCCGAAAAGGAGTCCCTGGGGCGGGGAGCTGCTGCATACATTGGAACTCTGGACATTGGAGAGAGCCGGGACCGCTCATAGGAGTACCCGTTACCGGCTGACGGAGCAGGTGGAAGGGGGGCTCGTCTGATGGGGCTTCGGTCCCTGACCATGTAGGATGGAGGAGCGTGTGGAAGCGGGCGGCGTTCATATGGGTCAAGGGACCCCATTCCAAGACGTTCTCTAACCAGTGCTGAGGGAGGAGGAGGAGGAGGGGGGATGGCACGCCTATCATCATAGCCCTCGGCACTGTAAGGACGGGCTCTGTATTTCTCATAGTAATCAACCAGCCCGTAGCTGTCTCGTTCGCCATAGCCACGCGCAGGATAGAGTGCCCGTCTCGGAGGAGGGGGTGGCGGAGGCGGAGGAGGGTAAGCGGACATGTGGCCTCTGTAGGGAGGCTCAGGCCTCTCCCCTGGGTAGCGAGGAGGATAATAGCCTCCTCTGCCTGGCGGAGGTGGATAGTCCTCCTCCTCGGGTTCCCCTCTGGGTCTGCTTTTTGATATCTGAACATGTATGCGACTTCCTGAGAGAGAGAAAAACATTGTCCCTCAAATCTAAAAGGTTAAAAATACTGATAGTAAGGAAATCCCCAAAACTTCCAATCCTTTCACTCGTAAGAGTAGAATATCAAATTTATTTACCTTGAAACTCTGTGTTGTCCAGGCCTTTTATGGCATCCATGGCCTCCTCATGATTGGCCATGTGCACAAAGGCAAAGTTCTTGACAATGGAGCACTCTGTGACTGTGCCGTACTCTTCAAAGAGAGCGCGGAGCTCTTCATCAGATCCCTTTTCTACATTGGCAATGTGGAGCTTAACAGGGGGGGACTGGTTCTTCCCTCTGCTCAGCTCCACATTGATGGGCCTACCACTCAACTTATACAGATGGAGCTCACGGATGGCTTTGGTAGCAGATTTGCGGTCTTCCATATGGACAAAAGCATAGTTTTTGTACTTGGCACATTCTGTCACTTTGCCATACTGGGTAAACAGAGCCTCAACTTCATCCTTCCCAGCGTGCTGAGAGAGGTTACCAATGAAAATCTTCACCATTGTTGTCCAGCGTATTCTCTGTAAGAGGTAAAGACAGGGAGGGTTAACACAGGCCACAATGCAGTAACAGAAAGTAACCAGTGGGAGCAAATGCTGAACAGATAACGTCAGTATCAGGAAATAGAAAGCTTGTAATCGAGGCGACTGCAGGCTAAAGGGCCACCAGAGCGAATCATTATACAAGTCCGTCACCAAAATAACATGCTTAACTCAGTTACTACAAACGTTTAAAGTTTGTTATTATTCTAAAAACTGTGCGACTACAAATACAACTGACATATATAAGGCTGGAGTCGAAAACATTTCCGTGTTTATACTTCCTGGCCACTGAGCTGCTAAACAGGCTTGTTTAATTTGAATGCTATCTATTAGCAAGCTAACGTTAGCTACCAGGTGTTAGCCAATTTGTGTCAGAACCGCATAAATTGTCATTGACAGTATATGCAGTTACATTTGAAGACATGTAAAACTAAACGTCAACAGAAAGAAGTTGAGAAACACAAGAAGACGTAAGTAGGCTACTCACTACTTTTAGAGGCGCCACCACGGAGTCGAAAGTCCAAATCTGACAAATAGTAAATACGTGCTGACGTTACGCGCGCAGATAGGTTTCTGATTGGTGGATGGACGCGTCGCTCAAAACGTACGGACTGTGATTGGATGAAGTGTGAAGCAACGTTTTCTTTAAAAGGTATATGTATGAAGGTGTGTCTCGTTTGACAAAAGTTTGCTGTGACCAGAAGAAAACCAGATTAAATGTGTGCTTTAAGTATGTTTTATTTGGAAACACACGAATACACACTTCTAAGCCGCACTTTGGGAGTAGCTAGTAGTAGTTTACTCTCCTCAGTTTATTTATATTATTCATTAACCTGGTTTTATTTGAATACTACATTCATGAATTGAAAATGATTACATTTTGTTTTCATGAATGAAATCAAACTGCAATAATTACTTCTTCTTTGAACAATAATTTATTATACTTTGTCAAAATTATTTACCAACTACATCTTTGTATAAGTTTATATATAGATATATACAAAAATAGATATAAATATATGTACAGGCCTATATATTTATTTTCATCTATATCCATACTTAATTACACGCAAGCAAATTTATATCTAGAACAGGAGAAAAAAGTAAAAAGTCTTACGGTACATTCAGTCAGTGGAAAATCAATGAATATTGACAATATTTGTATAATAATACAAATTATCCTGTTCATGTTTTTCCTCCTCTCGTGAGTAATTTACACCAGCAGTGAGGAAACAAAGGGAAACAGCAGCAGTTACCAGCTCTGGGAAACCTCTTCAAAGGATCTGTTACATATTTCAAATGTTCATGTGGCCACTGTGAGTCAGATTGTGTTAAATCAGACGTTACACCCTTATCCATTTTTCCAAGGACTCGTAATTTGGCATTACTGAAAAATGATGGGATGAACTATGCTGTCACTAATTCTTCAACAACCAGTGGACCCATATTAAAGCTGCATTAGGTATTTTTCTTGTTCTTGTTACAGAAATAGGTTTAATATCAAATTGAGAGTCCTAACTGTTTCATCATAACATCCTGTAGTGTTCCTTAATATGAAACAGTGAATGGAACAATTCATGCTGTCCAGCTCCACAGCAAGATGAAAATGGCACTTAAATGTGTTGTGGCCTAATGTTTTATGAAACTATTGTCTTACATTTATCAGGCTTCTGGCAACTTGTTAAATGTAAGTCCTATATTCAATCTTCTTCTTTTTTTTTTGGTGGCGATATGGAGCTTTTTGGTGTCATGTTCTGCCCTTTTAGTGACTCTTTGTTTGGATTGTGTTTATTATTATTTTCTGTTTTATTTTGATATTAACCTGTTGACATTTTACTTCCAGTCTTTGTCAAGTTTTCCCTGTTTCCCTGTTTTCACCTGTTCACCTGTATCTTTGCCTCTCTTGTGTGTTTCAGTCTCTGTGTTCCCCCTCATACTCGGTTTGTCTGACTTGTTCCTGCTTTCATTACCTGTTCAGTTCCTCCGTGTTACCTCATGCTCCTGTGTAAGTCCCTTATTATGTTCCCCTGTGTTCCTTGTGTAGAGAAGCTTGTTCTTGTCTGGTTCCTGGTTCTCCAGCTAAGTTGCTTGCTTTGTCTGACCACTGTTTGGCGCTGAGCAGGCCGCGTGTGTTGTTCCATTGTTCATATAAAAATTGAATATTGCAGCTTCAAATAGCCTCATATGAGACTGTGGGAATATTTTTAACAGGTGTGTCGTAATCATGCTACAGTGGATCATTTTGTGGGATAGTGGGATTCAAGGATATGTAGTAGGAGTGATGTTCTGTATTTTTGATAAATACCACTGGGATGAGGGAGTCAGTTGTGAATCAGCCAAGTTGGGGAAACTCCCAAACTTCAGAAACAGTGGTGTCTATGTACAACAGTTTGGTATAGTAAGACCCAGACAGCGCCCACAGCCGGAGTGAGTAAACTTATAAAAAAAGTTGATGCACAAAAGAGCCTATTCAGTTCACTCTCGGAACTGAAAATAATTTCTTTGCAATAAAATCTACGTCACATGGAACTCAGAAGATTGTTTCAATTGAGTCATTAATTAAATTTAGTAATCATTCCTGACAAGATTAAGGATTAACTGACTTTAAAATGTCTTCAATCCCATTTTAAATGTTAAAACTGAAATTAAACTGATAGAAAATGAAAAACAATATTGTGATTGTTGTTTTGATCGATCACTTCCTGTGGAAGGGGAAAACATTTCCTGCTGGTCACCATGACCTACACCTGGACACAAATGACAAATCTATAACTTGACACTCTTCTGTTGCAAAGCTGTTTTTACAGCTTTGTTTTAAGGAGGCAATTGTACCTAACCTGCAGCATATATTTAAAGGCATGATGCAGATAATGTCACAATACCAATAACGCTTAAAACATTTCAACTCTGTCCGTGTATGACATTTATTTGATTGAAGTCTTCTCTGTGGCTACTTTTTCCAACAGTTCAGTATGAATGCTGAGCCCCCGCTTCCTACAGATTAGGCTGATCTAAAACAATGATGGGCAGTGGGAATTTCCAACTGGAGACGGGGGAAGAATGGGACTCACCAACTCTCATCCCTTGGGGAATATAACACCAGATTCAACAAGAGGCAACAGCAACTACTCTTCAAATATAGAGGCCTATTGGTTAAGGAGTCTCAGCAGCAGAAACGGCTATGTATGTAATGTATGTGATATGTTGATAGTGTTAACATGCTCGTTGCACTATTAGGTAGTGAAGTATGGGGTCCCCTTTGCCAACATGGGTATACCAGTTGGTATGAGCACCCAATAGAATCTCTACATGTAGACAGATAGATTTTACACATGCAAAGATAACAAGTACCTGTTGCTAAAACTAAAGAAGAAGAAACCAAAAGCCAGAGTAGATATGAATGTTATGTGTTCCTAAACAAAGATTATGTGTCAAGCAGAGACAGATTCAGAGCAGGTCAAGGCTCAGTGACCTCAAACTGGCACCAAAAAAATCATGGCAACAGAAAGAAAACAGAACATGTTGTCACTGTTCCACAGGAGAAGTTGAGACAGAGATGAACTTCCTCCTAAAAGGTAAATCATTCAGTAAAATAAGGAACACATACTTTAACCAGATCGACTCTGGTCGATTGATCGTTTCAATGAACTAAATGACGTCCCAACATTAAAAACAATTCTCGGAGAAGGAGACGGGGCTGGTCTGCCCAATATGCTACAACAAGAAGGACAGTGAATGACCTACACACATAAATAATGTACTGTAAACTCACATTGACAGAAATGATGTAAACAGTCAGGTAAAGCTGTAATTTGATCTGTGTATCCTCCTCAGACCCGGTTACCGTCTGGGGACTTGTGTGGCTGGACTCTGGGAGGAACCGGACCTCTGGGATTTGCCCCTCCTGGTGCGAATTCTCAGATGAATCCCGAAAAGAAAGAAAAATGCTGTCTGAGGAAATGTGATGGCAGCATGATAAAAGAGGTTTTTAACTGTTTGTAACTTGAGAGCCAAGAGAATACATGTCTCATGGGTGATACTGAGAATATGTGTACTTCCCCCTTTAATGTGGTGGTTTTATTGATGCACATTAAATGAGATTTCATATTTTCAGCAGTTTTAACCACAAAGTCTAGTAGAGCCCATTATGACAGTAAATCTCCAGCAGAGGGAGACACAGACTGATAGAAGTGAAGTCACAGACGTAACTATAGGGATGATGATGATTCTCTTTCACTGCAGTATTCTCTTTAATTATTCAGGCATCAGCACACTAACAGTTTTGAGTTTCAAGCTCTTCCCCAGCTTCCGTGTAGCTTTCCATAAAAAGAATTAATTATAGTGCCAGTTAGGCAACTGAAATAAATGTGGATATGAAAACAACTGTAGGTAAATCAAAGTATGTATATTTTAGCCCACAAAGCTTAACTCACTTGAGTGTGTGTGGATACGACTGCACTGCATTCTTCCTCCCAGTTCATCAAAACGTTTTAAATTCACAAGGACTGGGATCCTGCGACACATCCTGGATTAGATGTATGAGAGCTCAACTCTGACTCAGGAGCTTCCAAAACATTGTTTCGCAGCCATTCCTGTCTAACTTTAGATCTCTGTTTGAGGTCTTGTCTTGTCTTACTAGGAAACTTTCAACCCTCTAAGTGTCCGGTCTCTTTCCTTAAATTTCCCCAGTATTTTTTGCTGCATACATGTGCTGTTTACTTTACCTTCACAGGTCTTCCAGGACTTGCTGCAGAGTGGGATGACGCAGCCATCACCATGCTTCATGCTGAGGACGGGGTCTTTCTGATGATAATTTGTTCTCAAGAAACAAAGAACCTTTCAGTTTGCTTCAGTGTCTGAACAACAGCAGCCCAGATGTTACACGACTTTTTAAAAACAGTGGCTATTAGTTTGCCATGGTGTAACGTGTAAAGCAGCCAGATGATCAAAACCATAAAACCCTTGAGCAACAGTGTCCACAGGCCTCTTTATTATATATATTAATTATCCATGTGATGTTTCATATCCACCCTTAATGTACATCAGTTAAGATTTGCTTGAATTCATTAGTTTTTTGTTTTTTTTTAATCAGTGAAAAGTTCCTTCCCTTAAAGGCTGATACCTTCACTAAAGAGGAAATGATGCACCATCTCCAAGGGGCTCCACAAACAGAAACCATGTTGCTGTAAATACAAAGCTGAATGAGTGAAGTTCCTGAGATTCATATCAAAAGTAGAATCAGAAAATAACAAGAACAGTGTCCTCAGTGGCAGACGTTGGAAGACAGTCGGCGTACAAAGGAAGTCTGAAGACTCTCCGTCATCCAGGTCATGGCATCTCTTCGAGCGCACGAGGAAATGAGGACGAGAAAGCATCATTTAGCAAAGACCTATTCACAGCTAAAATTGTTGAAGTCTAGATAAGGCAAAGCTCTACTAAATGCTACAAATGACAGTAACAGCTGGACTTCACTGACGCTTCTACACAAAATTAGGATTGCTTAAAATAGCTTCAGACAAATTTATCACTGTAGTTCATGAAATGGTTTTTGTTACGTTGCAAGAAGTCATTGTGAGTAACTTAAATTACAGCAATGCAATATATAATTCATGCTGAAATGATATTGACGGTTCAAAAGGTTTCACTTGGAATTTTTTGATACATTTTCTGGGCGTTTATTAAAAAGTAAAAAACTGTTTTGAAAAAATGTATACCAAACAATGAAAAGTCCTTTATTGCCATCAGAACATGAGTGAGAAAACCAGAGACAAAATCTGACAGAGTGAGGAGTCGACTGTACAGCCAGCATCCACAGACGCACACGAACACACACACACACGCACGCGCGCACACACACACACACACACCCACACACCCCCACACACGCACACACACACACAGTAGCCAGCAGTCTTTCAACAGGACGTGAGGGATACAGATACATAAGGGATTACAGTACTCACACAATGAGGTATAAAGGTAAACACAAACATACCAGTAAGGGTTTCATCCTCCACTCACACACATGCAACTGAACCAAGGTACAAATACTCAAGTGCTCGTTCATTCTCTAAAAACACAACATACAGGTGAGCAGAAATGTATAACAGCAGCATCTGGGTCATCTCGATTCAACCACGCTCCCATTCATCTGTCTCTCAAAACCTTTGGTCATGTGGACGCTTGCTTGTCATGCACAATGTTGCCCTTGGAAATGTAATACTTTTATGAGACTCCGAAACTTGTGAGCAAAGGAATGGGTCTCTTCCTGACTCGTATCCACCGATAGAAACTGGGACGTTCTGGGCAGATGAGCTGGGAGGGTGGTGTTGGGGGGGTGGGTGGGAGATGTTTGTTTTTGTTTTTTTGTTGTGTTTTTTTTTTTGTTTTTTTTTTGTTTTTTTTTTAAGTTTCTCTCTCTTCAAAGGTAGAGTTTCTACGTTAGTCGGACATTCAATGTGTACATTAGCAGCAATTCTAGTGAATGAAACAATGGCTTTGTAAGTCAGATTAATAACACCCTTTCCTCATGCACAGGACAGGCACCACCTACTACTCGTTAACTAAATGCCATGCAAGTTAGAAAAATAGACTGCAAACTCACAAGACAGAGAAATCAAAGTTCGTCTCCAGAGAAGAAGTTGATTTCACTTCAATTTTTTATTTCATATTTTCTAAGATGTGGAAATAGCAACAAAAAAAACTTGAGAGCGGTAACCAAGACAACAGTAACAATATGAGCAGAGAGCCACTGAGGTTTCAAGTCCCTCTCTTACTCCATTTGCCAACCCAAACTGCCAGGTACAAGACAGACACCTCGCTTGTTTAAAGTTTTTCCTTTTCAGTCCTGTACTTTGTGCCATTGCAGGCGACCACTTCAACTCGCACGCACCTGGTGGTGTGTATGCCTCGTGTGTGTACCTGTAGGTGTGTGTCATGTGGCTCTCATGTCATTTGAAGCTGTCCCAATCCCACAGTCCGCAGTCTCCAGGCCCCCCCCCCCTCCCCCACTAGCAGCACCCGTCCCAGAAAGGTGGTCGCCCCTCGTGTGCGTCCGGAGCTGCGCGCTGCAGTGGTTTATCAAGACACTAAGTGTGGCTGGAAGCTAGCACCGCCGCCCCCTCCGACACAGAGAAAGAGGCACGGTATAGTTCTCTTTGAGTCTAAATCTATAGTTCAAGTCTGCTGTCTGTCTGGTCTCAGCCTGTCCTGTTTACTAGGGCTGTACGGGCGCCACCCTGGACCCTCGAAAGACCTAAAACAGGTCGAGAGGAGGAAGTGACGCATCACCCGACACCCCCCTCAGGCCTGCTGATAAATAGAGATGCCTCACCATGCGACCCGCCCAGGGCTACGTTTCAGTTTTGTTACCTCACCCCTCCCCAGTTTTGTTTTGTGGTTGCCAAATCTCAACTCTGCACACACAAACACACACATACGCGCGCACGCACATACACGCACGCACTGACCCCCCAACGCTGTCCATTCTACTCGGAATGAGGACAAGCGCCTTGAATTTCGTGTTTGGCACCAGACTTCTTTTTCCTCACGTTGGCCAGCCACTCCCTCTCCTTCCCTTGTTTTACTCATCACTCCCTCACAGGTTTGTTCTCCTCTTGGAACCAAAAAAGAAAAAAGAAAAAAAAAAGAAAAAAGAAAAAAAAAACTGGAAGATCAACTCTCCCTGTTTTCTTTCCCTCAGGAAACAAAAACAAACTTAATGGAAAAACTCAAGTTTTTTTTTTTTAATTTTTTTTTTTTTTTTTTCAAATTCAAGGCACAATGTCTATCAATATTCCAATCCGTCTGTCTCCACTCCCAGGTTCAGTGTGCGAACATCTCGTCACATGAGCTATTGGACTGTCTGCTCGTCCGCCACTCCCTACAGCTTACATCTCTCTTGTCTGTACTTTAACACTGTTAAGAGACGCGTCTGTTTTGGTTGAGAGAGAGCGACCGCCAAGTCCAAACCAGTGATAAACAATGAACAAAATTAACATAACAAAAAAAAAAAAAAAAAAAAAAAAAAAAAAAAGACACAAATAAAGACAACCGTTTTCAAAAACAAAACAAAAAAAGTCTCGTCCTGTTTCTCGTGTTTCAGTATTTTTAAAAATCAAGTCATATCCACCAGCTCTTTTTTGGCAAGCTAGTTGTTTTTTTAAATAAGCACTACGTACTGATAGATAGGATAGCATACACCGTTAACGTGTGTTTTTAAGTAGATGCGTTTGTCGTTTTTTTGTACTTTTTCACTCTCATAGTATGAATTCAGGTATTTTGTCAGGTACTTTTCACTCATCTGTTTAAGGTTTAAGTTAATGCAAGCAGGGACAGAGTTTGCCATGGAGTCTTGCTCTAGACTTGGGTTCACCAGGGGCAGGGCCGTCTCTTTACGAGACCCCGTTGACCAAGGTCAGAGTCTCACTGGCCGAGGTCATGCCTTTGCTGGGGGAACGCTTGGAGGGTGTTCGCTCATCATTCTTGGCGCTGGTCCCATTCTCCTGTGGGTACAAAAGGTGGGTGAAAAAAAAAAAAAGGTGAGAATGGTCCAATAATCTGACTTCTGAAAATAAAACTAAGGCAGAGGTCACAGTGTGTGTTTCTGTCTGTACCTTGGGCTCAGGGCCAGCGTGGTTTTCCTTCTGGGGCAGATTCTGTCTGCTCTGGGACTCAGCACGGGATATGTAGTCAGCAACAGTCACTGAAAACATAAAATTCTGTTAGCTACATTGTGCATACAATATAGATACAGATTTAAAATGCTAGTACTAATTCAATACATACCAAAGACAGTCAAGCTGCCTCGTCTGTATAAGTTTAAATGGAAATGATCAAAGCTTGTATTGATACAGAATATATCATCTTTTCTGAGGGGGAAAATAAGAACAGTGACTCACCACTCTCATGTGGCTGTCTGTCACGGCTGGCTGAACCTCCCTCTGGGCGGTTGCCACGGTTACGGCGGCGGCGGCTTCGGTTGCGACGCTGAGGCCGGGCCTCTTCATCTAAAACCCAAATGAAAAAATACTTTCTCTGATAATGTTATAGTTCAGAATTTTTACTCAGCAAGCATGTGGTTCTAATTTCAGAGATGTTCAGTGTGTACCTGGCAACAAATGTACTGTATATCTTCACAAATCATTACGCAACAGAACAAGACTGAAGTTCTCACCCAGTCCATTCTCGCTGGGGCCGGCCTGGCTGTCCGACTCTCCAGCAGCGTCCATTACGCTGGGTTCCTGGTCGTTGCGGCGGCGGCGGGAGCGCCTGCGGCGGTCTCCTCCCATGCCTTCACTGATGTCGGTGTCGGCTAGCTCTCCTTCACCCTCCAGCAGGGAGTACGGGTTACTGTCTGGGTCCCTCAGCACTGCAGATCCCACAGAAAAGTAGTATTACAACTACACTTCGCTAATCTTCTCTCATTTTTAATCTCCCTCTGACTCTCAGGTGAACTGAATTCATCATGTAAGACGAGCACACCTGTTCACCTACAAAAAGGCACCTGCCAGCTGCTTCTTGAGAAGACTTGGACAGCACCATACACAAGGTTCTTGTCACCTTAACATTATTGTAAAACCACGTGATGATGAAATCTCCTTCCTCAGTGGTCCATAGGTTCAACTTAAATTATTACCAGTTTGTAAATCAAAAGAAACAATCAACTTGGGACAAATTTCCCAAACTTTGTATTGTTAAATTTGTACTGTAAATTTGTAATTTGTAAACTTATTTTAAGACTAGTAAGAATAAATGTGAAAAGGCTGCTTTAAGTGACTTAAAAACCCACACTCTGAATACCATGAGATGCCATTAAACTGCTGCAATGACTACTTGGAAAAGCTCTCAAAACTCATACGACCAGTAATCTTAACGACTGAGGTTGGTCTTTAATTACCTGAGCTGATTGAGTTGGAGGGCTTGGACCCTGGTCCTCCACGGCCTCGTCCTGAGTTGGAGCCTCTGCCCCTGCCGCCTCGTCGGGAGCCTCTCTCCTCTCCGCCTATGCCACGGGGCCGCTGGTCTCGCTCCATAACCTCCTCCGACTCAGAAGCATTGGACAGTTCAGAGTTTGTGCCTGCATCAAGCAGAGACACGTAATGTAAAAAAACAAAAACTATTACAAACATACGCACACATTTTTTTATTTTCTATATTAATTTAAAAAAACAAAAAAAAACATAACTGATTATGAATCAAATCAAGTTAATATTTCAGCTCCTTCATTCTCACCATATCCAGAGTACTGGCTGTTGGAGGCCCTTCGTCCTCTGCCGCGGCCTCCATAGGTGCGAGAGGCGTGGAGTGAGTTGCTGCTCTCATCTGTCAAGTAGCCTTTCTCCCGGTCAGTACCTGGGCCCCCAGTTCGACTGGCAGGTGCGCGATACCCCACCCCGATCTGACGGAGCTGCTCGTCAATCTGGAGACGCTCCAGTCGCAGCTGCTCCACTTCCTGCGAGGCAGAGATGGGGAAACAGTATAGACAGTTGAGCCTGTTGTTCTGCACATGATTTATTGAAATGTATCAATAAAATCCCCCTCCTACCCTCCCATCCTACACCTTGATGTCCACCAAACACAAATAGTTGAGAAATAGTAGTGCAGATGAACAATTCTAAAAACTAAGTTAAATGCAAAGAAAAACAAGTAGCACCAACATAATCTGCCATAAAGGTGAGTCATGAATGGCACCCATATCTTGTTGCTGCTGCTATTACTGTTTAAAATGTATTTTATCTTCTCCAGCTTTTGCTGAAATGGAGAATCCCTGAGTGTCCAGCGTGACAAGGTGACCTGGGCCCCTTCCAGTTTGACAAAATAATGCCATGCGCCAAAAGTGTTGCCACTGTATACAGATCATCTGAGCAACAGGCATTATCAGGTTTACCTACAAACAAAGCATGGATGCTACTAGTTAAACAAGCTGATCCACATGTGTAGGGACCAGAAAGGGATTATCCTGGATGTTAATGATTAAAAACATGATTAAAAGCATAATTTTTTAATCTGCAAAACCTCAACTGCGCTATTACTCAGATTGTGTTTTACTCACAGATTTTGTTTCTGACCTCACTTCATTTGGTAGGCTGTGATTGTCTACAATAGTTTCACTTTGACATGTTTGTTCAGCCTATAAAATGGCACACACACACTCTGTTGTATTAAGATGGAACTGAGCCATAGTCTGAACTCACGTCTGCTGTGGACCTGGGCTGGTTTTGGGCTTGTTTTTGAGCCTTTCACTCCACCACTAAGTGGCAGTAATGTGTAAAGTGCAGTCCATCAACCTGATGGATTGTGGGCCTCAAAAAAATCCCAAACGTGACAATTTTGAGACCCAATTCAACCAACAGCCAACCAACGCCAGATTGTAGTGGTAAAGTTAGGATAAACAGCTACATCTGTCAACACAACCATTACTCCACTGATCTCTTTTAGATTGCCACTTCTTCCAAACCACTGCCAAATGAAATCACAATGTGTTGATGGAAACTGTCCCCTCTCCTTTTAATCTATTGGGACAGAGACAAAAATGGGTATCACAATGTGCTGTTTAAGAATAGTTAAAAGCGTCTGGTTCAAATGTTCTCAGCCGTTTGATCCACAGATGCCATAATGGATTCGACAGACTTGCCCATTTTGTTCAGATTTGTCTCAGGTATGAGACAGTCGTTGTTGACACGGGAAAATAACAATGATGAGATTAAATGTCTGTTAGTTCTCCAAATGGGGCAATATCATTTTGCCTGCGATCCCCTGGACCACCACACCACCATGATGACAACAATGGCCTCACCCACAACTCTTAAATCCAGCTAGGATAAAACCAGAGTTATAAGTTTATCAAGTTAAATGACAATTAAATTTTTTTTTTTAAAAGCTACTATCATTTTTTAGGAGAGCCACAATGTCTATTTTTTTCAGTTGAGCCACATGAGCCATCTTTATAGATGGGGGGTGGGGGGGTGGGCAGTGCATCTAATGGCAGCAGTGCACTGACAGCAGTTTTTATGGCATTTCAGTGGTGGGCGATTCGGAGGAGGGGGTCTCACTTCACAGTGTGACAGCTGCCTCGACCAACAACAGCTGAACCTTAAGGGAGGTGTGAAGGAAGTGAGGCGGGGTGGGGGTCCGGTGTTATTTTTGGAAGCTCAGGGTCCAGATAGCTGGTAATCTAAACTCCAGTCTACCCTTCACCCCCCATCCCAGAGAGAGGGGCTATTTATAAAAGCACATGAGGTAAGGGCAAAATGAGGTGCTCTCAGCAGCTTTCTACATGTGGTGCTAGGCAAGAGGGAGACAGGTGACCAATGTGAAATAACCCTCTACATACGTCCCACCGGCACCCTGCCCCTACCCCAAATGCCACATAAAGAAACTGTGCTTCTAAGAAACACATTTCCTGCCAAATGATATGATGATACCAGATATTCTGAGAAGAATATATATATATATATGGAGTCGAAAACTAACTGCAATGTACAGAGGACAGAAATACTTAAAACACTCAGCTCTATTTTATCTGAAGTTTTCTGAGAGACAGTAATAGGGAAAAGGAAAAAGGCAAGTGCTGCCATCTACTGGTGGACATGGAGAACTGACTTACCTGGAGATAGGACACATGGTACTCCAAAAGAGCCTGAGCATTGCTGATGTTCTCTTTAGTTCCCACAAACACAAAGGGAACCATGCCCTGATGAAACGCAAAGAGGGGAAGATGAAGAGTTGAGTGTTGTGTTTTTAAGAAAACAAATAATGATCACATATTGAGCCCCACTGACTGAGGGATATCACTGATCGGAAACAGTTCAGACCTCACTCAAATAGGACATTGTAAGTAGTAAGTTACAGCCCATTTCTGGAATGATTAGTATGCTTGAAAAAATCACATGAAGCACACTCAACAGAAACATACTATATCAACCCATCAGGGACAGCACACAGCTAAGTTCCCACACACGCCCAACATAACTGACATATGTTGTGCTGTGGGCTGTGTGTATTGAAAAGCAATGAAAACATAAGTGCTAGTGACAAAACAGGAGAGACAAAGCAGGAGAATGGAACAGTGTCAAAGCAGACAGCACACGGGACGTCTACATACTGCTGCAGTAAAGTAGCTTTGCTTTTTTGGAGAGCAGAAGGGGAGTGTGGGGTGGGGAGGGCACGATTGTACGGGACTGGGAGACCAGCCGAACGGTCCATTCACCTCTTTGCTGCTGGCAGTGTCGTCCCTGCCAGCCCCCTGCCTGCCTACCTCCTCCCGGGGAAGCTTTTTGTCGTTGTCTCCCTCAATCCTGACACGGACCACGCCCGACTTGTCCACAATCTCCTGGATGACTTTGCCGTTCTTGCCGATGACTTTGCCTGGGGGAGAAAGAAAAAGAAGGAACGGTAAAATAATGTCTTTATAATAAGAGCGTAAATGTGTGGCAATAAGGAATATGTTATGGTGATGAAGAGGGATGTTGTCACCACCAAAATGAGCTCCCTCAGGAATGTTATGTTGCTCACTCACCTACAAGATTCCTGGGTACCTGAAAGTAGTCTTCTTTGAACTCAAGATACTCTCTAGCTTGCTTCACTGCCTCTGGGGTCTGTAACACGACACAAATATTCCACCACATTACACTACAGTATATCAGACATGCCCAAAACATGCAAAGGCACATAAGTTCATTAAGCAGTCTACCTCTCCGTAGATCCTGAATGTGCAGCTTTCCTCCTCCAGCTCGATAGCCGTGACTCCAGGCACCTTCCTTGCCTGCTGGATATTGGCACCATGGGAGCCGATGGCGAGACCCATCAGGTCCTCCCTGACCCTCACCTCCTCCTGGTAGGCTGATGCTAACTGCTTACTTGTCTGGGAGGGGGAAAATGCAACTTGGGTTGAGTGCAAATGTGTAAAGTAAGCCAAAATGGATGGCTGGGTCTTAAATGTTAACAAGGGCTGGTAAATTCATTGTATTTGACAGTGGTATGTGCATGTGTAACAGAGCATGTTTACCTCCAAATGTTTGGTGGCTTCTTCGTTGCGGGACATTAGCATAAGCTTGGTTCTGATGCTGCGAAAATGCATGTCACTCAGAAGAGTTGCACGCTTTACTGTGGTTTCATTTGTAGACTGTGAAGATCATTAAAAAAGGATCAAGTTACAACTTTAAAATGACTTCAAAACATAATTGTTATATCCATATTGTCAAGAATTTTCAAGAATCAGGTGAGTCTTTAATTAGCACTGACAAAGTTGTTGCCGATTCAGAATTTTGTGTGTATGTTTAAAAAAAAAAAATCACTGAAGAGAGACAGTAGAAGGGGAAGTAAGATACGCTCACTGAAGATTTTGTTAGGAGCACCAGTACACCTGCTTATTCGTTCAATTATCCAATCAGACAATCATGTGGCAGCAGCGCAATGCATAAGCTAATGGAGATACACATCAGAATCTTCACTTACTGTTCACATCAAACATCAGAATGGGGTTAAAATGTGATCTCAGTGACTTTGACTGTTCCAGGGATTGTTGGTGTCAGACAGACTGGGCTGAATATTTCTAAAACTGCTGATCTCCTGGGATTTTCACATGCAACAGCCTCTTGAGTTTAGACAGCAGTGGACATGGGTTCACCGAAACCCGACAGTTAAAAACTGGAAAAACAGCCTGGCCTGATGAATCTGGATTTCTGCTGAGGCAGCAGATGATAGGGTCAGAAATTGGCCTCAACAACATGAATCCATGGACCCAACATGCCTTGTGTCAACAGTCCAGGCTGCTAGTAGTGTAATGGTGTGGGGAATGTTTTATTGGCACAATTTGGGCCCTTTAATACTAATCAATCATCATTTTAATGCCACAGCCTGAGTATTGTTGCTGACCACGTGTATCCCTTTATGGCCAAATCTTATAATGCCTACTTCCAGCATGATAATGCGCCACGTCACAAAGCAAAAGCTGTCTCAATCTGGTTTCAGCAGGTTCAGTGAACTTCAGTGGCCTCCCCAGTCACCAGACCTGAATCCAGTACAACACCTTTGGGATGTGGTAGAACGGGAGATTGGGGAGCACGAAAGTGCAGCTGACAAATCTGCAGAAATGATGTGATGCAATCAACATTATCTTGTGGAATCCCTGCCACAAAGAACTGAGGCTGTTTGGAGAGCAAAGGGAGGCCCTACCCAGTACCAGTATGGTGTTCCTAATTAAGTGCTCAGTGAATGTATTCGGAATGATCTACAGACCTCATAGGAATACCAGAAAAACCCAGACATGCGGTTCATTTTAACCTTTCAGATTTGTATGCGTTACTACAGTTCGTTTTGTATTATTCCCTCATCTGTGTCTATCTAATAAGCCCATTAACTTGTTCATGAGGTGAGTCCCAGCTCAAGCGTGAACTCAAAATACTAACCAGCACAATGAGTTCGTGTGTTTGGGCACTGAAGAAGATGCAGTTGGCTCCGATAGCTTTCCTGAAGTCTTTGTGAATGTTGTCATTTGCACAGCTGTCAATAAGAAAACAATCCACAGGAGAGTTGGCCTTATTATTCATTTAGCAGCCACGGGTCATTGTAACAACACTGCTCACTGACACATTCAAGAATTCAACATTCATAAATATATAAATATCAATTGAAGAACTATCTATTATATGTAACCTGACAATGTAAAAGACACTCACATGTCCCTCAGGTCTTCTGGGACAGGGATGGGGACTTTATGGAAGGAGTTCCGAGAGGAAGGGCTGTTGGGGTTGAGGGGCCTGATGCGCTCTGCTGTGACAATCTCATTGTATGTGGCGTCACATGCAGCGTATTCAATCACGTAGAACTGGAAACAGCACAAGAGATACAGATTTTTTAATATAAGCAGAAATATCAGACACAAGGCAGCCTGACAGCTCAGATATGTGAACTGAAAAAAACATCCTTATGCTAAGATGTATACAGTGCAGAACTGCTGTATTTAATCCATACAAAAATATAGAATCAGCTGTCAAGTTCAAAATTAATTGATGTCATCTCTCAGGTTGAAAGAAAGTATACTTCACATCAAAAACGCATTTAATCTATAGCTTTATTCATCCAGTTAATAAAGCTACAGATTGTTCCTAGATCCTTCTGTTTCAGAGAAAACATAAGATGAAACAAGAGAAGATGAGCCTGAGAGAGATACAGAGAAAGATGACAAAATGTAGACAAAGAAAAGGGGGAACCATGAACGAGTGAGGCAGTGAGATGAACACTGCACACTCCATGCTCAAAGGACAGTATTAAAGCCATCAGTCAATGCTAGACATTCCTGCAGGCTCTTATCAGACTGCTCCAAATAACAGCACTACACCAGCAGCAGCTCCCTTGGCACAGTAGCACTGCAAAGCTGTCCTTTCCATATCCCACTGACCCACTATTCAACCTGCAGCTCGTGCTGGTAACTAAGAGCCAGTAGTGGTTCAAATCATCTGAAAATCTGAAAAACACCTCAAAATTAGCCAACTATGCCTGTTACACGGAGTATGGTGCAAATCCATTTTGACACAAGTCAGTGTGAAGAAGAAGCACAGGGTGTAATTTGAAGGTACAATGTCAGACCACATCAGGACATACCGACTCTTTGAGCTCATTACCCAGCAGTACTTATCTTACTACAGCCTTGTATTCACTCTACATACAGGATACTGCAGTACTCAGAACTCAATAAACAGTTACTGGCAATACAACAGGACGCTGAAGCAAAGTGAAACATAATTGCTTCGCCTCTATTACTGATTATTAAATACTGAGACAGAGAGGAAGCTAGCCTGGCTGGATTTTGTCATTGACATGAGGCATCATCTTCTCCAAAATATTAATCCTTTTCAATGAAATAGCTCCAGGAAATCTAAGCTCCGTGCACTAAAACTCAGGAATCAAAAATTCCTTCAGCGCACCACAGCATCAAAGGAACTGATTACAAAAACAAACACTGAGTGGTTTATAAGTTTTTTTTTTTTTGTTTGTTTTTTTTACAAGACAATACAAACAAACAGCATCATGTTGTTCTTTGTAATTTCCTCTCGTGTGAATGTGGTGTTTGAATGAATGGAGACATGCAGAGGTGGAAAGAGGATTTGAAATCACCATAATGGCAAAACACACGCCTCCAAAGAAGAGAGGATACGCTCTTCTGCTTTAGTACATATCAGCAATAAAAACAGTCTGCAAATAAATCTTTTCCTGACTTTTTTTTTTTTTTATCTCATTGAAATAAGATGTTCCTTGGTTCCTAGCAACCACTTACCTCTCCCTTCATCATTCTGACCCGTGCCAGCCACCAGCCACACGGCTCCTGTTCGTTGGCCCTGGAGTAAACCTGTAAGCAGACATACAGTGAATGACAGCTGAGTCACAGCCAAAAACAAATCACAACTTTCATACTCATTAACGGTGCTTCAAACTGTCTGTAGTGGAAATCAAGATGCAATGACGGTGAACATGGCCTTAGCTGCATATTCAGCAGGCTAATGGCAGACCTATACTGTGACTATGAATGGAATCCTACAAGTCCACTGTTTAGTGACTAGTAAAGCAGAGAGGATACAAAGTGTACAACTATCTAGTGCTGTGTGTTGTGGACGAAATCGAAAATATGAGGTAAACTTGTTGTTGCAAACTCATACTGACTTGAGATTTCAGCCTGTGCAGATTCTGGTTGAGTCTGGTTGTACAAAATGCAAGCAATATATTCAACTTTCCCACCAGATAATATTCTACAAAGCCAATATGCATATAATAATCCTGTTCTAATCAGCTGCCCAAAAGCACCAGGAAATATGCAAATAAAGATTTAAAACAACTTTTAAACCATTATGTGCCACAGGCTGTTTGGGCTGTTTACTACTTTAAAAGGCATAAACATAGATACTTTAATTTAGTTTAGAGGCCACATGAATGTCCTGGAAATTACTGTACTAGCCAATAATGATCCGTTGTCTGATAAAGTGCAAAGACACCAAGGCCTTGAGACATGAGGTTAGTGAAAACTCAGGTGTATGGGCTGAGTCAGACGGATGCAAAGCGGTGCATCTCACCTCCACCTCCTCTCCTTCACCAATTTCCTTGTGGTAGTCGGCTGGAGGAGGCAACCGCACGTCACTGAAGGGCAACTGTCTCTCTGGCTGCCAGCTGTGGCGAGACAACACAGATAAAACAAATGTTTTTCAGCTTATCAACAGTTACAGGTATCACAACAGAATTCAGTAACAGTTCAAGCAGTCTAGATTCAAGCTCTTTGTCTCTCATGTCATATTGGGATTACAATAACATGGGTGCATCACCATCACTGCTGTACAGCACACTAACAGACATAATGAAATAAAAATTAAAAGTTTATGTGAGGATTTTAATGAGGAAGTTTAAGGACCTGTGTCTGGACAATGAGTGACTATGTTCATTGTATGATGTATTTCACACTAAAGTAAGAACTTGAAAATAACTCAAGAATGCAATGAAGTTCACTAAATGACTTTCTAGGGTGAAACATGATATTATTAGTCTGGACACATAAATGAAAACAGATGTATGTTCATTTGAAATCTGAAAAGTCTCTCAAACTTAGTCTAAATCTTCAAAACATTTTTCATTTAAGAGCCCTATTACTATCATTATCAACCAAAAAAGGTGTTTCATTCATTCACTGTCTTATACAACCAGCTACTCCAGCACCTCCATGTGCTCAGAGAAAGTAAAGGGAGAGGGAGGGGAAGAAACCATCCCAAAAATGACATGGGCAACCATGCTGCCACTCCTCCCACCCTGCATACCTTAGCTCACTATTTTTAGGGGCACCCTAATCTACACTCTCAGCCAAGTAGATAAAGAGGGACCATGGGGACGGGTGGTGGGGCTAGGAGTATAGGAAAGCATGGTGGGGGCAGGAGGGGTCAGAGCAGGAGGTAAAAAAACTGTTAGAGACGTGTATGGACAGCTGCATGCCAAGCACAGGTGCTGAGGAGGACAATTTTGAATGCCTGGGTAAAGCACCAGCCTGGGGCAGTCATCGTAACTCTCAATTACTATAGTTCAAGCCTCATTTCCCCATGTAAGGACTATTTATCATAAAGCAGACATACAGGAGATGTTAACAGAGAGAGAGCAAACTTACTTATTTTCAAATACAATTGTGAGAGAGTCTTCGTGGACATCTTTGATGTAACCCTAAAAGAAAAGCAGAGAGAAATAGTTTTATTCCCATGAAAGCCCAAGACAGAGCAACAGTGATAAGGGGTGGGGCTGGGAGCATTTGATTTTGCATGTAAACAACACAGACAGTTGGTTTGTAATCCGTGTTAGACCGATACTGTGACTGTTGCTGAAAAGAGCATCTATGGCTTTTTGGAAGCCAAGACATCACATCACTGACACAATTCTCTGGCTGTGAATTCTGTGCTAGATAAAGTGACGAGGAACACTGACTCCTCCTGACAGCACAGACAGCCTGGAAATATTTCTCTCTCACACACACTCACACTAATTCATACACAAACAGAATTAAAAGGCATACACTTTCTATGTGTAAGTTGAAGAAGGGATGTTCGTGAGCACACATGTATGGAGAAGGCAGTCACTCACTCAGCCTAGCTTATATGGATAGATTATGCGACAGCCCAGAGAGAACTCTAACAAGAGAGCTCACTTAAATGTGTTACTTGTCCATCATGGCGGTCCACAAATCTGTCACAGCATGCCATAAACTTTGACCAACACCACTCAGCAGTGACAAGATGGGAGGAAAGTGGTGGGCGTGGCATATCTCTCAGTGTGACACTACCGTATATGGGACAGAGGGGTCGGGCAGTATCGTCAATTGCAATCATGCTTGGGGGTCAGGAGTGAATGTGTGGATTCACTTGCTGGAAAGGTTCCACCTTTGCACTGGAAGAGCTGGCTAGGGTTTCAGCCTAGACCAGGGGCAACGTCATGTAGATACATTGAGATTTTTTACACCCTTTAAGCAGGCCACTGTCACTACAACTCTAATTATCAATCACCACTGCCTGCTTTCTGACAAGGTCTTTGTTAATATCGATTCACACGAGCAGTTACTGTCTGTGGCTCACACTTCTTGTGTACCAGTAGCACTAGAGCGGGTTAACTTCTGGAAAAGAAGCCAGCAATGGCAACAGGTCTGACTGAAGAAGTGCTTAACCTCAAATTTCCAGAGATCACATTAGGAGGCAGCTGCCTGTGCTTGTTATGTTCGGTTAAGAACTGCTTCCACCAAATACTACAAGGTCAAAGGGCAGGCAAGCCCTCTTTCTAGTATGACATGACTAGTGGATAGGTGGGTGCCTGAAGGGGGGGGGTCACAGGCAGCTTCATGACATCACTTCATCCTTTGGCCAGCAGCCACATGCAGGTCCATGTGGTGACCAAGACCTTTTCAACCATCACCCTAATGAAAACTGATTATATTGAATAATTGCATTCTTTCCACATAAGTCGCCAGTGTGGTCAGGAGTTCAGCTGACTGGTCCATTTATAACTAAATATAAATTAAAGATGTAAAAAGAGAGTCAATATAATATGTCCTGAGATATCCTCATTTAGTCCTTTATCAGTTTGCCTGGTATGTGCTCGCTGCTGCAAAAAGTTAAACAGGACAAAGTGCCACTTTCCAGACAGGTGCTGTATTGCCTTGACAGGTTCATAAATATGACCCTGATTCACAGTTAAAAAGAAAAAACTCTCTGACTCAATGTGACACCAAGGTGAATGAGGTGCATTTAAAAAGCAAAATCCTTTTACCCTGTGTGTCAATCACAACAGGAAAAGCAGTAAAGCTTCTGCCCCACTCTCTCCCATCAAGGACAACATAGTTCCTTGAATATGACATTTAAAATGTCACAAACACAGTTAAGTGTCCATTTCGTCCACAAAATGAGAGCTGTGAGAGATAATCGACGTAACAGAGATGAGTGGAAAGTGTTCATTCATGCCAGAGCTGAACTGTCACCCTGTAAAACAGAACGACAGGTGAAGCAGCACGAGGAGAGTAAATATAGGCTCATCCCTAAACCACCATGTGGTCGACTGACCAGCTGAAGGCTCGAAGACAGAATAGAGAAGAGGGGCACATGGAGAAAATAATGTAGTTAAACAAATGAAAGAAAAAAGGAGATGCCACAAATACTGAACACTATAGATCGGGGAGAAGGATGTACAGGGTTATTCGCCAATTCCCAACATCATGGTCTCAACTCAGGTTGGCAATACCTCCATCAGGGTTTTTGCTAAAATCCCAAATCATGCCAGAACCTACAATGTTCACAAAGACGACCCATATCTGTATGGGTGACTAACAGAATAAAAACAATGATATTTAACCTCTCTTTTAACAAAATGTATGTGTTCGAAATTGAAGTCACCAAGTTGCCATCTTAACGTGACGTTTAAAAACAAGCAAACAAGCTGTGACACAGCAGCAACAAAAATTTTCGAGTCATGTGCTGGGATGTGAAAGTACACTTTCTTTTGAAAATGAGACAGAATTGAAACAGAAACCTGCACTCTAGTTCTTCCTTGTCAGAGCAATAAACATGTGTAGTGCAGCTAGGGGTTGGGCTACAAAACAAACATGAAGTATGTGAGCTTTGATGTAGCATCTCATCATACTTGTGCGTAGGAACTGCACAACAGCTGTCTGATTAGCTGCTCGCTTCTGTTTTAAATGTGTGCATCCCACATATCAGGACAAAGCAATATCTTATGATTGCATCCATTACAAAACTACGGGCATCTGTTTCCAATAGTATAGCCTGTGATCATATTGACATTAACTAAAAACGATCAAATATAGGCCATACTTGGTGATGACAAGTGTACTTAGCTTAACTGCTAGCTGGAGCTAGCTACCCACCCCACAATGGCCAACCCTAATGGAACGCAAAACCATCCCTGTTTGTTAGGACTGGACCTAAGCTAACATTAGCCAAGTGATGGTTAGCTAGGGCTGCGCTCAGGAGAACGAAACCTCACAGTTTTTCCTGAAACAAAACTTTTAACTGCGACAACTAAAAACTGCGACTGTAACCAGGTTACCTTATAGAAGGCCCCATTCGAGCCGCGAACTTCCACGGCCAGTCCGTCCATACTCGTCGGTAGATCCCCACGGCTGTGCTTGTCTGTAGCCGTTACGACTCCCTGTGAGTCCGGTAACGTTACCACCCCCAGCTTCGCCGGCCCTTCGCCGCTATCCGGCCGCTTGTGGATTTCCAGTGTTTCGGGTGGAGGGAGAGGGGCAGAGGTGAAGGGGTTGGGGAGATGGGTGTGATGGTGTCAACTAATACAACGCAGACGCTCTCTCCAGCGGCAGCCAGTTAGGAAGCTCCGATGTCTGTTTTTGTCTGAATGTGGAATTTGGTGCTCGCGAGCTAAAAGGCACCGCCACGAGCAGTGAAGTCTCGACGTGCGCGAGGAGGAGAAGCAAGCTAATGATGCTACGGCAGGAGGATGCTAGCTGATGGATAATTAGCTGGGAGGCTAGCTATCAACACCTTGATCCCGTCAGTTTTCAGGGATGCTAGCTGGCTAGCATTTGATAGCCTGGCTGCGTTTGATGGTTGTGCGTGTGGCGCAGTCGTCGCGTTGAATAATTTCACAGAAGTCGTCACCGGGGGTCGTTTCTTCAGTCTGTGGTGCAATTTTCAGCGGCGTTTCTTTCCCAAAAAGCGTTTGAGACGCACTACCGCCCGGCGACTCCTTACTCCAACTACCCGTCCCCTGAACACACGCCGATAGAGTGAATCAGAGAGGGACTGAATGACCTCGAACACCCCACCCCTCAATGGAAAAGGCCCGCCCATCCAGAAATCGAGGCGTATGATTGGTCAAAGACCTCGGCAATCAATTGTAGCTTTCTTTAATTGGTTTAGCAAATAAGGGTTGGTCTGTGAGCACGGCCAATAAAATGTACAGAGTCGCATCCTAACCCAATCCATTGGTTTTATCCCGTGTCAATTATAATGTTACTCAAATTGAGTGGCTCTCATATCTAATTTTGCCCACTCATTGATGAGTGAGGACCACCAGCCATTGTGTAAACAGCACTAGAGTGAAGTTACTATATTGTACCGAGCAAAAGTTATATCACATGCTAGAAATACCGATATTCAGACTGGAAACACAGACTCGTATAAGTATATAACTAGAACAAGTATAAAACAGTGTGGGCGAATTAATGTAAGGGTATGGTTACAAAATACCAGGAATGCAGCACGGAGAAGACCAGATATGGGCAAGGACTGTTGCAAGGAAACAGCTGTGACGAGCCCACATGAGAGGCCAGAGGTCATGGCAGAAAGGCGCAGACTACAGGAATACTCCACCAGTTGATGTCCAGAATTAAAAAACTATGAGAGATACTATGTACATGCAATGAAACACCAGCCCTGGTATACACCATACGATGAACATAAAACACTTAAGGGTGTGACTCTGTGACCCCTTATCACAAAGTTCACCCAACATTAGTGATGTTCCTGAACATCCCCTTCACACTTTGGAGAATGAGGAATGCCTGATGTAACAGTAGAGCTTGATTGTAAGTAGTGCAGCATTTATGTGCACACACATATTTACAACCCGTTGATAATAACATGAGACCCTTGCTCTGTGTGTGAAGATAGAATATCTGTAGCTCTATCAGTTCTAAATTAAGCCCAGCACTCATTCATTTCATGTTTACTTTCATATCATGTTCACAAACATTAACTAGCCTACATTCTGTAGTTAATGTGTGTAGTGTTACCACAACCAATATTGTTATGATTCTCTTTTATTCAATCCACTATGGTGTCTACTGCTAATGTTTGTCACTTGTTTTCAGAGTTTTAAATTTACAAAAAACACAAACAAACATGTCAACAAATACTGATAAGATGATTATAATTTAGATTAATAGGATTTATTTTATACTATTGAGAGTGTTATTATTCACTTCTCATGAAAGCTACCATGTCATAAGCTCCCAAATATGAATGAAGAAGGCACACACTCCCTCCTTCTCTGCATTATGATCAGGGTCCTGACCAGGGATTCCTCTTTCCCCTTCACTTCTTCCTACTGCCATTCTTCCAGCCCACCACCAAAGAGCACAGCTAAACATGTCTCCAATCTAAAAGAGGTGTGTCCTTTGACTTTGTCAGCCCAGAGGATTTTGTATCATTGTCAGCATGTAAAAGGGGTTTTATGTCATAATGTGAAGCCAGCCATAGTGGCCACCTCTTCACCCAGAGACACTTATAAGGAGGAATCTCTCCTCTCCAGGTGTCCATCTTCCAGCCCATTTGTGATCCATATCAGAAATGGCAGAGTTGATGCACTCTATGGCAGGAAAAGAGATTTCATTATAGTCTATCCGGTGGAAGGACTTGAGGTGCTCATCAAAACCCTTGTAAATGGCTTTGACTATCAATCGAGCTGCTATAGTGCAGACCCTAAGCAGATACAGATTTTGATTCAGACCACAGAGGCAGGGAGCTGTACCAGGTGCAACACAACATATAGTGGAAATTATTTTTACCTTTCTTTTTGCCCAGTTCTTACTATTTACTGCTCCTACTTTATCTGATAGAGTAAGAAGTGCCTTGTCTTGCCTGCATGTGAAAATTACTCAATTAGTCTTAACAGTAAATTATTGATGCTGACAGTAAACTGATTTTTACATGAAATACAAAGAAGATGCAGTTTCATGGTGTATTTAATATATTTTGTATTATCTCATTCCAGGTAGTGTAATGTGCCAGAGCATTGTGTTGTATTTGTCTCCGTCTAATCACAAAACCTTTATAATTTGTATAAAATCTTTAAATGTTTTTTTTTTGGGGGGGGGGACTTAAATTTGAATTTTTTTTTGATTGTATATCATCATCACCATAAATGTTAACGAAGATTATGCTGTTATTAAAAACTGATTTTTCTTAGGAATAATTACAGTTTTCGCTGTACAAGTGTGCGCTCCTTCGAGTGGCACACAACTCTTGCAGGAGGGCAGAACTCTGATTGTATTGGTCACATGGGTCCGTTAGCCAATAAGGAGGCTCCTTGCACACGCGCGCAACTTGATTCAGGAAGTACGCATTTCATATTCATGTCGTGTTTGTGCTAGCAGAAAAAGTCTTCAGAAATCCACAAATAGAGAAGTTGTTTGGTTAATAAGGAACAAAATTCAGCCTAAAATGTCCGCTGGTCCCGAGTCTACACATGTGTCCTCGCTTGGGAGGGGCGACAGTTTGCACCAACAGGGTAAGAAAACGGCGTTTAAATTACTACATTAACTGCTGCTAAGACTGTTACTCTGGTAAATACACCTATGGTGCTTGAAAGCTAATGTATTTTAGAGTTAGAGAGAAGTTAAGAAATGAAAAATTAACGCCGTTCCTCCATATTGATTATTCATATCTTATAACCTTAACTTATGTTATATACACTATGTTATAGGCTGAAGAAGCTGTAGCATTTAGTTAAAGTTGGAGTGTTGTGCTGTTTTGAATCCGCTGACAATGATAATAGGTTTACTGTATTTACTGTCCACCCACCCAGTCCTCTCCTCCTTTCCTCTGTGTGACATGACCGAGGAGGATCTGACCCAGAACCCTCAGCTCTGTAAACTCCTGGCCACCCTGGCCCAGCATGTGGACCAAACTGGACTCACTGTGTCGCTAAAAACAGAGCTGGACAAGGTATCAGCAGCACTGTGCTCACACTGGGAAAAAACCTTTGCAAAGTGCAGTATTACATGATGCTTATTTATATTGATTCAAACTAAACTTAAGTTACACCAAACAGCTGTATGCTGGATTTGACACTTTATGAGAAGTTATTCATATTTAACTACACATTAAGTAGTTTATGACTTACCGACCTCTACTGGTAACCAGTAGGAATTGCAGCCACATAGATGTGCCCTCTCTCTTCTTATACGTCTGAGTTTGTTAGGGTTTATGTATCTGTGAGAACATACAGATGCTTTTTTTTCCCCAGGCTGAACAGAAGCTGCAGAGCCAGAGGCGACACTGGCTACGCTCTGAGAGCCTGCACAAAGGGCTGCAGGAGATGATCCAGGACCACTGTGTCAGGAAGCACCATGCCACTGTGCCCCCTGACCAGAACATGGTACTTTTCTTAAACCTATCTGCACAGTGTACAAATGCACAAACAGCTGCAGTGATACAACAAAAACGTATTTCGTTATATTTATTTTTGGTCATTTAAGCTGCACTCTGCAACTTACTTTCCACATTGCCAGGTTCAAATCATAGGTAAAGGTAACCGTTTGAAAGATTGTAACTTCAGTACCCAGAAGTTTACCATATATTATGAAATTGGTAATCTATCTACTGGTAATCATTGTGTGTTCATGTTTACCAATGTGACAAGAGGAGACAGATGCCAGCAGTGTTTTACTGAGTAGTAGTGATTACACTTATCTGGTGATAAAATTCCAACCTCAATATATCACTTGCTTTGGTTGTGTATTTAGTTCTATGAGACAATGGAGAAGTGTGTGCTGGTGGCTCAGTGTGTCAGACAGCTGGATCCAAGTAGCGCAACCAACCAGGACCAGCCCTCTGTTCTGAGTTTGAACACCCAGCAGGTGATGGAGCTCATGCCATCAGAGAAAGTGAGTCATAAACATACAATACATTCATTTAGTTAAAATCTTGCATTTGGTATTAATGTGCTGTTTCTGAATTTGTATAAACAAAATAAATAAAATGTTTGGCCTTGGTGTGCAAGATATGCAGTGGACATATTGTTCAGGGAAACAAATGAAACCACTTTTTATTAATTATAAATACAGGCCATGTTTGTTTCCCTATGCCAATGCTCTCTTTATATTTACCAGAATGTACAAAGAATGAAGCAGAGTCTACCCAGAGAGCTGGAGAAACATCTCAAGAAAAAGTGTCTGAACCTCCTCTCTTACTATCAACCTGAATGGGGTACAGTACCATAGCCCTGACCTATCTTTGGTTGCCAGTAAAAATTAACTTCTAGTTCACTTTCAGTACATTTATATCACTTGGTTGTTCTGCAGTTACTTCACACACAGGATGTTGGTTTGTAATCCTCCTCTAGAGAATGAGAGTGAGGGTCTGAAGAACAGCAAATTGTCTCATCTGTCAGTCCAGCTGGACAAAGACAAGAAAAGAGCTGAGAGTCTGAAAGAGACCTGCAGGGAAAACACTGTTCTCCTGCAGAGACAGACTCAACTCTACCTCTCTGTAAGTGCTCCTATGAATGTATTTAGTTAAGAAAAGGATCCAAACCTAAATTTCTCATGTTCTGCTCAGCTTGTCACAACAATATTTTGCATTCTGTTCCTTCTTTCCCTGACCAGGAGCTGACTAAGTGTATTCAGCTTCTCCAGTCTCTCATCTTGGACCACAGGCTGAAGATCCAGGCAGATTTAGACATGAAGAAGTTGGACTACTTTGAAGGCAAATGTGAATTAGTCTTACAGAAGATAAAGTAAGCAGATGTTTCACCTACATAAATATATTTGACATTGTAGACATTAACTTGTCCATTCTCAGAAGACATATTAGATCAATATACTCCAAATCTTCCTAGTATGGCATCCAAGCAATTATATGCTTGTAAATGTATGGGCTGAAATATTACAGTATCAGTAACAAAAACACATTTTGCGTTACCCAACGCAAATATAATATTGTTTATTATGAGGACCAATGTCTCTAAAGTGATATGGTGTTGCTGCTATTTGCAAAAGAGTATCCATGAAGTTTTACATACACATACTAGCATTTAAACCATGATATTTTCATTCTGCCACTCATTTATCAAAAATGTCAACTTCTTAAATACTTTAAATATACGTTTTATTTATTTATTTTTTAGTGGCTACTACTATACATCAACCACAATTCAAAAGAAGATTTAAAAAAAAAAACACATTCCTGTTTCTCATGTTTTTTTTTCTCTTCTTTCAAAGGGCTGAGATGGTTGAAATCCAGTTGGACACATACACAGCCGACTCAATATCTGCTCATAGAAAGATAAGGCAAGAGACTTTTTGTCTATCTATCTGACTTATTTCAAATTTTGTCATGTAATGTCAGTGTTATTCATATTTCTGTACTGGAGTCTTCATTATCCCTATTTTCTGAAAGGCAAGTGATAGTAGTTGAAGAAATGCATATTATTTCTTACGGTTGTTTGTGTTTGTCATGTTCTTTGAATTTATCCTTATCCAAGCCTTCAGAAAAGTTATCATAGGAGCTACAATGTGGCTGAAGTTTTAAAAAAAAAATAAAAATAAAAAATCGAACTTTCTTTATCTTTTCCATCTCAATTTCAGAGAGAAGTTGGAGTCTGAGCTGAAGGCCTGTCAGGTGGAGAAGCAGTCTGTGGAGTTAAAACTGGCCTCCTTTGAGATCCTCGGCAAAGAGTTTGAGGCCCTGGCTGAGGAGTACAGCAGATTACGGCAGGAGATAGAAATGAAACACTGGGCTCTGAAGGAGTTCACCCAGTACAATGACAAGTGAATGCTGGGACAACAGCCAGCATTTCCCTTGGACACTTGACACAGGAACAGTGTGGATTTTTGGCCTACAGTAAGCATGTAGCTTGTACAGAGTGACTGTGCTAACTGAGGGCTCCCCATAGAGCTCCTAACTTAAAACTGTTGTTTAATCCACTTTAATAAATTAAGTTTTCCCATATATTCAAGCCTCTTCAGTGCATCACCATGGTAATCAGTATTTCAGATTTTTTAAATTTCTAACCCAAATTTCAAACCCATTTAGATTTCATGGCTTATTTAGTACTCATTCCTCTTTTAATAAGATGCGACTTTACACTGAACTCAAACCTCCAACCACTCTTGTTTTCTATATCAGCTTATAATGAGAGTCACTATGTTCACACTGACAACTGTGCAAAGTACCTCTGCCATAAAATGTGCTTCTAAGTTGGCAAACGCAGCATTGACGCATCTGTTCAGTGCAATGGATTTGCATTGCAAAACAGCACATTCTATGTGTTTGGTGTGCATGCTGCATATTGAGGCTGGTAACATCAACATTATGAAAATGAGACATATGATTTTCAGGTGCAATCCCCTCATCAAACCTAGTGGTTTGCTCATTTTTGTTGACTGATCAGAAAATAGAGTTTAATGCCATTTACCTGCAATTTGCAACCTCTTCCACAAGAGAGCAGTATACTTTAAATTTTAACTCCATACTTCCATGTCATTATCCTTTTATACTTACCTGTTCCCACTTTTACTAGACATAAAGAACCTTTACCAGACATCTTTGTTTTGCTTTCCTGTTCTTTTACTATAGGTATGGCATGTAATAAGGTTGTATGTTGTATTAATTATTAAAACTATTTAAAACGTGCACAGAATGAAGCACCTGAGACAAAGTGAAGGATGTTTGTCATTTTAATCTCTATTGAATTTTGGATTATGTTGTTTGATAAATTCATGAACAATCATGTATAATTCCAGCTCTCTATTGAGCTGATTTCCTGTTCACCAACACTTCACACATCACAACAGTTGTGGAGTGACCCTAATAAGTTTCTACATTTATTTCTAGGTTTCTGTCACTGGAATATTAATCTTTATCACAACTCTCAGGAGTTGTAGTAAAAAACTGTACTTACTGTTAAGCTAAATTTAGCTTCTAATCAGCAATTAAATTCTGCAATGTTACTCATAAATAAGGCTGTTATTCACTGATGCCAATTGAGGCACATTTTCCTTTATTCAGTTCACTATTAAACTTTTTAAACGTGCTAAAATTGAGTTTGTGTTTTAAGTCTTAAACATTTATCTTGAAAATACAGTAGGCCTAAGTGTCAAACTGGTCCATTCATTCATTACAGTTTTCCATTGTAGGCCATTAAACAAATGCAACCAGCCATTCAAAATTAACTTTTTTTTAAATATTTTGTTATTGGTAAGATTGTGGGTGATACTGTCAGGTTAACGCCCACTCCGTTGTCTTCCTCACATAAACGATCTGTGATAACTCCGCTCAAATAAGGAGACGCGGAAGTTGGTGAGAGTGAAGCATCTTGCCGCGTTACACCCTCTCTGCTCTCCTCTCATCAGCAGCAGCAGCAGCCCCGCCTCGCGACGCGAACCGCTGGCTGGTTCACCTCCAACGCAACCCGCATCTGGCTGTCATACAACACCGCTGCCGCTCCGTCCGGTCGCCGCGGCATGCTCGCATTCACACCGGTACACACGGAGTGGACTTTAACCGGACGGGCACTATGTCTGAGGTACGAAAATTCACAAAGAGGCTCAGCAAGCCCGGGACGGCCGCGGAAGTCAGGCAGAGCGTGTCGGAGGCTGTGAGGAGCACCGTGGACCTTGTGGTGAGCCGAGCTTTAATGCTGTCTGTGGACCGGCGGCGGTCATTTTAGCTGACTGGGATAATGTAACTGACTGGTTAGCCTGCTAACTCCCCTTCCTTCTGTCCCTCTTGAGGAGGATAAACATTTCTACCCTGTTTTCTGAATAGCTACTGTTAAATTCTGCCTTAACCACACATTATTCAGACTCTTTTATTCCTCTTTTTCCCAGTTTTCATTCACAACGTTTTATCCCATAAACCGCACAGCTACTGCGAAGCTCTGCTGTGTCTCTGAATGGACTCAAACAATTTTATAATTGTGTATTGTTAAAAGACGATTACATGTCTCGGTTTTGCGTTTGTAAATTGCCAGTATTAGAAAATAGTGCACATGGACACATGGTTTTTCAGTCCTGTGCGGCTCCTTTTGTGTGCTGGCGGATGAGGAGCAGTGCCAGTTGGACAGCTGCAGCATGGCTTCCCTGTCCTTGCCTTGGAGCAGTGAGTGTGTGTGTGTGCCTCTTTATTTCTGCTGGAACCGGCCAGATTATTGCGAAAGAAGGCACTTCTTCATAACGGATGTGTATTGATAATGACGGGTGTGCAAAGCAAAAAGATTTTTAATGATTTACTTATCCTTCTTTTGAATGAATAGCAGTGCTGGTGGCTGATAGTGGCTTGGGACAGACTGCAATAATGAGAAGGGATTAGGCGCAGTGGCTTGAGATGAAAAGCGTTTAGGATCCTGCTGATACAGCATTTGTGTGTGTATGCACGCTCATGTGAGTGTGAAATAATTTTCATGTCAGAGGCGTGACATTATTTGTCTTGAAACTTTCAGTGGTGTCAGTGCAGATTGACTCTTGACTCTTGATATCTTGTTTTCTTTAAGGTTTAACTAAAACCATCTGATAACTGAAACGCTTTCTAATTATGTGGTGATGACAATCTGCAACTTCAACCCAGAACTCAACAGTCATCCATCTTTGGCTGTTTACAGAGTGGAGCTGGATGAGTTTATATGAGGTAAACTCTTGTTCACTTGGGATTTCTCCGTAGTCTTATGATCATCATCTTGAGGAGTGTGACGCAAAGTTTCCCAGCATAATAATCTTGTGATGAGGCTCTTATTTTCACAACAGAGGTGATGGGAGAGTGTGTTTGTAGTCAACTGTGTTCTTTTGTGTTTTTTTTTTTTTTTTACATGTTTCAGAGTGGCAGGTTTTGGTTGCTCATTTCATGGAGTTAATGGTTGGCTTGGTAACTGAGAACAAACGCTGTTTTGTGGAGGGTGCATGGCCTGCGCTCCTCTCACATGGGGATTCCCTCAGGCATGCTGTGACCATGCTTCCTCTCTGTGTTTGTGCATTTGTGTGTTCGCTCTTGACGTCTTCATCTCTATAAAATCGTCCCTTTTCCCAAGTCTTTCTCTCCATGTCTGTTTTTAGATTTCTCAGAGAGCGGGTTTCCAAGCAGTAAAATCAAATAAAGCTTTATAACAACTTTGTTTCTAAATGATGTAGATCACCCTTAGGCTCATGAGGCCAAGTTACCTCATGGGAATCAGCTGATGTGTCTTCCTGGAGTTCATAGAAAGTTGTCAAGTCCACTTTTGTGTGTGTGATTAGTGGATCTTTTGATACATATGTCTGGGAACAAGTGGACGGTTAATTGTCAGTCAATTGTCAGATCAATGGAAGAGTCCTCATCTCATGGAGTACTTGATTTTAAGACAATAATTTCTTTGAAACCCCTGATATATAAATTATGACTGTCATGTGGGTCACTACTTCTTTGTGTCTTTCCGGAGTTTTTACAAGGGGAATTTTGTTACTAGAGCACATAGGAAGGACTTGCTTCCAGTTTAAACAGAGTTGATCTGATGGCCAGCAGGTACACAGAAGGAACAGGGCCAGTTATTGTCTTGTATTGGTGTTGCACAAATATATAATTATGAGAAAAACGAAGGCTAATGACAGGTGGATAATTTGACGTTACACAAACTTTCTAGAGTAGTTGCTCTAGAGCTGCAGTGATTAATTGAGTATAAGTTTGTCCATCAACAGAAAATGAATGGGCAACTTTTGAAAATGAATTGTTGTTTTTTAAGTCTAAAAGCAAAACAGCTTTTCAAATGAGAGGATTAGATGACTTTGAATGAATTCAACTTCATTTCACCCCTCTTATAATTAGTTTCCTCAGTGTTGTATTATTACCAGTTAATTAAAAATGCAATCTATTGAAGGGGTTTTGGGGTTGTGTGAAATGTTTTCAGCTTCCAAATGCGGGCATGACGGAGAAGGTCTGTAATCCACCGTTCTGCAAATCAAAATGTGATCTGTTGACCTCTAGAGGACACAGACACATCAGCCTCCATGTCATTCTATGCCCAACTAAGCATGTCGGGATTGAGTTAGTAGAAATGTTATCCTCTGTCAAAAAATAACACTGAGTCCGGCTGACATTTCCCCTCTTTCCAGTGAAACCATATGTCTCTATGTTTGGTCATTTTTTGGTGAAGTTTTTAGATAAACAAAAGGATTAAATGTGATGTTGATTGGCGGTGTGGTGGTAGGGGTTTCCTGTTTAATTAAAGTTGACAGATGTATCAGAACGGTTAGCATACTTAGCATCTTTCATTTCTGTTTGTTAGCTTGTAACAGGCAGTGGATGATACAGTATTAGTGGTTGTGCTAATGCTAACTCTCTCTCTCTGTACTGACAAGGTTTCAGGTTTATTTAGCCCCGTCCCCCTGTCCCCACAAGTTGACAGGATCGGTTCCTTAGGTTTGTGACGTATCTGTTGTTATGAGACTGTCATTGGTTCACTGCAGTTCAAGGTGGAAATACACAGTCATAGCGTTGACTGCTTCTTTCGCTCATGATATGTCTCTTATATAAAAAACATCATATGTATGTTAAAAACTTTATTTTCATCGGAGAGGGTCTTTAAATTCCAAATTATTTGATTTAGTACCTATTTGTACACCCCTAATGTGAAATGATGTTAAAGCAGCAAGAGGCTCTGTCTATATATTAATAATTTATAAGGTTTATATAAGAATAATTTAGATTTTGGAATAGACAGGGAGTAATACAGTGATAAAAACAGCTAGCTAGGCTCCTTCACATGAGCTGCTGTGTGTCTGTGCTGCTCACACAGATTGGAGCAGTTACCGGGGTCAGCTGTGGGACAGTTGAGCTGCTTCATGCCGTATGTGACTTGCATGTCTGTGTGTGTGTGTGTGTGTGTGTGTGTGTGTGTGTGTGTGTTTGTTTTTGTGTGCGTGTGTGTGTGTGTGTGTGTTTGTGTGCGTTTGTGTGCGTGTGTGTGCACTCATCCATTGTGTGTAAGTGTAAGCTTCTCTAGCCAATGTGATAAAATCCACCTGGTCGCTTTGGAGTCGTGAGCGTCTTACATCTGCTGAACTGTAATGGGACACAGACATCTGGAAATGCACCCTTGCTAACATCATCATCATCACCATCACCGTCGTCATCATCATAGTCCCCCTGAAGGCAGAGCTGGGGGTGCTTTGTAGCCAGTGATTGGTGTTTTGAGTGTTCTCTGGCCAGGCTGATAGTTGAGGGGAGAAAGTGCGAGACATCCTGGGAGATTATGACATAAACAGGATTGGAAAGTGCCTCGATTGCATGCATCACACAGTCACACCCAAGTGTTTGGCCATGTCCTTTAGTGTTTTAGCATATCTCTGTTTCTGTTTCTCAATCAGTGACACTGTGGTTTCACAGCTGCCTGTTTTTGATTATTTAGTTTCTTTCCTCTTCTATGAAAGCAGAACTTTTTTTCATCTGTCTTTCCTTCTCTTTTAACTTGCCTCCCCTCCCTCGCTCCCTCCCTCTCTCTCTCGGCCTCTGTAATACGATCAGTGTTGCAGTCGAGCCACTGTGCGCTGCCGAGCGGTTGCCTTTGACTTGTAGTGCTGCGGTTCAGCTTGTTGCACATGACAGGAAGTAGAGCTGCTGCTTTTGGGTGCAGGGGAGGCACAGCCATGTGTAATGTTTTCAACAGACTTTTGAAGGTGTTGTGTTTTGCTGCTGCTGGTTGTCCACAGAATAGTGTGTCTATATGTAAAAAGAAAAAGAAAAATAAGATGCTAAATAACACAGAGAAATTTCACACTTCACAAGTATCATCAGGGTTAGGAAATCTTTACTTAGGTTTGTGGCTGAAAAAAAACGTAAGATGCAGGGTTTGTGCGAACAACCAAGAAAGTCAGCGTCTGGTGGAAAGATTTGCAGAGAACATGTACATGTAACCAGCTTATTTCATGGGCCAAATTACTGGTTAGAGAACATGGAAACTGAGAACTTTCTTTCCTTTACTGGCTTTTGCACAAACACCAGGATAGAAGGAGAGGGAGATTTTAACCCCTTCAACCTCCCTTAACACACCATCGCAACCAAACATTGTTCAAACCCACAGAATTTTATTTTGAAATGCCAGGGCAGATCCCAAACTTTCCAAAGATACCAAATGTGTATTATACATGTGAAATATTTTTCCAACTTTGAAGGTCAAATTAAGGCTGAACAATTCATTGAAATGTGGCTTAGTGCAATATCCAAATTGCAGGAGCTGCAGTTTTTTGATAAAGGTAGAACGTGTCACAACATACCAATTCACGTTACCAGAGATCTCCCCCGGCCTACAAATCATATTCTCCAGAGCTATCAAACAAGCATGTACCCTATATGTTTAGCACAATGCAAAAATTACCATTTGCATTTGCAATATCGGTCAATATAATCGCAATATGATGATTGATATCCGCCCTATTTTAAATCTCAAGATTTTCTTTATAACATTAGAGGTCCCACATTTTCCACTTTTCTGGTGTTTTATTTGAAGTGTTGATCCATAAGAAGATTTATTTGTGGAACCAAAACTAAACCAATCTCAATAGTTCTACATCTCTTCTCTCAGGCTTCTCCCTCGAGCTCTAGTAACAATAGGTCACTGTTTTTTGAGTGATCCAATAAGATTTCAGACAAACACTCAGAGAAACAGAGTCTTGCAAGGTTGGATGGTGGGTCCAGGTGGGTCATGCTGGGGGAATGGCTGAGGGTGGTGATTGCTTTGTTGTGAGATCACAAAGTTAAGGAAGTCCTGACGGCTTGTTTTAAGGCGCAGTTTCTGAATACAGGCTGTGTGCATTTCTCTGTGGACTGAGCACTTTGATACTTTTACAGTATTAATATAGAACCTAGACCAGCTTTATAATTAAAGAAGACATGGAAATCTACCTTTATACAATATGGGATCTTTAATATTCTTGACTAAATAAGCAACAATAAATGTTAAAGTTTGGGAAATAACCCTAACTGTTAAAACTTTGGGAGAACCCCATTATTTTTAGTAGGAAGGTGATTGAGAAAATATGTTTTCAGAGCCACAAACTGTTAAGATGGATAGCTAAATCCAGAATAACTTCATGTGTAAACATACCCAGTGATGGTTTTAGAGTGAAGGCTTTAGATTGGTAGGGAGACCAATAAGTAACAGGAAAAAGAAAAGCAGCCAAACTACTGCATAACTTTATTACTGGCTTCTCCACTCCACAGTAGGAAAACACTGACGCTCTGCATCTCAGCTGCTCCACACTTCAGTGGAAATATGACGGTAGAAAAAAATCACTCACTCACATTTTCCCAGCTGTAGGGCGCAGTCAGGGTTTTTTAGAGTCCTGCTCACTAAGCAGCACGTCGGCTGCCCTGTGTGTATTGCCTCCAGACCTGGTGGCAGTGGCTCAGTAATGTGGCACAAAAAAAGCTGGTCAAATCCATACAGTCTGATTTTCTCTGCTTGAGTCCAAACGGCTTGGTGTCGCTCAGCCAAGGCTTATTGGCTAAGCTATTCATCACCATCCTCTCTGCTTAGCTTGAGCTTAAAGTGGCACTTTATTGGAATTAATTCTGAATCTTTCCAAGTGGTTTAGGTTTGTACTTGTGATCACATCTTGACCTAGTTGTGGGAAGCAAAGGTTTTTAGCCTGTAGGCCTTTTTTGAGACATAATCATGAGGCTGATTTCATATCATCTGCTTCTCTATGAAACTCAAAACAGGAAGTTACGATGTTTAGCTCACTTGTAAGTGGCACATGGTAGAGTTTTGTTTTTTGTAATGAAGATGATCCTCATTTGACTGCACATATCCATCAAGATTCAAGTTGTACCTTCTTTGTCCTTTCTGTGTTTGCCCACGTATTTGTTCTCAGTTGCTTCCCTTTCGTCATTTCATGTTTTTTTTCATCCGCCCACAATTCTCTCAGTACCTCTCTCCCTGCACCATGACAGTCGTCTTGTGGTTGTCTCTCTGATCTCTTGTGGCTCTGCTGCTACATTGGTTATGAAAAGTTCTTGGGGTGAGCCCTGGTGAACTGCTCTCAAACAGCAGGGGCCTGTGGAGTATGCCAGAGCCACAGTAAAAACAAAATGATCAGAACATGAGATCAAAAAAGGAAGTACAGTAGTTTGTTTATTTTGAATCTTCATGTATTGTATGTTTCCCCCTGCAGGAGCAGCCAAAGATTATCGAGCCACTGGACTATGAGACTGTGGTGTTTCAGAGAAAGGCCCAGATCCACAGTGACCCCCACAGAGACCTGCTGCTCTGCCCTGTCGACGATGTCTCGGTGAGTCCCCTCATCCTTCGCCTCCTCTGTCCTCTGGGACGGGCTCTAACCCAGGCCTGGCCTCTGTCATGAGCATGAAAGCCAGGGACTCGTGCAGTGAACCAAGCAGTTTTCTGCATTCTAACATTTAATTGTAGGGGCAGTTCACGATCTCAGACCCCCATTTATTGTTAACGTACTCCCTCATACTCTACATTTGAAGTCATCACTTATTTAGAACTTCAAATGAAGTTGTAATTGTCTGGTTGAGATGTAAGACTGAAAAATATTTAGCAAAATCTGTCGTTATAGTTTAGAAAATTTAAGCCATATAATAGAGATTGACCAATACAAGAATTTTGAGGCCAATACAGAGTGTTAAATGTCCCATATTGTATAAAGGTAGATGTCCATGTGTTGTTTGATAATAAAGCAGGTCTAGGTTCTATATTAATACTGTGAAAGTATGAAAGTGCTGAATCCACAGAGAAATGCGCACAGCCTGTATTCAGACACTGAGCCTTAAAATGAGCCGACAGGATTTCTGTAACTTTGTTATGTCACAACAAAGCAGTCACCGCTCTCAGTCATGCCCCCAGCCCCGCCCATCTTGCAGGATTAGGTTTCTCTAAGTGTTTACCTGAAGTCTGCTATTATTTCGAAGAGAGGAGGCTCTGTGCCTCTCTTCTGATTGGCTGACTGTTTTCTGAGTGATGCTTGGCTCACCGACCTGTTATGGAAAAGTGAACTCGCATATTAAAGGCCCAGCATGAACAAATCTAGATCTATGTTGTAGGAAAGTTGATTTGTTCATGCTGGGCCTTTAATATGCAAGTTATTATTTATATAATTATGATCAGTAATTATTACGTTATACCCACGAACACTCTGTGACATCACTAAAAACATGTCAGATGGAGCAAGAGACACGAGCAGTCTGATGATCAGACAGTTTCTAAATAAGCTTCTTGGTCATTCAAACTGTTTTCGAAGAGAAAACGAAGGGGAACAGTTTTCATAGTGACCTCTAGGTTCAGGTCAGACTTCACATACTGTAGTTGTGCAGTGATGCATTGGTACAGATATTTCAGGTGCTTTCCATTTCGGTTTTACCCCCAGATAAAGTGGGTTAGTGAATGTGGCTGAACTATTACAACCTGCTTGATCTTGTAAATCCATTTTACTTGCACTGTCCCAGATCTCAGCAATCACCTTGGTGAGTGCAATGTTAACACAACAGATAGAAATTTGCAAAAATAAGACCCAAGTTATAATTAACTGAATAGATCCTTTAACTTAACACTCAACAGCAGTCAACAGACAGATGTGCTGCTTATTTGGACGGTGAATCAGTGCTGGAGCCATCTCTCCTCCACCGCTGGAATTCACTCCGCAGCCTGTAATTTGTAGTTCAAATACAAATCTTATCCTCAAGACACCTGTGCTGAGATCTTCACAGTAAACAGCGAAATCAGCTGCCTTTTCCTCATAAATCTGTCTGAGTCAAATGGGAACAAAGATCAGTAAAATATCACTTTCCACAGAGAGGTTTCCCACCATTAATCACTGCTCATCCCCAACACATGGGTCGGTCCAAGAGGCCTGACCAGTTGTGTACAATCGAGCAAGGTACCTCTGTTCTGTTTATTGGTTGCTGCCTCAGGCACATGTGGTTTTGTTTAGAAACATGTCTGGCTCCGTGTCTAGCCCCCCCCCCCCTCCTGAGAGACTCTGTTGACACTCATCTGTTTCTCTGTATTGCTGCCTTCACTTTTCTTCTTCCCAGGCTCTCTCTACCTGCCTCTCTCACTCCTGTTGTCTCTGGTTTCCTGCTGTTATCATTTGATGATAAGACATTACAGCATTTCAAGTGTACATGTCTGATTCTGTTTGTTTGTGTATGTATGTGTGTGTTTGTTTGTGTGTGTGTGTGTGTGTGTGTGTGTGTGTGTGTGTGTGTGTGTGCGCGCAGGAGTCCCAGATCTCCCGGCAGAGGAGGACTGTTGTTCCTTCGGTGCCCCAGAATGCTGAGCGGGAGGCCAGGAGTCTGTTTGCCAAAGAGGTACATGGCTTCACTTTGTGTCAAACAGCACATTTGTAGCAAGAGCATCTGGTCCAAGGTCATTATGGTTAACTAAAACTCACAATATAATGAAAACTAGGTGTGAAAAAAACACTACAACTAAAATAAACTAAAATTATAGAGAATGTCTTTTAATTTTCATCTTTGTCCATTTTTTCATATGTAAGCTATGGTATGGTATTTTGGGTGGATATCAAATCTATCCCAATGTATGACCAGTACATGTGCACTTTAAATGTCCAAAACATTTACTGTATTAGTGATGTCAAGTATTCTATTGTTAATTAACTGCAATAATGAACCTTAGAGCTGCAGCACCTACGACTAGTGCAGGGCAGTCCAGTTCCTTCATGAGTTCATTTTGAGTTGTTTTTTTTTTTCTTCAGATTTTTCATGTTTTTTTATTTCTCAGATTGACTCGACCTGCGTCTCACCTCAGAGTTACACACAGTTTTCACTTCAGGCTGCATCTTGTGTCGACTGTTTACATGTTTGTGTCCAGATCTACATTTTATGTTGTTATTGTTGTTGTTGTGTCCAGTCCAGTTTTATGGTTAATGACACAAACTCACTGACTAACACAGATCTTTTATAGTTGTTTTCTGTGGATGGTTGTTCATCTGTCCTAAGTGAAAATTCTTTTAAAATGGTTTTAATGTTTTGTTGAGTTTTTGAACTTTTATTACTTTTTCTTGACAAATATGTCATTTTGCAAAAAAAAAAAAAGACTTAAACTTCCTGTTATTAATCAGAACCTGCTCATTGAAAAGCAGACATTAAATGCTGTAAGTAAAAATCTGATTTCTTGATGACTTCACATCAGCCTTCATGACATTCAACCTAAAGCAGTCACTTGAAGCTCATGAAGGAACACAGAATCCACAGGCCAGTAGTAACCACATGCTGTACTGATGATATATTTTATTGACAATGAAAAACAGACTCTTCTGGCACGATGTGGACACACTCTGCTGCTCTGCCAGGCTCCGAATCTGTGTTCCTCAGCCAGAGCTCACAACCATGATGTAGCATGGAAACAAACTGTGTTAGGAATTGTTAAAACAGACCTTGGCTTACTCAGCATCAGCTGAACAAAGATCCATTCATTTTGACTTAATTGAGAATTTCTTCTTGGCAGTTTCACACTGAATAAAGTAATATGTACAATGAAAACCACCTTGAGTGGTAATAAACAGGAGTCACGGCAGGTGTAAAGGTTTCTGCTTTTTTTTTTTTTTTTTTTTGAGTTCATAAATGAATGATTTCGAGCTTGAGTTTTCTCCCCAAAAATAAGGAACCAAGCTGAAGCACAGGAAAGAACTGTGTGTGTGCTGACACTTTCTGATCGGGCATGGTTGTTGTATTTGAGTGTGTATGCTGCTCCTAATCCAGCTCTCTGTGTTGACCTGTTTTGCAGTGCATCAAGATGTACAACACCGACTGGCATGTAATCAACTACAAATATGAGGCTTACTCTGGTGACTTCCGCATGTTGCCAAGGTAAGGAAGATAAAGCAAAAAAAACTGATGCAAATGAATTAGAAATGCAGTTTGGATATGTGGAAAATAAGAGTGTGTGCAAAACAACATTCCAGTTATTTACTGGCAAACATGTAACATGTACAAGAGATTTACTCTGCTCACATGGGTCTGCTTGCATGCAACAAATCCCTCATCATGTGTATCAATGCAGCTCTGGTGCTTCAGCAGAACAGAGGAAAATACTGCATGCAAATTGGAATAACTGCAGATTTTTCCTCCACAGCTCAACAGGTGCAGCCCAGATGTTTTGAATTCATATTTGAATGCTGATAAAACTTCCTAATGTAATTATTTTTTATCACTGCAACCTGCACTTGAACCATAAATTAGAGTGAAAGAGTCGTATGTGGAACAACATTCCCCAAATACCATTGAAATTCCATTGGAAAAAAAACACTGTATTGCAATAACCGACATGGTCAAGCAACACAGGACACGTCAGGCTCTTATTTGTTGCATGCTTTATCAAAAGTAAAGACATGAACAACCCAGATGTTAGAGACGGATAGAGAGACCTCATCACAGGGAGTATACAGTAATGAGGGGGCTGATTTATCGACCGCTGACCCTCTCTCACTGTCGTTTCAAAGCAAAGGCCTGAAGACGGACAAGCTGCCAGCTCACGTGTACGAGATCGATGAAGACGCCAAAGACGAGGTGAGTGGATGGGCCTGAGCGCCATTAGATCGTACACATTGATCACTGCAGGGAGGATGAGTGGTACGCTGTTATGGACAGATTCCACCACGCACAGCTTTTAGCGGTGTGCAATAAACCCTGCCTGGAAATTACAATGATCCCTTTAATCGTTTTGAATCGCGGAGCTAAGACACATATTTGGCTCATCCGACATGGCTGAATGCCCTGAGAATATAAGCAAAAACAGGAACCGTACTGGTAATGGTGCTGGGAGGAGCTCCAGTGACTTATGGTCTCTTAGTCCTGTCGTCCAGCCAGCAGTGTGACCCCGCGGAGACTGAGTGCAGGGCAGCGAAACCAGAAGCCTTATACGTCCTATAAATAGCTCTCAGTGATCCTCCTCCCCTCTACCCTCGGGCCGGACGTGGATAAACTTAGACAGGGAAAGGGTTTAATTGAAGGAAAATAAATGGTGCTGTGCTGCCAGAACGGGGAAGGCAGGGAGATGGCTCTGGTACTTCTGCTGTTACTTTACCTCTGCGTAATCGTTTCAGTCTGAGATGGCCGGTCTGGCAGATACACAAATGATAAGGCGGCGTCTGCCAGTTTTCTATTCCTCCTTATAAAACCCTTTTTATCCTGTCGCCGGGCCATAACAATAAATCAATAACAGCGCAGTCAGGAAACACTAACCATTAGGTGACAATACTGAATACGTATGAGAGATAGGGTGTGTCTGGAGGAAGGATGTACTTGAGCATGCTGCGGGAGGAGGACCAACAGCCAATTAGATTAAGCTGAAGATGAAGCTGGAGAGAATGAGAGAGAGAGAGAGAGAGAGAGAGAGAGAGAGAGATAGAGAAGCGTGACACGCAGAGGACAAAATGTCACTTCAATGTGATTAGGCTCATCCCGATTGCGCACACACACAAACACACACACACACACACAAGCACACACGCACACACACACACACACACACACACACACACACACACACACACATATACACACGCCTCTGCGCACCTCAACCCGTTTCACTCAATGTCATGATATGTGTGTCATGTTCCAGGCTTACATTAACTTAATTAGGCCTCTCTGTGAAAGTGTGATGCTCTGTCCCTTGTGATGGATGTTTATGTTTTCCGTGGTGCTGATGAACAGTCCCATGATAGTTATGAGAGCAAGAGGCTACACTGACAGGACTGAGGCTGAGTTATGATGACCAGAGAAATTCTTGTGATACATGGATTTGGCAGGGAAGTGTGTGATTAGAATTGACGGCTGAATAAACTATGTTCACATACTGCAACTGTGGTCAGTGAATATTTCTCAAAACCAGCTACTTTGCAGGAAAAATAAATAATGTTTTGTGGCACTAAGCACTGTAAACAATCTGAATAACATTACGTTTTTGAGTTTTGTGTAGACCCTACAGGTAGAGTGGGTAGTGTACAGTGGCCCAGATGGGTCAACACGATGCAAAAACCGTGACACAAATACAAAAGCCACAATAATAGTATAGACATACCGCTGCTCACTTCCATCGGGGCTTCATTTGCATTCATATTGTGGCTTTTGCATTCATGTTGTGGCTTTTGCATTCATGTTGTGGCTTTTGCATTGTGTTGACCCGTCTGGTTGCCGCTGTAGTATTGTGATGTTTATGCAAGAAGCTGAATTAACCTGCACCATAAAAACCTGTCTCGATTGATTTCCAGTATTTGTGTTCGTCTCTCTCAGGACTCAGCGTCGCTGTGCTCCCAGAGGGGAGGCATCATGAAGCAGGGCTGGCTACAGAAAGCCAACATCAACAGCAGCCTGTCTGTCTCCATGAGGGTGAGTCACCACCAGATCCTCCTGCCTGTTATTCATACAGCATAACAGCAACAAATGCAACAACATGCAGGCTTCAGGAGAGAACTGGGTAGACATGGCAACTTCTGCCCTCCTGCATGACTGAAACACCATTAAAATTATACTCTCTCTCATATTCTGTGTTATTCTATCACATCATACTGTATCATCATACCAATAATTTTAAAATCAATGCCCACAGCTGCACTAACATCAGCATTTCCATCTTATTGGTGGTGTGAATGGGCTTAAGTGGCAGAACAAAACAAACAGTGAATGCAATGTAAACAGTGTAAATATAAAATAATTAAAGAGACATAAACATAAACAATAAAAGACCTAGTGAGAGATCAATAATGTCTAAAAAATATGTTTAACAGTGCAGCATCTGCAACATCTCTTAAATCAGGTGTGTAAATCACATTGGCAGAGCAACATAAATTTAAAACAATAACAGAAGTGTTTAGAAGCCACATTTCATACTGTATTTCTCTGTAATGACTTGTGCAAAGCTGTGAAAGGTCTCATATTGTGTAAAGGTAGATTTCCATGTCTTTTTTATTATAAAGCAGTTCTAGGCTCTATATTAATACTGTGAAAGTATCAAAGCGCTCAGTCCACAGAGAAATGCACACAGCCTGTATTCAGAAAGTGAGCCTTAAAAGGAGCCATTAGGACTTCTGTAACTTTGTGATGTCACAACAAAGCTGCAACTGCTCTCAGCCATGCCCCAAAAACTACATTGAGTGTTTTTTGTTTCTTAAAACCACAAATATATCTTCCTATGGATCAACACTTCAAATATAACGGAGGGAAAGTGTAAATATGGAACCTTTAAGACACGAATCTCCTTGACTCTGATTTGCTGTGAATTGCAGGTGTTCAAAAGGAGGTACTTCTACTTGTCTCAGCTCCCCGACGGCTCCTACATCCTCAACTCCTACAAGGATGAGAAGAACTGCAAGGAAACCAAAGGCTCCATCTACCTAGACTCCTGCATAGATGTCGTTCAGGTATGCCGGGGCTGCTGTTTGTTTAAATTAACTCTTTTTGGAGCATTTCCCTCTGTGCCCGCTCTGAGTGAGCTCTCACTTCTTGGCATTAACCTCCCACCCTCGTGAAAGTCAGCGTGTTTCCTGGCCTCGCCACGCTCTAGGGGCTTTCAGCTGCTTTAATTGAAGAAAATTACTGCATTCCATTGACTTGGGCAGAGAAGTCCAGTTCTAGCAGATTATGAGGAGTTGCTGCCGCTGCTGGCTCATGGCACTGGCTGGTACCTCATTCAGGTCCGCGCTGACTGACGAGGCTGCCAGGAAGCTTTCAGGTTGATGAACACGCCCAGGAGATGAATGGGCAGAGGGAGGGGACTCATTCTGGCTCGTAGGTTTAATATGAAAGCTTGTGTTTGACATGCAAACCAGGTTTTGGACCTGTCCAGTGCTGGCTGAGTCACACTGGCTTCCTATTTGTTTCAGAATTCAATCCAATTTTATGTTACTTTTAAATCTCTACATGGTCTGACTCTGGTTTATGTTTTAGATTTTTTTTAAATCTGTGTTCTCCCCCAAGACCCTTATGATCTGAAAAGTTCCACTGTCAATGCTTAAGACAAAGGGGGTTATGCTTTAACTATTCATTAGCTTCTAAACATTTTTAAAAACCCACTTTTACAGAGTCAGCCAGGAATTTTAAAAACACTTTTAATAATGTCTACTCCAATTTTATGTTTTCTTTTTTTCCTCTATGTTTAACTGCTCCCTGAAATTGTTGTTGTATTTTCTGTGCATCTGTGAAGCACCTTTGGTTTTGAAAGGTGCCATAGTAGTTCATATCCAACCGCTATATCTCTCTCCCTTGATATTGGTTGGTTCATAATTCATCTCTGTCTTAGTCTTTGTTGTATTGATAAACTCTACTGTCTTGTTTTTGCACCAATAAAAAGAAAGAAGGAAGGTGCCATAGAAATAAAGATTACTTACTTACTAACCCGCAAGACAGCAGCTGTCACTTTCATAGATAAAGTACCCTACATGAGGCCAAACAGCAATCTTTACTAAGCATCCATCAGATGCCCTGTGTAAGCATAAAGCTCATTATAGAAAAAGTTTTCTGGACTGTGGTGTGTGGATAATTCCTCACATTTTTGTCAGGTATATAAATCATATAAATACATATACATATACCCATAAATGTCTCATAGCACGCTGCTGATTTCCATAGATAAGGGATTGTCTTTTATCTATTGTTGCTGTTTTGTTTGAGATAAAGTAAAAATGATAATAATTTAAAATAAAAATAATGATTCCTTCACCAGAGTCCTAAGATGCGCCGTAACGGCTTTGAACTGAAGATGCAAGACCGCTACAGCCACTTCCTGGCTGCAGACAGCGAAGCAGAGATGGAGGAGTGGGTGGTCACGCTGAAACAGGCTCTGCAGAGCAGCAGTGAGGCCGGCCAGGACAGGAGGAACGGTGCAGAGTCCCTGGACTGCGCCTTGGGTGAGTTATTTCATACCTACTTCTGAAAACTAACATTACTTGGGAAGTCCGCATACAGAGATAGTCTTTCAGTCAACATATTATTTACAGTCTTGTTGAAATGTTTCTACACAGTCGGTTAGCTATGATAATAACAGTAATAATAGCATGTCTGAACACAACCTCTGAGCCTGCTGTAATGGTACCAGGGGTTACAGTAATCCTTCTCCCTGGCGGAGTCCAAAACTCCCCTGAGGAGTCTGGGCCCCGTGTTATGACATTTTAATTGCTTCCATATTACAATGATGCAAATGCAATAAAAAGGCTCAACATTACACCTACAGTTGCTGTTAGTGGGGAAGCAGGAGTGATATATTTACACATCAGCAGTAAATCCTTCTAAAAGATGTTCGACTACGCAGATAAATCATAGCTCAAGAACCTTAAGACCATTCGTTCGAGTCGCTCTTTAGTTTCACTCCCAAATTCAAGTGTGTGTTTCTTTAGGGGGCAGTTATTGCTGAGCTGTGGAGGAAAGCCAGCAGGTTTATGTTTTTAGTTTGCGTATACCATAATAGTGATAATATAATCTGTAGAAAATTCCAGTGAAACCCAATTGGGCCTCGCTTGGTCACAAATCTCAAAGATGCTGATGTGACACTAGGAGGCCATCCAGAAAGATAGAAGGGCGGTTGGGGGTTCACTCAGTCCGTCATGTGTCACCTGGGAGACAGCAGATTAGTGAATGGCCTCTTTTTAATTTGGTCAGTAGACTGAAAGATATTAGTTTGGGAAGAAAAAAAAACTTGCAGACACACACAAAGGAGGCCATCAGGGGAAGCTTTGGTTGAGCAGAGCTTTATTTAGCCTGATTTGTAATGAGTTATTTGCTAACAGGCTGGGTCAGACACAGCTCATTACTTGAGTCAAAGTATAGATCCTCCTGGTCAGATATTACTCCAATACAAGTTAAAAAATGCTTTTAAAAATACATTTCTTATGTCAACTTATTGTTGTATCGTTCCACATTTACAGAACCCTCTGGTGAATCTTCTGCCTCATCTTTATCTAAAGTAGCCATCGTTAGGACACTGCCAGCTTCAAACTGACTGACTGACAGTGTATGGAGTTGGCTGTGATTGTTTTTTCTCCTGTAATGAACACAGTGTATGGTCTATCACATTTTCAAAATAAAAGACAATTAATTCTGCCGATTAAAACCTAAAAGCTTAAAAGTAACAAGTACTTCATAGAAATGTAGTGGAGTCAAAAGTACAATATTTGTCTTTTAAGTGTAGTGCAGTAAAAGTCTTTGTTACTGTCCAACCCCTGCGTCTGATTACCTTTATTCATGTCTGATTGCTGTCCTGTCCAATCAGATGATGACACTGCCAGCCAAGGTAAAGGTGAGAGTTTCGGGAGGAGCTTACAACCTGAACTTAACAAGGTATGAAGGATGGACGGGTTATTCATTGATTCATTCAGACTGAGTTACTGATATATGTGGATATAAAGAAAGATTTCACATTTCATGTGTATATTTTTTTGTAATTGACATGTTAACTGTCTGCATTCAATGTTGACAGGTTTATTAATGTAATAGTTATTTATTTGGAGGATTTATTGACTTTTTGTCTCTATTTCTACACAATTAGATGTTAAGTTTTTTATAATTGTCTGGATGATAGAGGAGCAGTAGAGGAGCAGCTCTTTTGTTGGACTTACTGTATTTGAGTCAGTTTTTCTAAGCAGAGAACAGAACAGCGGTATCTGTCCCACAAGAGACCGTGCTGCTTTAATATGTCTACAAACCCAGAGCTACACACAGACAACAAAGCCCTCTGTGCTGCTGAGCTGCTGTTTCACTCTGTTTGCTCTGGGCCACTCCAGCACAGCTTTCCACCCTCTCCACACGAAAAGATCACTTGCAGTTTTGTCTGCAGGCAGGACACAGTGAGAAGCAGAAACAAGGGAAGGAGAAGTAGGGAAGGAGATGGATTAGGGCTCTTAACCGTGACCCGAGGGTTTGATTTGTTCATCTCCATTAGGTGTCTGCCTTTCTCTCTTCTGTCTGGCTCTGTTGGGCTGCTTGTCTCTCCATCTCTATGTTCTGTCTCTGTCTGTGTTGGTTTACCAGCAGAGAAAAATCTGGCAGGCAACTTAGTGGACAGACTCCGTTGCCCCAGTGTAGTGTCAGCTACCACTTTTAAAACCACTGTTTTATTTGCTTTTATTTAAAACAGATGCAAGTACATACCTTTTATTTCCTGGATGAGAATAACAAAACATTGTCAAATAAAGAAAAAAAACTACACAGCTATATTTTTACAGCAAGCATCATTTAAAAATGAAAGGTGCTAGAGTACAGGGTACAATTATAAACATTAAAGGTCCGATATTTTGCACTCTTCCAGTGTTTTATTTAAGGTTTCAATCCATAAGAAGACATATTTGTGGTCTTAAGAGCCAAAAACCATCTCAGTGTAGTTTTACATCTCCTCTCTCAGATTTCTCTCTGTAGCTCTAGTAACAACAGAGGAGAGAAGAGAGTACTGAATACAGGCTGTGTGCATTTCTCTGTGGACTGAGCGCTTTGATACTGTCACAGTATTAATATAGAACCTAGACCTGCTTTATAATCAAAGAAGACACGGACATCTCACTTAATACAATATGGGACCTTTAATGTGACTGATTAAATCCGTTTTTATTTCACTTACATTCCTCTGTTCTGTGTCTCTGCAGTACACGAGGGAGACAGACCAGTTCAATAAGATCAACAGGAATGATGGCAGACAAAAGCTTTTCTCTCTGGATCCTGAGACACAGGTAAAGCAGATACCTCTTTGAACACTCTGTTGTTCTATGATTTATTCATTTCAGTATTGATTCAGACTATTTGATCTCTCCTCTCCTTTCCACCATTTACACTGTTTCCTTCTCCCTTACCTTCTTCCTCTTTTCTCCTTGCCCGCACTACTCTCCTCCCTACTGGATCAATCTTCTTGTTGTTGTTGTTTTATCTCCCCGCCTTCATGCCTCCTCCTCCTCCTCCTCCACCTCCACCTCCCTTCCTCTCTCCTGTCTGATACCCAGAGGCTGGACTTCTCAGGCATCGAGCCAGACGTGAAGCCGTTTGAGGAGCGTTTTGGCCGACGCATCGTTGTCAGCTGCCACGACCTGACCTTCAGTCTCCAGGGCTGCGTCAGTGAGAAGGGCGACGGTGTCCTCACCAATGTATGTCATCACCTTACTTCCACAACTTTACCCTAAAACCTTTCACATACTCAGACATCTGTCATCTAGATTGAGGCCAAACCTTAAAGACTAACTGTGCTTAAAAAGTGATCAGAAAAACATTAAAAATCAATCCTAAACTGAAATTGTAAACAATAAAGCTACTGTACCTTCCTGCTGATTTTGTTTGTTTGCACTTAAGCACATATAACCACAACTTTGCTTTTAACACCTCAGATCTTCCGCTCTCCTCACCCTCTGTTGCGTTGCCCCAGATAATACACTTTCATAATTCATGCTGGCCTGTCTGGAAGCAATATTTAAAAACCTGACCAAAAGAGTATAACATAACGCCATATTGTTGTAACATCTCCACATCAGTTTGTTTACAGTTAAATCAGTTTGAACTTAAGGTTATGGAAGAATTGTCTGATGAATGTGGATATGTTTGAGCTCCTCAAAACGCGCTGATGCAGTTAAAAGCGTGTGTGAGCTCAGCCTTTGTCAGAGTGTGTTGCTTGTAGTCATAAAACATTGAGTTAGGCCTCCTCCCTACTCCTCCTGTTTGCTGGTGCATTATAGGAACTGGTTGGAGGATTGAACTGACTCATATTTGTGGTTTGGAAGCAGCACAGTCTCTCTCTCTCTCTCTCTCTCTCTCTCTCTCTCTCTCTCTCTTTCTCTCTCTCCCTCTCTTTCCTTCCCCTTCTTCCTTCCCTCTCTTTCCTTCCCTCTCTTTCCTTCCACAGTCTCAGATAGGTTTAATGTTTATTGGATCAAGGGAGGTTTGTCCATCATGCAGGAACCATTCATCCTGGCATAAGTGCACAGTCATTCAAAAATGTGTGGGCTGTGGTACTGGAGAGCCAACTCTCAAACTAGGCATGGACTAATATGTCTTGCGGCTGATATCTAAGTATTTGCTACCCAGTATTTAAGCTAAATTTACTGTTTGACGAAAGTTTCTAAAAATATACAAATCTGAAATTTTTAGTTGTTGCATGGCAGATTGAAACTCACAGTTGTAATGTAAACTAATGGCAATTTATAGGGGTTTTATACAGATTTGGTTTTATACAGATTTGAAACTGACAATGACCTTTGAGGTGCCACATTAGAGTTTTTATGCATTTCTGTGCCTATTGTTTTGTTTTTCTGTCACATGCTATACACACATTGTGTATGTAATAAACCCCATTCTAAAGCAAGTTAATGCAGCCAAACTTATCAATTGTTTTTGCACTGCTTCTAACTCCAGGCTAACTCTTTATCTCAACCATTCATTTACCCTGTAAAATGTCATACTAGTATTATATTACTAGTAATATTACTAGTACATACTAGTTAATGCACTTTAGCTAGACTACGTATATCTATATATAGCTAGGATTGGGGTGAAGTGATGTCTTCTTACTGGTTTTAACGGACAACATCACATCAACCCAGTCCTTTCCTCTCTTTATTGGCTCCCTGTCAGTTGTAGAATTGATTTTAGGATTTTACTGATCGTTTTTAAAGAACCCCATATGAGCTAGCTCACAGCCTTACACCTTGGGTCGGGCGCACCTGGCCATTCCAAAGTCGAGGCTTAAATCTAAATGTGACTGTACTTTTGCCATCAGGACCACTCGGCTTTGGAACGACTTCTTTTAAATCACTTCTTTAAACACATTTTTTATAGACAGTTGTTTTTATTTATATTGAAGTATGTTGTATGCCTTACTCTTTCTGTTGTTATATTGTTGTTATTGCCTTTGCTTTGTTGTCAAAGCACTTTGTAATCTCTGTTTTTAAAGGTACTATAAAAATCAATTATTTTATTATATTATTATTGTTGTTGTGCTAACCATGCATTAACAATGTACAGTAAGTGCCAGACATTATAGGGTTAACATCATTTTCAATACCCTAGCAAATATGCAATTAGCTTTTTAGCTTAGCATTCAATGTATAGCCCCAAAATTTCTGAAAGAAGTCAGTAATTGGGTGAATTCTTGATGGAGGGAGTAAGCTAAGTAAAGCTAGCATGAAATGTGATATATAGTAAAGGAGTGCAGGGATGTTATGAAGCATGGTAGTTGTACTGAGGTGTGAGCAGCCTTTAACCACCTCTCTGTTTAACCCCAGGTGGAACCGTTCTTCATTAGCGTCGCTCTCTTCGACGTCTCCAAGAGCTGCAAGATCTCGGCCGACTTCCACGTCGACCTCAACCCGCCCTGCGTCAGGGAGATGCTGACCGACGCCTCGGGCCAGCTCTCCCCTTCATCGGACTCAGACGGTGGAGGAGGAGGAGGACTCAGGGAGGGAGGAGGAGTAGTAATGGTGAACGGGGACTCAGGGAAAGGGAACGGCCTGCCTGTTCTTCAGAGGGTGTCAGAGGCTCTGCTGCGCTTCCCTACACAGGTAAAAACTTGCTTGAGGAAGTGACTTTATCTGAATCACTCATGCACAGCTGCATTTTACAACAGGATGTGAAACCTGAATCACTGTATTTTTCATATAGAAAACACTCTTGGAAACATATTTTGAAATCAGCGTCTTCTGAAGAAAATAGTAATATAGTTATAGTATTTCTGCTGATATAGATTTTAAAGTCTTTAACTATAGTGCAGGATCACACCAATAACAGGTTTTCATTAGTATAAATAACACTAGAGAGGTTTGCTTTATTGTATCTCTGGGATCGGTTTGTTTAGTTTTATAATGTTCAATTACAATCAAACGTCACATGGTCTCTGGTGCTGGAGCTTATTAGACAAAGGATCTGGCTGAGCTGTTGGGATAGAGGTTTGGCTCGAGCGGCTCTGTGCTCTGATGTTCAGGGCAATTAGACCGAATGAAGAGATAGCTGAAAATGAGCATTAGTTCAGACTGTGGCTCTTTCGTTCTGTTTGGGTCTTCTTTCCAAACATAATGAGCTTTTGGGACTCAATCAATAACTTTGTGGCCATTAGTACAGACTGTTTTCTTACTTATTTCTTCTGAAATTTGCTTTGAAAACAGTGAATTAAGTGACAACACTGAACAGTAATTCCTTTCCACATAAGTGCTCCAGCTTAAGGTGCTTTAAAAACTTTAAAAAAAAATAGAGAAAATAGTGAATACAGAGGAGAAACAATGAACCTAAAGCAGAGTGTAAAAAGAATATAAAATTTTACTTCGGTGTGCATCCAAAAACACCAAACTGACAACTTCAATTCAATTTAATTTAAGAAACTTTATTTGTCCTCAGGAGGCAATGTAAAGGGCAACTGGAGTAGACATTAAAAACACAAAAAATACACAAAGAACACACAATCAGTGCAAGACAAACTGTACACACTAAGAAGAACTAAGACAATGACACATCAGTGCAAAAAAAACAAAAAACAATCAGCACGGTGCAAAACAAAACCTGTAATATTATAATGAGATTGACAATAACATGGAGAATGACTTTAGTAGTGCAAATAAATAACTGACACTATACACAGTTTGCTAAGAAATTATCTGTATCTTGCAATAAAATATTAGATAAAATACATATTTAGATAATAGGTGCATATTTGATATATGAGGTATATGAACATGGATTGATAGCAGCAAAGTCCAAAAGCAGAAAGGTCAATGTGGATGTCACTGTATGAGTGTGTGTGCAACAGCGGTGATCGGTGCATGACAGGAAATGTTTCTATGTAGTTCAAAGGGTTATATTCACAGGAAGCACCTCGGTGTGTTGCGTCCTCTGAAGCAGAGACCTTAAAAGTTTAAACAAGTAAATGCAGCGTGAGAGGAAACACAATAGGAAAATTTTGAATTGTCTCATCAGCATCACCGGTGTTCACTTTTCCAAGTCTCGTCAGGTTGTGGTTGGACGCTGTCGTCAGTCCCGCTCTGCTTTGATAGCTCAGTGAGGTGGCAGATTGCTGAACTGTCACTTACTGTATTTCTGTGATACCCCCTCAGTGTTCACACGCTGCCCGGGATAAGTGATTACTTGCTGGATTCCTAGCTCTCCTGTGACACACTGATGACTGAGCTCTTTACCAGATGATAACAGTGTTCTTCATATTGATTTCTCTCTTTTAATCAAAGTGCTGCGCTTTGCATTTTCACATCATTTGTAGTACATCCAGATGGGGGAGTGTGTCTCCAGACAAAGTTTGGTCCATACCCAGCCCTTAAAAACTTTGAGAAGATCCACATGAGACCTCAGTTCAGCTCATTCATGCAGCATTTGCAAGTGATTTCAGATCTTTGTGGTCTGCCAATTTTCTGGTGTCTGCTCAGTGATGTAATCTTTATGTCTTGTCACTGTATTTTAAGTCTAGAGTTTACTTAGGAAAGAATAATTCCCATGTGTCAGCGTTACTCTTGGCTTGTGCAAACTCCTGCAGGTGTTGTGAGATCAGCAGACACACACATGGTGTGTCCCTCAACTCTGGCTGCTTAATGTGATGCAGTCACTCCGCAAGACCAGCGCCTTCTGTAAATTAGCAGCATTTAGGCCATTTCTATAGCATAATAGACATGACTGGACTATGGGAAATGGACTGCACTTACATAGCGCATTTTATAGCCTTATTGACCACTCAAATATTTTACAATGGCAGCCACATTCACCCACTCACACACACATTCATACAGTGCTTTTCTACTATACACGGGCAATTTAGGGTTCAATATCTTGCCGAGGACACTGTCCAGAGCCGGGAATCGAACCAGCAACCTTCTGATTAGTTGATGACCCACTCTACCTGGGTCTTGCTGAACCACCCCGCCCTGTCCCTCACCTCCATGGTGGCCCGGCCTTGCTACTCATCACTACATAAACATAGCTTTGTTATATTACAATTATTACTAATATACTATATCACACTGTATATAATGATACCGAAATATCACTACACTATTATCACATTATCTTATACTATTTTATATTTTACTTATTATATTTATGATATAAGACATATCACTGTTACATAGCCTGGATGTTATATATGATATAAAGTATTATAATGTGTTTTTTGTAATAATATATATTGTTCTATTATTACATTCTGTTTAAAATTATATTTAGGTTACATCATATTCTTGTCATTTTTGCATACATCTCTATAATCGTTTGTTTTTGTTGTCATCTCCATCTCTGTCTGTTATTTCCTGTGTATCCTTAATGTCACTCTTGTTTTTGTTACGTTATCTCATTAATACAAAAAAAGAAAAAGAAAAGAAGAGCAGGATTTCTAATACAGAACACTGCAACCAGTAGCAGGCCAGACTGGTCCATACAGTTTATAAACTTTTGATATAATAAAGAACCATTCCAAGCTCACATATGTATAATTTATGGACTTAATGTTACGTTCTGCCAACCGACATCTGTGAAAGTCCTACACCGGCAGAACACACACATTATACACACACACACACACACACACACACACACACACACACACACACAAACACACACACACATACACATACACATACACATACACATACACATACAAGCGCCTGCATGTAAACATAGCAGCCTCTACCTCTGTGATTAGTGTGCTGTTATAGCTCGGCTGACCACAGTTTAATTTAGGTGCACTGGGTGTGGTCCAAGGACGGGGCCTCCACTTGTTATATCTCTCTGCTACATCAGCAGCTCTCTGGAGGAGGCCAAAGCCTCTGCACCAGTCCATTACATAATTCACAAATCTAATACATCTCTCTGAGTATGATGGAGTTTCAGAAAAAGGAGCAGTTACACTATTTTGTAGCAGTTCAACAGTTTTAATTAAAACAGTTGAACAGTTAAATTCAACAGTTTACTCTGGCAAGTAAACTGTTGAATTTAGGAGCTCTTTTTTTTTCCCACAGTCTGCGAAATATATGGTAATGAGTAGTCAGCAACAAATCATAATGTCAAAAGACTGGAAGCAGAAGCAGCTGCATGTGGTTGTGTTAAACTTGTGAAGATGAGTGAATGAGAGCAGATGGGAGAGGACGGCCGGGGTTATGGCTTGGAGTGTGACCAGGGTGTGTGTGTGTGTGTGTGTGTGTGTGTGTGTGTGTGTGTGTGTGTGTGTGTGTGTGTTTATCTGACTGGCACCATGCTAGCCTCTTCTAAGATGTGTATTATTAATGTGCAGTCTGTGATGTCTATGTCTCTTTTTGATTTAAAGCTGCATTAGCCGCTAAGATGGTGCAACTGCTGCCTCGGTAATGCCCCTCAGTTTCATTACTTGGGCTTAAACTTTTATGATTGCCAATATTACTTGCTTCTGCTTCCCAGAAACCTCCATGGAAGTTTTTTTTTTTTTATTTGTGCATGTGCTTATTAATATGGGCAGCGTGGCCCCGTCTGAATGTCATTTCTGTCCCCTTGAGACTGTTTGTGTGAACTGACACTACGAGCTTAAAGACAGTCTCACCAGACCAAAAATAGACCTGAGCCCTGTGTGGTTTTCCTGTATAACCTCAGCTAACAGCAGCAGTTTACCCTGCACTTGCCTGGTAGAGAAGCAGTGGATGAATTTTAAGAGTGAAAAAGATATTTGAAGTGTTTATTTGAGTTCCCAGAAGTGGTTTCTCTTCACATCCTCGTATCATCTCTCCTCTTTATACTCCCTGTGGAAAATCCCAGAAGCAGGGTTTACAGTCTGCCAAATCAAATTACAACCACAGATCTTGTTGAACACTAAATCATCACGTTCCAACACTAATTAGCCTCCCCTCACCATCTCTCCCTCTTGTCTTCCAGGGTATCTTTTCAGTAACCAACCCTCATGCAGATATCTTCCTGGTGGCCCGTGTGGAGAAGGTGTTGCAGAACGGCATCACCCACTGCGCCGAGCCGTACATCAAGACGTCGGACATCAACAAGGTATTTGCTTTTCACCTCATATAATAAATACATACACATGCCGAAATCCGATGCTGTGTTCTTATATGTGTCTTCTCCCATGTCTCCGCAGACCGCTCAGAAGGTGCTCAAAGCTGCCAAGCAGACATGCCAACGCCTGGGCCAGTACAGGATGCCTTTTGCCTGGGCTGCCAAGTAAGACAGGGATAAATATTACCCAGAAATGAATCTGTTTGGATTCATCTCTGGAATGGCTTCATAAGACTGCATTAAAAGGCATCAGCACGAAAGGATTTTAATAACTAAAAGTCTTTTTATTTAAAATATAGATGTATAAATGCCACAGGTTTTATACGTCAGCAAGTTTCCAGATGTGGAAAATAAGGTTAGAAAAAGTAGTGTTTCATTTCATTACTATTATAGCCTCCCTTCATGCTCACTGAAACCCTTACACATGGTCCAGAATGCAGCAGCCCGTCTGGTCTCCGATCAACCCGAAAGGTCACATGTCACTCCCCAACTCATCGACCTACACTGGCCTGAATCAAATTCAAGTCACTAATGCTTGTCTTCAGAGTGACTTCTGGGTCTGCACCGCTCCACTTGAACTCAATCATTCATTCCCTCTGCACCACTGTGTCCCTCCAAGGAATGTCGTCTGGCAGTGTCATCCCTGCACACAAGACAAACTCAGTCCAGACTGTTCTGGTCTGTGGTTTCCTGATGGTGGAACAAGCTACCAAACGCTATCAGAGCGGCGGTGTTCCTTTATCTTCAAGATTCTCTTGAAGACTCTGAGCTTTTCCTCTCCGAACACCTCTAACACCCCAACGTGCCTAACGAGCACTTACTATGCACTCCTTTACTTGATCTCCTTCACTTATTAAATAGATGCAGTACTTAATACTTACACCAAAGTCTTCTACTGCACTGAAGCTTTAGTGATGTCCCTCACTGGTAAGTTGCTTTGGGTAAAAATGCCAAATGATGAAATGTAAATGTAATCAATTATTGAACAAAATCTGAGATGTGGGCAGTTCAGAGTTTCCCATTGTCAACCAGTGTGGCACTGATGCAATACATTACAATACAATAAATATTTAAGCAGCCTAACTGCCCCAAAATCAGCTACATTAAATTTGCCTTAGATTAAAAAACATATTGCCTTAATGTTTTTGTTTACCTCTGGATTAAAAGGCGGATACTTTGTTGTTTGCCTGAGGCAGACACTGCAGCCATGTGTGTGTGTGTGTGTGTTTCCAGGCAGGTGTTCAAAGACGCTCAGGGCAGCCTGGACATGGATGGGAAGTTCTCTCCTCTCTATCGCCAGGACAGCAGCAAAATCTCCACTGATGACATCCTCAAGCTGCTAGCCGACATCAGGAAGTGAGTCATCACCATTCTTCTGCTATTTTAGCCAGTGCCTAGTTACTGAAAACAGTCATGTGCTTGCACATTTTTTGCATATTACTGCACAGGAAATGGTGCTGTGCATTGTTGGGCAGTTTTCTGAATGTCCTCTAATGTACTCATCCTGGATTCTCTTTTTCCTCGTCAGACCTGAGAAGAGCAAACTTCAGACAATCCCCGGGCAGCTGAATGTCACCATCGAGTGTGTCCCACCTGACTTCTCAAGTATGTTGTCCTTTCTCTACACTCCCCTTATCCCAACATTTGTCCCTCTGTCACTAACAGTGGTCACGCTTTGAAGTTGAGTCACTGCCTGTAAAACACACAAACCACTGCACAGTGTAAATATGAGGGAGCCGACGCACATCTTTACTTTTCATTGCAAAAAAATACAATAATGAGATTAAATGATTAAGACTTGCAGGAAAGAGTTTTATGAGGCTGTTGTAGTTAAACTGGAAAGACTATGGACACATTTTGCTGTGCATTCATTCATTATAATCTGCAGTATGTTATTACATTATATTATATATTTTTATATTACTACACATCTGTAGCTTACAAAAGTTTGTACATTTAATTTGCAAGATCTCAGCTGTTTTTGTAATCAATATCAATATTGATTACCCCCCTCCCCCCAGATACAGTGACTTCCTCTTACATTCCCGTCAAGCCCTTCGAGGATGGCTGTGAGCGGGTGTCCGTGGAGGTCGAGGAGTTCCTCCCCGAGGAGGCCAAGTACAACTACCCCTTCACCACCTACAAGAACCAGCTCTACATCTACCCACTGCAGCTCAAATACGACAACCAGAAGACCTTCACCAAGGTGCGTGACTCACTGATCTCACTGATTCCTCCTCTGCTGTGTGCATTGATTTGACTGACGTGATGTTTCCTCCTCACACCAGGCGAGAAACATTGCAGTCTGCATCCAGTTCAGAGACTCAGATGAGGAAGGTGCAGTCCCTTTAAAGGTGAGTTCATTGCAGTAAGCCTCTGTATGTTAGTGGTACACACAATTTGATTTGTGATTTCAGGAATGTATTCACAGGTCAGTTACTTGAAGGTTTATCTAATTCCTGAATTAGTACCAATCAGCCACCAAGGCTAATTTGAGATTTTGAGGATAAAGTATAATAATGCATATTCTCCTGCATGGGTTTCCTCTCTAACTCTCTTACTCTAGCTTCCCCCTACAAATCCTCCGCAATTGGCAACTCTAAATTGCCCGTAGGTGTAATGAATGGTTGTGATCGACTGGTGATAGTCTGTTCATCAGTCTGTCTGCTTTCCCCTGCCCTAAAGTTATAGGTTTTACCAATAAACACTTTATTATCAAAGATTGTAGGAAGTTAAAATGAAATTGAATCATTTACTTTACATGCTTAGAAGCCGCATCTGGAGCACAGCAGGGACAGATTTTAGATAGTATACTCTATTGTAGATACAGAAAATAAAGAAAATGAAACAAGCACCACAAATACTTACGTACTTAAATAAATGAATTGTATCACGTAATTCAATAATGTAATGTTTGCTGCTTTAGTATCTGTAATGAAAAGATGCAAAGCCTTGAACGAGGAGTCAGGAACAACATCATCCAGAGAGATGAGTGTGTGATGTTTCTGTCACAGAGGATGCTCAGGACAATATACAGTACATGCACACATAACATAACATAACATAACATAACATAACATAACATAACATAACATAACATAACATAACATAACATAACATAACATAACATAACATAACATAACATAACATACAAACAAAAGACGGGCAAGTAATATAGACTAGATTAAGTTCATACTGATCACAGGAAATAAAGTGGAGGATAGAGGAGGACAGATGGTTGGGATGATGAGACTATCGTGCATTTTATTCTCTTAACAGATTAACAGGAGCCTGGTGCAATTGTCTCAAAAACAATAACTCTGTTGTGAAAAGTTGTGGAATGTCCCAAGTGAGATCTGATCAAAAGCAGAAGCCTCAAACATGATAAATTTTCCCTTTTTATTGCTTTTCACAAAGTGGAAGTCAGCGTGCAGCCGAGGGGCCCGAAAAGGAGAAAGGAAAAGCTCCACAGAAGCTGGTTATTATAGCTGGCAAGAGGAGATAATGAATGGTCACTCTTCTTTTTCTTTTTTTTTTGCTTTCTTACTTTCTTTCTTTCTTTCTTTCTTTCTTCCTCTCTGTTCCTCTCTAGCCACACATTTCAAATATTTGTGGGTGGAAACAGTCATCAAAGCGCCGTGGATTTGTTTTTCTTTTCACTTTTCCAGAAGGATGGAGGCAAACAGAAATTCTTTTGACTTCAATCGCCAAAACATTTACACTTGATGCTCTCGATTAAGGGCGCTCCAGACGGACAAATCGGCGTGAAGTCGTGCGTGTTATATCTCAGATAGCGTGCATGCAGACACATACACAGGATGCTCTCCAACAATGCTTGAAGTATGATGAGGCAGAAAGTTGTTTACAAAAATTGAGCAGGAGCTGGCAGCACACCTCTGCGGAGATTTAATCAGAGTCAGCAGAAGCTCGGGGAGGATCTGGGTTTTTACTCAGATCTGACTGGGAGCCAATTCTTTTGATGCATGGGCAAGTAGGACGTGAAAGGTGAAGATTTTTCAGAGACTGTGAATTGGAAATACAAAGTTTTGTGCTGCCTCAGATACTGTTATCTTTACCATAAATTATCAAACTTACATTCATGAGCTCAGGCTTGATTTTGTTTGTGGGATTAACCTGAATTCCCACTTTTAATAGCTAAAGTGATGACTAGCTCTACCAGAAAATGTTAGATTTTTAGCCCTGTTTGGCATCGTACATGTATGAACAGGACAGCTTTGACAGATAAGATCCCAGGCATCTCCCCCAGCCACGCCTCAACCCTCATCCTGAGTCAGGTAATCAAGACTCCCATCAGCCCTCCACTCGGGGCTGCCCCCCCCCCCCCCCCCCGGAAGTATTGTTTTTCCCATCGTGGTAATCATGGTAGCTGCACCACCTGCAGTCCTGCTCTGCCTTATGATCTGCAACAACAGCTCTTCTGTATAATCCTCCCTCACCACCTCCTCCATCTTCTTGAGCGTCTCCCATCCTCCAGGTTTGTCCGAGTCCTCCTGCAGAGGCTTTTCCTGATCCTGGCTCCTATCAGTCTCGATTTCAATCACTTGGCTCTAGAAATCTTTCCTTCCTCTGGCTCATTATTGTTCATTAGAGATGACTACAGTTGTTAGCATCCTAATTACAGTATCAAACCAGCCATCAGAACAGGTCTGAATTTTCTTCTTCCCCCTTTGTCACGCCTCATTAGAAATATCCTGACCTGGTCAAGCTTGTCTTTGTTACACAGGTTTTTCCCATAGAACTTCTTCTCAGTTTTTTTGCTGCTCTGATACAAAACATATTGGCTCTTCGGTGTTTTTGAGGGTGTGTTCATAAACGATCCCACATTCACGACTGCTAATGGCTCTAGTTGCCATTTGGAAAGAAAAATTGAATATTTGAGTCACCACAAGTGGAGCCAAAGTGCTGTAATTGTTCTGTGTTTGTTGGTTTTCTGTCATCAACATCCAGCAGAGGAGGGAGGACGCTGCTGCTGCTTAGTGAACATAAACTAAACTGTTGTGCAAGGCTTAAAAATCCATGTAATTTTTCAGGATGAGGCCCCTCTTGTCTCATCAGATCCCCTTTCTAGTTTCTCTGGCTGGTGCCTCAAAGATGCATGTGGTGAAGGGCTTGCACACCCAACATCGTCTTTTCTCCAAATATTGTCAGTAACCACAGATTGCTGAGCACTTACTCACTGCTGTGCCCCCGACATCAAAGTGCCAGAGTTGGATGACTGATGCGCTTGCTTTTCTTTTTCAGTGCATCTACGGCAAGCCGGGAGACTCACTCTTCACGGGGAACACCTATGCAGCCGTCCTGCACCACAATCAGAGCCCAGAGTTCTATGACGAGGTGAGGTGACTTCCTTGTGATGGTGACACCATTTAAATGCATCAGTATAAATGTATTATAGGCCTGCGACTTATTTAAAGCAGCTATTTGTAAGTATTCTCTGGCATCAAACATGGGTTCTTGCCGGGAGCGAGCGGTGGTGATTGTTGCTTGACAAGAACTTCAGCCACTGTGGCGTTTACAAGAGAAGAGGTTATGATACGCCCTCTGAGCAGCGCTACATCCTCAGGGCAGATTGGAGGCTACAGTGAGTCGCTATCGGAAAGTGACGAGATGGGCCAGAGGTTGCTTATTAGGGTGATAGCTTAAGTTGAAGAAAAGACGTGATAGAAACGAGTTAACATTGGTGTTGCTTTCCACTGCTGGAGGTAGCTCTTGGTGTGTAAGGGAATGAAGTTTAATGCTGAACTCACAACGTTTCTTCTAGACTAGTGAGTAAAAACCTGCTAATGTTAACGCTAGCTTTGTAGTGATAGCAAAACTTACAAATAGCTCCTTTAAAGTGTTGATCCATAAGGAGATACATTTGTGGTTTTAAGAATCAAAAACCATCTCAGTGTAGTTTTACATCTCCTCTCTCAGACTTCTCTCTGGAGCTCTAGTAAGAAAAAGAGAGTAGGCTATGAGCCTCCTCTCTTCTGATTGGCTCACTGTTTTCTAAGTGATCTAATAAAAATATAACAGATTTCAGGTAACATCTCAAAGAAACCAAATCCTGCAAGGCTTAGATGGTGGGTCCAGGTGGGTGGGGCTTGGGGCATGGCTGAGAGCAGTGACTGCTTTCTTGGGACATCACAAAGTTACAGAAGTCCTAATGGCTTCTTTTAAGGCTCAGTTTCTGAATACAGGCTGTGTACATCTCTCTGTGGACTGAGCGCTTTGATACTTTCACAGTATTAATATAGAACCTAGACCTGCTTTATAATCAAACAACACATGGAAATTTACCTTAATACAATATAAAACCTTTAATCTCTAGAATAAAACCTAACAGCATTCATCAGGTTATTGTCACAAAATTTCAAGCCAAAAAAATAGAAATGCATGTGGAGCAGCAGTGAAGAAACTCTTAATACTCTTTTTCTCAAAACACCCTGGATCCTTATATTTTTGTACAGTGTGTGTTCATTTCTCAAATTCCTCAGAACAGCACTGAGATAATCCCATAAATCTGTCTCAGGGGTAGAGCTGTGATCTCACACTAGACTGGTCAAACAGTCACTGACCCTGAGCACACACACACACGGACATGCACACACACACGAAGCCAGGAGCTCAACAAAAGAGGTCAGGATACTGTTAGAGAAGGAGAACAGAGGGGGTCCATATGGCCCTGATGTTAAACAGATTAGGATCTTAAGAGTCCCCACATACACCCGCATGCAGGCTCGCACACACAGTGGCACGCTCACTGGGATTTACCTCCACATGCTTCAGCTTCCAGTCATATCATGGAGAACTTCTGCTCTAACCAGATGACAAAGATTTGACAACAATGATGTATTTTTTAGCATATTTTATCCTGCTATTTTTTTCTAATCTTTTTATCTTGTTAAGTCTTTCAGTACACTGAAATGTGCTATATGATTTATTATTAGTAGTATTGTTATTAGTATTGAGGTGCCAAGGATTCTGACATTTCAGAAAGTCAGGACACAGGAAGTTTTATCTGACTCACGCCTGAGAGAAGTTTTAACATGCTGAATGAATGAATGACTCTTAAGAAATTTGCTATGACCTCCATCTATATATGTGGCGAGTCAATTTAGCTGTTCTGCTCAGTCATGTGTCATTTCCTGTGAGAAAATCGTCATGTTCCAAGACACAGGGAAAATATATTTCCTTGCTAATGCTGCCCCCTGGTGGATAAGATAGTTGTAATATGTTTCACTATAAGACATCAACTGTCCTATGGGTGTAAACCCTAAAAACAAGTAACAGTTTTCCGTACAGATGAATCACTGTACAGAGATATACTGTATGTGTGTCCTTAAAGGCAGCTTTACTAAAAAAGAATTAAAAACAAAACACAACTGGCTGCAATTTTCATGTTGTAAGATGATTTTTTTTCTCTGTACATAGAGACGAATGAGAGGCGACGTTGCAGAGCTGATAACAAATACTTACTGACTGTGAACAAAAGACAACTGTGAAAAAACAAGACGCCTCACTTTCAATTAATTTTAATCCACTTCTGTTTGGTGAAAAAAAAATGTTCTAGCATATGAAATTTATAAGAAAAGGGAAGCACCACTCCTGAAAGAGTGTGAAATATGATGATATGACCCTTATAAAGCTCAAGGCAGCGTGAATGTTATTATGAGTTTTATTCCAGAGTCGAGTGAAGTCTGAAGTGTGGTGAAATCACAATAGTTCAACGATGTGTTACCTTTTGAAGGGTGTTTGGTGAAAAAGCTGCTCAATGAAATGAAATCAACTTGTCTCTGAGATACAACCTGAATATGACCAATAAAGCATGAAATAAACACGGTTTTAAAGCGCTGAGGGCAGCTTCTGATATTGCTTGCCTAGTAGTACTGCATCATTACTATATTAAGTCCCTTATTGGTACATACATTCCTATTCTGGTTTCAGTATGAGGAATAAACTTATGGTATTTTAAGCTTAAACCGGTGACGTTCTCGTCTGTGTACAGGTAAAGATTGAGCTGCCGGTCCACGTGCATGAGAAACACCACATCCTCTTCACCTTTTACCACATCAGCTGTGAGTCCAGCAGCAAGGCCAGCAGCAAGAAGAGGGAGGGAGTGGAGTCGCTGGGTAAGCCTGTTGGGAAACTGTTTCCTACTGCATGTATATGAGTGTCCTTGAAGGCAGCATTCTTAAAAAAAAAAGAAAAAAAATAAGGGCAACAAACGCTTGCTGCAGTTTTTATATTTTAAGATAAAGATAAAGCAGGGTGTTCAATATGCTGCAAAGCTTTATTGATTTATAGGATGTCAGTGTTTCATTTATCTACCGTCAGTCTGCTAAAAGTTTCTTCTTTCCTAGTGGGCTACTCCTGGATGCCCTTGCTAAAAGATGGGAGGATGCAGTCATTAGAACTTCAGCTCTCTGTAGCCGCCACCCTGCCTGCTGGATACCTGTGTCAGGACACCAGGAAGGTAGAACCACATCCTGTTACACCAGTAACACTCAGAGTGATGGAAACATTGCAGTTACTTCTGTCATGTCCAGAATTAGCTGAGAAGGATCACAGTGTTCCTGATCCTTTCCTAAAACGAGCACCACAGCATGTTCTGTAATATGTGTATCATGTCTCCTTTGAACAGTCCCAACCGGACATCAAGTGGGTGGAAAATGCCAAGACCCTCTTCAAAGTGAGGACCCATGTAGCATCAACAATATACGCTCAGGTACAACTTGATTCGTCTGTTTGTCCTTTACATCCTCACATATATGTAAAGTCTGCATAAAGGCAGCTGGTACAGATGGAGGGAGTGTGGATGATACCGATACTGGACTGTTTCATATCCTCAGGACCTGCATCTACACAAGTTCTTCCAGCACTGCCAGCTGATGAGGACGACATCAGAGGGCAACTCAGCCGAACTCGTCAAATACCTGAAGGTGAGATGGCGCACACGCAGTCGTCTGAGACCAGGGATCTTTTACAGACACAGGCTCCCTGACTGCAGCACCAGATTCTTTTTTTTATTGTGATACAAACAAGGTGATGGCTCACAAATCTTTTCCATCCAAGCTCTCTGCAAGACACAATAGTGACCAGTAAATTAAATCAAATCACAGGTATAAAGATTTGAAAATAAAAACCAAATTAGTGGAACTGAAATGTTGTGGTGCACCTTCATGATACTCAAATTATAAAAAGTGGTGTGAAAAAAAAAAGTAAAGAAAAGGACAGAGATATTCACATTAAACAAATGATAGTCGTACAGGTGAGATGTAGTCCATCCATCTTTCCCATGTTGTCCTGTTGCAGTCTAATATAAAAAGTAATTCTTTCCATCCCAAATATTTCATAAATAACCCACTGTAGATATTTCTGGTTTTGACTGTTTTCTAGTAATGGCTTTCCCTTACCTGCTCTGGATTACTTTTTGCAAAACTGTATGAACCTACTGCCAGAAAGTAATTGGTAAAAGACAAAATCACAATATTTGACAATGATTTCCTTTGGAAAGAACCCCCACTGTCTCCAGCAGTGGTGGAGCTCATGGTTTCTTACTACATCTCATCAGACTAACAGACCCGTCACCAACTGTACAGCATGAAGTGTTTGCAGCCATTCAAGGGTTTTACAGAAAGTTGTATCAACTCAATGATAAAATCTAATTATTAAGTGATGTTTTTGAGAACTTCCAGTACAGTTCACCTCCTACAGTACCTGCAAAAATCTTCACTGCTCAAAACTTCAGTCTCTTACATACCCGTCACATGTGGTGTCCACCCCAGTGCTCAGATTTAGCTTTTGACCTGTTTTCCATTGAGGTACATCTTGATTTCACTGAAGTTTTCCCAACTAAATAGAAATAGAAATCTGGTATAAGTACATAAAATTATAACCTTCTGTACGCAAGTGTGCAGCCTTTTACTAGTAATGAGTCTTGCCTTCAGGATAAACTTCTTGAGGAGACTAAACAAACAGGATCAGTATCATATGTTAATATTTTAACGTAGTTGTTCCTGAAGTCAAAACTAAAGTCAAAGAAAATAAAAACATAGTAATACACAGTGCCTTTTACAGACTGACAACAACATACATAGCTATAAAAAAAGGAGCATACACCAAATGTCAAGTCAACAAGACACAGTTTATCACAGTCAGGATCAGTGCCAGGATAGATACAGGTTAGTTTGCTTTTAGATCAGAGGAGTAACTTTGTCATTGTAAGACACCACAAACAGATGACGCGCCCTTTTCCTACTTTGATCCTCTTCTTCATTCAGATTTTCATTTTTACTTCTGACTCATCTATTTCTTCCTCTTCCTCCACCTCTTCCTGGTTCCTGCAGTGCCTGCATGCCATGGAGACTCATGTCATCATCAACTTCCTACCAACAGTGCTGATGCAGCTGTTTGAGGTGCTCACAGCAGCCAATAAAGAATCCCATGAGATCGCTGTCAACTCTCTGCGGTCAGTTGTTCACTCTGAACTTTATGTTCTATTAACTATTGATCAAAAATGCTTACAGTATAATAATTAATTTCCCTGCTCTGTATCTTCAGTGTGATCATACACATAGTCTCCAGATGTCACGAGGAAGGGCTGGAGCACTACCTGCGCTCTTTTGTCAAGGTGACCCACCAACACAAACGCTGCTATAGGGGTTAAAGCCATCAGCATAATTCAGAGCTACAAAAAATAATTTTACCTTTCTATCCTCAGTATGTGTTTCTGACCAACAACCCTGCATCAGGAAACTCTGCGACCACTCACGAGGTGCTGGCCACCGCAGTCACAGCCATCCTCAAGCAAACTGCTGACTTCAACACCAGCAATAAACTGCTCAAGGTGCCTTCATTTCCCTCACTCAGTTAGTGGCAGCACCGACACTGAACAGCAGATGGAGCACTCGCTTGTAAAATGGCTCCCCGTGTATTTCAAAGCAAAAGTGGATTTTTCTCACCTCAAACATGCTGCTGCTTGCACTGTGTTGTCTCTATTACACTGAGTCATATTTTTCTGCTATCACTTCATTGATGTTCTCTTCCAGGAAAACTGTACATTAGGCAACAACCATTGCAGTCTAACTCCAGTCCTCTTTTTCATCCCTTTCTATAGTACTCCTGGTTCTTCATTGAAACCATGGCCAAATCCATGGCGCAGTACCTGCAGGAGGGCAACCGCATCAAGGTTGGCACTGAGTGGCCTCATGTTCTTACACAATTGCACAATTAAAGATTTGCAGTTTATCACACGTCACATTCGTGTGTCTGGCAGGATGAGTCGTTGCTTGTGATGTTGCCTTAAGGGCACATGTCCAGACGTCTCTCAATCTCATCTCTTAAAAGTAAATTCATACCACATGTGTATAAAAGATGTCAACACATACAAACAGAACCTCACACACACTCTGAAGAAAGACAAGCAGACGGATTGTGAGCCATGTGTATCTTTCACATTCTTATGCCCTGGGTCTGTATTTTATAGGGGTCTGAGTCAACAGTGCCAGACCCTCAGCAGTGAGCAGAGATGACTGTAGCTGTATTCTGCTTTTAAGTTAAACTATGACCTATTTGGGAAAATGCATATGTAATATAAGTTTGTCTACATACTGGTTATCTGTCTTCACAGTGTTTCCAGCTCTTTGACATTTTAAATCCCATGTTGTAAAAAAGCAAGATTTCCACGTCTTTTATTTATTTTAAAGCAGAGAGAGAGACTCAGAGCCTCCTCTCTTCTGATTGGCTCACTGACCTGTTGTTACTAGAGCACCAGAGAGAAGCCTGAGATATCTACTTATGGATATCAACACTTCAAATAAAATGCAGGAAAAGTGTAAAATATGGGACCTTTTAACTTTTTTTTATGCTTTCAGTTTAAGTGATCTATCCTTACATATGTCTCTTTAGATGCCGCGGGCTCAGCGCTTCCCTGAAAGCTTCCACCAGGCGCTCCAGTCTCTGGTGTTGTCAGTCATGCCGCATATCACCATCCGCCACATGGAGATCCCAGAGGAAGCTCGCTGCATCAACCTGAGCCTGGCCAATTTCATCAAGGTCTGAACCCCACATACAAAAAAAAACATGAAACCCAGTCCACTTAATCTGCTAAGGGCTGTTCAACAGGGGCCATACGAGCAAACTTCACCAATTATCTGACGTGTGAAATGAAGAGAGAGTCACAGAATTTCTTATCATATAGTTGTTTTCATTCTTTACTCTGCTCCTGAACACAACAGCTCTGTTTTTGAAATGTTGATCTCAGTCTCAAAAATGTGTGTATTTTATCCGGGATCACACCTCTTGCATATACAGTACCTGAGCTGCGTGTGTGTTAAACAAGCTTCTTCTCTTTGCAGAGGTGCCTGACCTTCATGAACAGGGGCTTTGCCTTTGGCTTGGTCAACCACTACATGTGTCATTTCAGTCTCAAGGATCCCAAGGTACAGTACATGCCCTGACTCAGCAGCCCAGCACACTCAGTAAAAACATACTGCTGGTGTAATTTGTAAAGAGATGTTTCCAGCTGATTATCCTTATCCAGGTAAAGTTACATTACCTGTTATGTTACCTGAAATACGGTGGCCCTGAGAGCTCAAAAAACATGCAAATTGAAAAAGAAAACACAAGCAAATTCAGAAAACATCATCAATTTGACACCACATGTGCTAAAAATACAACACAAGCAAATACAGAAATGTGCTGCAAGTAGCACGGATGACAACAGGAGTGTTTCCAGGGGACACTGAAAAGGGATGAACGAGGCTGGGACGCGGTTATTCAATGCTTTGTGACTTTTTAAGGAAAAAAATTGAAAAACAAGTAAGCATGCACATTTCCCCTGGAAACACTTCGATTGTTGTCTGTGCTGTTTGCAGAACGTTTCTGTATTTGCTTGTGTTGTGTGTATTTGCGGCGCATGTGTTGATGAATATGTATTTGCATGTGTTTTCTCTAGTTGCAGTGCGTTGAGCTCACAAGGCCATTGTACTGAAAGGCAGAGTTGTAATAAACGGTTCCTCCTCCTCTATCTCTTTCTGTATCAGCTGCACATTTGACTAACAAATTGACCCGACACTGACACCCCAGCCAGGCTTAGTTTGAGAAGTAGCATGGAGGATTACTGTATATTTAGACATTGAGGAGAACTCTGTTTTTGTGCACTGAGGCTTGACAGAAATCTGTGTGTGTGCGTGCAGGACACTCACGTATGTATATTTGCCGCAGGTGCTGGCTGAAATGAAATTTGATTTCCTGATGACGGTGTCTAACCACGAGCACTTCATCCCTCTGAACCTGCCCATGGCCTTTGGGCGCACCAAGCTGCAGAGGGTGCAAGGTGAGAGTCAAGACATCGTATTCTGCCTTCCCCTGAATGCATTATGCTTCCTGCCACACATGTAACCACTGACTAGCTCGTGCTCACATGACTCCAGACCCCTCACTGACCTTGTCCTGCCCTGCATCCACCACACCCATGCCGTCTATTACCCTCCACACACACACACACACACACACACGTGTGTAAGTAAGCTGATGACATTACTCTGACCTGCTTAACAACTTTGTCCAACACGTGTCATGTGACACTACATGTTTTACGGAACCACAAGTGAAAAGCAACATGTGTATGTTGTAATGCTGCATGTATTGTCTACAGTATTACCCCCAAAATTCTTTATTTTTACTCCCCCCCTCCCTCTCTTTTTTTTTTTTTGTGTTTTGCTTGTGGTCAGATTTTATTCCGTATGCGACGGAGCTTTTTGGCCCTGTAGGTAGGTGATGCTCACTGCTCGACACCATCGCCTCCTTGTTTGCTGCCGTATGCAAACACCTTGCACATGACCTGCACTAACTCCCTATCCTGTCAGCCCCCCCCCCCCTTTTTCTCTCATAAGGCACCCATTTCAATTCTGCTCACTCTGCACAATGCTAACTCTAGGCTAATGTCTTCATGTGCCTGCCGGGGCCTGAGCCTGTGTCTTGCAGACGAGAGGAGCTTGGCTGTTGTGGGAATCGATGGAGCCGCTTATCTTAAAGCATAATTGACTTGATATTTGCAAACACCACACAGGAACATCTCTCACGAAGCTGCGTTTCTCTCCTCTTGCTGTTTATGTCTGTCCTCTCTCTCTCTCTCTCTCTCTCTCTCTCTCTCTCTCTCTCCCTGTCTGTCTGTGTCATTGGAGAAGATAATTGCAGATGGTTTCTTATTTCCCAGGCTGCATTGCCTGTTTTAATATTGTCGCAGCGTTATTGTGAAACTATACGCCATAGTCTCTGTTGAAGCTTCTCCTTTTTCAGTGGCACGTTTCTCTGATTCCTGTTGATTTATCTCTTTTCTGAAGATAAAAATCAAAAAATGTTGTCCTTATTACATTATAACATTTCCTCATGATGGCAATGTGTAATTAACTATCTTAATTCCTCTTTTATTTGTGTGGTGTGGGAACGTCGGAAAGTCACGTCTGAATGAATGTGTTACGAGGGCTTGTTGCTGTTCTGTTGCATATTGTTTTGCAATGTTTACCTTTGAATGACTGAATACTGAACACTGGTTATATTGTATATGCATCTAAGACCTAAGCTACTGGTCTTTGCACTCTGATCTTCTGTGTATGAAGCAGGGATGGACAGTAACAAAGTACATTTACTTGAGTGTTATTTATTTTGTAAAATTATGACTTTCACTCCACTACACTTAAAAGACAAATATTGTACTTTTGACTACACTACATTTCCTTGAAGTACTCATCACTTGAATTGTATTGTATTTTGAAAATCTGATAAACCACAGGCTGTGTTTGTCACAGGAGAAAAAACAATCACTGGGTGTGTTTCCATTAACCTGCTTAATGCGCAATTTATAATTGCCAACTTGAAAGTGAGCAATGGAAACACAAGAATTTCATACATGAAATGGAAACACTTTTCGCATTCAAGTTGCGGCACCAGCCGTATCATGCCCAGTGGGAGCCAGTTCCAACCACCGCTGTCAGTCATGTTGTGGTTGATGCATTTTTGAACAGCTCAGCTTGAACTTGTCCTAACTATGGCTACTTTATATAAAGATGAACCAGAAGATTCACCCGAGCATTCACAGCCTTATCTTAAGTGTGTTAAGTGTTTGTCTGTTTTCCGGGTGATTCACTAAAAATATAGCAGATTTCAGGTAAACGCTCAGAGAAATCAGGAGTATCTATACTTTGACTCAAGTAATGGAGTTGTGTACTTTGTCCACCTCTGGTAAGAAGTAGGTTCGGTTAGATTTCTAACTGCATGTACAACCAGCTTTAACAAACACGTTCGACATGACTGGCATCTATTCAGCCATTACCAATGACACTTTTGTCTGGCACAACCACAGAGCAAAGTTTGGAGTTCAGCCTGACGGAGGAATACTGCCGCAACCACTTCCTGGTCGGCCTGCTGCTGAGAGAAGTGGCTGAGGCCTTGCAGCAGGGGCCCGAAGTCAGGCAGCTGGCCGTGAGCGTTCTCAAGAACCTTCTCATTAAACACGCCATGGATGATCGCTACACTGCCTTCAAGGTGAGGGAGGGAGGGAGGGAGGGAGTGGCTGATGGGAGCAAGAGGAGACAAGCAGAGAAGACAGAGGTGTCCTTCCCCTCCTCTCTCCCTGCATTTCCTGTCTGTCTCTGTCAAATAAAAGCATAAAACAGCTAAAAAGAAAAAGTTCAAATTTAATTTTCTTGACAACAATGTATGTATAATGCAGTTGTCCACCTTGTTTTCAAAAACACACCCATCCTCAAGCAACAGAAATTCCCCAGGGAAAATCTGAAGTTATCTCATCCTGTTAGTTCAAGACGTAATTAACCACCACAACTAGGACAAACTTTGACCAGATTCACAAAAAGTGCAGAAAAGAATGACAAAACTGAGCAAATCCAAATTCCCTGCAGCGAGTGTGACACCTGCCAAACTACTTGGTTCAAAGAACAAAGCATCTTTCTGCACCTGTCATGTCACACCTATCACACATTTCTTAGAAAAAAAACCTGAGATCTTTGTTAAGCAAATGTGCACATTGTTTCTACTTGCCCACTGTGCAGCCCATTTGAATCAGAACCTCATTGTTTGCACGCAAAAAAAAAAAGTTAATGTTTGATGTGACACAAGTTACGCTCTGTACATATGCTAAACTGTAGTTTAACGGTGTGTGTAACCCCCCCCCCCCAAGCAAGATAACAATGTCTGTTATGCAAACAAGCTGATGTTTAGAGTGAAGGCACCATTGCGAGCAGCTGAGGACTGATAATGCTTTTGAGTACAGCATTATGGGCGAACTGCAAATGTTTGTTTAACGCGCACCTACAATAGCCTTCTCTCATTACGTGTGTAGTCATGTTGTCTGCCTCTATAACCTCATGGATTCATACAGAGGTTTCACATTTTCATCAGTGCATTTATTATTCAAAAAGCTCATCCAGTCATATTGATTGTTTCAGAACCAGCAGGCCAGGATCTGTTTGCTGTACCTGCCGCTGTTCGAGCTGCTCTACCAGAACTTGAAGCAGCTGTCTGCCCAGCCGCACACCTCCAGCCCCGGCCTTGGCCTCAACGTGAGTCCCTGTGCATCCCTGGACCCCCACAGTGGGGTTACTTTGACTGCTGCTTAGACTGCTGCTTTGAAATGCATCGTTTATTACGTGAAGGAAAATATGAAGATGTAAGCTGAAATGGGCTCCTCATTAGGTGAGGAGGAGTTTTGATCCAGGTTCAGAGGGACCTTGGATCATCTGTGCATTATAGTCATGTAGAATAGTCATTTTCAGCTTGAAAACTTGTTGTTTTCATCGTGTGATGAAGAAGATATTTTAAGGAGCAGATGGTAGCATTATAATTCTTTTGTGAGAATTCACAGTTGTGGTTTGATGGATTCAACATCTGGAAAAGATAGACGTGTGTGTGTTTTCACAGGGACTGTTTAGTTGCAATGCAGGCTTCAACTGGTATCCATCAGAAGGTGTAACTGTTTAGTCTATACCTTTATCTTCTAGTTTGTGTGGTTAAAACCTGTATTGAGTGTTCAGGATGTGACTGTTTTCATTGCCTCCATCTCGTGGTTGTCCAGGGCTCCAGAGACGACCTCATATCAACCAGTTCAACCGACAGCAGGAGAATCAGCACCGCAATTGACAAAGACCACGGTTAGTCCAGAACTGCGGATGCTACACAACACATATGGCATCCGGCCTCTCCCTGTTTATACATCTTCCATTACCGTCACCGCAAAGGGGCCAGCGGCACCATGGATACACAACAAATTTTATGCAACACACAACTTTATCCATTAGCGGCACTCTGTCTGAAAGCAGCGGCTGTGTGCCAGACATGTGCCACATAGTTGTTTGGATTCTTCTTTGGATTCGGCTCGGTATACATCTTAGAACTTTTCTGAGGCCGGCTGTCTTTTGCAAAGATGGGAACATTTTTGGTTTGCAAACCATTTGCTTAGAGTTTGCACAGCAAAAACAATGACCAAAGAAAGTTAGGAAAAAACATTCAGTGCAACTGTAATCTTTTCAAATTTCAGATGGGCTATGTTCTTTAATGTCTGCAGTAGCTTGTCATTAGATTAGATGCTGATTATACTGTTGTTGAACTGAAGTAGAAGATTATGAGACTGAGAATAACAGAATCATTTGTGGCAGAAATCTTCCAGTCCCACACCCACACCCACACCCACACCCAGACGCCCACGCCCACACGCCCACATGCACACACGTACACACACACACACTCACTTCCCATGGTGCAATTCAATAGCTTCTTTTCCCTGGTGACATAATGAGGGATATCTTCTCAGACTTCACAGGGCTCCTTCATAACCATAGAAGAGTTTATAAAAGTGGTGTCTTGGGCCCATCTGATCTGGCTGTGTAAAATCAGTGGAGTTCCCCCCTTAATGAATAATTTATCAAAAGCTGTTTATCCGCCAGATATTGTGTTAACAGTAGAAATTTTCAGCATAATATACAGCACATAAAGGTCTGTCAGCGCTTCTGGGGTCTATTCTTGCATCCAAGAGCAGATATCAGATCTACATTCATTGTTGTGCTTGGGAGAGCATCAGTTCGTCCCCTAAATTTGATAATACTTGTATTGTGCTGCTTTCAAGTCGACACTAACAGAAACTGCGCTGTGTGGGCTCCAGGTCTCCAGAATGGCCATGTTGTGAGGAGAGAGGACTCCAGGGGCTCTTTATTTATGGATCCAGGAACACCAGACAGCATCGAGGTGAGAGCATTTCACATCTGCTGACCCACTGTTTAACACCTTATCAATGAGTCTCCAGCACAGCCAACACATTCTGTTAATCACTTCTTTTTTTTTTTTACGAGGATTCTGTTAAAGGTCCCATATTTTTCGCTTTTCCAGTGTTTTATATGAAGTCTTGATCCTTAAGAAGGTATATTTGTGGTTTTAAGAACCAAAACCCATCTCATGTAGTTTTACATCTCCTCGCTCAAGCGTTCGTGAGCCAATCAGAAGAGAAGAGGCTCTGAGCCTGTAATGTTAAAAAAACAGTCTCCATGTTGCTTTTGAGTGGTGTTATAGTGTCCCCTCAGCGTGAGGTGCCTGTTGTCTTTGAATACAGGGCCAACATAACGCAACTGTTCCTGCTCTGCAGTTGCATTGCATTAATCTTCCTTTAATACATGCCAAAGACTACTTTTATTTTATTGTTCTTGTTCTTTTGATCCAGGACCACTGAGTGACACCACATGTTATTTACTGACATGTTACATGTTTTTTTCTTTTTTACTGGAAAACACACTTTTCTTCCTGTTTCCTGGTCTGATTCCAGGACTGAGTGCACATCCAGTGTCTGGTCACACATCCAGATGTTAAATATAGATGGACTGGAGTGGATCATTCATTATCTGTGTACATAACACTTTCAGCACACTGTCTTTGGTTTATGGCAGCTGGTGATTTCAAATACAAGAGCCTGATTAAACTAAACTTCCATTGATGCAGCTGTAGGTCACTTCTCGGCCACGCTAGGCTCCCTAACATGAATTGATGTGCAGATGTTGTCACTCACATAATGTCAACAATTTAAAGGTCCCATATTGCATAACGGTAGATTTCCATGTCGTCTTTGATTATAAAGCAGATCTAGGTTCTATATAGATACTGTGAAAGTGTCAAAGCCTCAGTCCACAGAGAAATGCACATAGCCTGTATTCAGAAATTGAGCCTTAGAACCAGCCGTCAGGATTTCTGGAACTTTTTGATGTCACAATGAAGCAGTCACTGATATCAGCCAGGCCCAAGCTTTATGGAAATTGTAAAATATGGGACCTTTAACATACCTACTGGTTAGTTTGACAAAAAAATATTTATTGTTCTAGGAGGGTGTTTTCATAACTTCCATATTATCCTCACTGTCAACAAATACAATGTGCATAATACCATTGTCACCTGATCCTGCTACCCAATACTGTTTGTGTAGCCAACTTCTGACATATGTTATTTCTCTGTGCCAGAGACTTCCAATTTCCACAACTGGTAAAAATAGTAGTTTATCACAGGCTAAGTAAAGATGATACCTATCTAGATTTAGCTGGCAGCAAGTAAAAAATCAATCACATGATACGGGCTTCAGAAAAACTGTCCTGTTTATCGATATTGTCAAACAGTTGCATCTTCTGGAGCAGGTTATTTAGTCCATATGGCTCCAAAAAGAGCTGCAAGTAAAATGGGAGAGTTTCATATTATTGTAACATGCACAATATTTTATTTTAAAAGAGGAACATTTCCCTTGACTCCTTGATCATCCCATGACCTCATGTCTGTTTACTCTTTTTTACTTTGTTTGTTCTGTGCTTCCTGTTCTTATGACATAAAAAAATAAACAAAACAACAAAGTCTATCTCAGCATTGAAATGGGCTGGTGCTGAGGGAAGATAATACTTTTCCTTTAATGTGTCACATGTGGTTCTAAACAACCAAAAATAACTCATTGTTTAATTATTAGACCCCAGACAGATATCAAACATAGAATCCATGAAAACAATATATCAAATAAATCCTCTCAGTCAGGTGGTACAGTTCATCCTCAGATCGACTCCTTGTTAAGTTTTTGCCTGTAAAACCTCTAGATTCTATGATAAATGGAGACTCATTTTCTTTGGCTGTGTCAGTTTCTCCTCACCATCATGATATCCCGTCATTGTGTGTTTTTGTTTATGTTGAACTTCCTCACAGCTGCAGAGACGTGGCTCCACCATGAGCAGCAGTCCCATGCCTCCCGTCGGCAGATTGGGACAGTATGAGATTAAAGGCCTCCTGCTCTCCTTCCTGCACATCGTCAAGACCTTGTCAGAGGGTCAGTGATGATCTATAGCCACACCACACAATTAGACCTTCACTGACCATAAAGAGGATGTGACACAATACCACTTCTGCTATTTTGGGATAGAGACTACACAGAAACTTGGCTGCCACACGAACAAAGAGCAAGGCTTCCCTCATAGAGGACGTGTGGTTGATTTAGCTGCACAACTCCTCTAAAATCAACTGGAACTATTTATTCAAAGTTTTATAAATGTCAGTAAAAAGAACAAAACAACATGCATCAAAGACTTTGTCTTTCCTTTCATCCACAGACACTCTCATGGCCTACTGGAATAAAGTCGGCCCTCA